ACATACCTAAACATAATAAAAGCTATATACAGCAAACCAACAGCCAACATCAAACTAAATGGAGATAAACTCAAAGCAATTCTTCTAAAATCAGGAACAAGAAAAGGCTGCCCATTCTCTCCAAACCTCTTCAATATTATACTTGAATTTCTAGCCAGAGAAATAAGACAACAAAAGGAGATCAAGGGGATACAAATTGGAAAGGAAGAGGTCAAACTTTCACTATTTTCAGATGATATGATAGTTTACATAAGTGGCCGGAGAAACTCTACCAGGGAACTCCTAGAGCTGATAAATACCTTTAGCAAAGTGGCAGGATACAAGATCAACTCAAGAAAATCAGTAGCACTACTATATGCAGACTATAAAAGGGTTGAGAAAGAAATAAGAGAAACATCACCCTTTATAATTGACACAAGCAAAATAAAATACCTTGGGGTAATCATAACCAAACCAGTGAAAGACCTGTATCACAAGAACTTTGAGTTATTAAAGAAGACACAAGAAAATGAAAGGATCTCCTATGCTCTTGGATACGTAGGATAAACACTGTAAAAATGGCAATCTTGCCAAAAGCAATCTACAGATTCAATGCAATCCCCATTAAAATTCCAGCACAATTCTTCACAGAACTTGAAAGAACAATTCTCAGCTTTATATGGAAAAACAAAAGACCCAGGATAGCCAAAACGACCCTGTTCAACAAGGCAATGTCTGGAGGCATCATCATCCCTGACTTTAAGCTCTATTATAGAGCTATAGTCCTGAAAACAGCTTGGTATTGACACAAAAACAGACAGGTAGACCAAGAAATCAAATAAAAAACCCTGATATTAACTCACACATGTATGAACATTTGGTTTTTTACAAAGAAGCTAAAATTATACAGTGGAAAATAGAAGGCATCTTCAACAAATGGTGCTGGCATAACTGGATGCTGGCATGCAGAAGACTACAGATAGATCCATGTCTATCTCCATGAACAAAACATAAGTCCAAATGGATTAAAGACCTCAACATAAATCCAGCCACACTGAGCCTCTTAGAAGAGAAAGTGGGGGGTACCCTTGAACAAATTGGTACAGGAGACCATTTCCTGAGCTTAACACCACAAAGCACAGACACTGAGATCAACAATTAATAATGGGACCTTCTGAAACTGAGAAGCTTCTGCAAGGCAAAGGACACAGTCAACAAGACAAAAAGGCAGTCCACAGAATGGGAAAAGATAATCACTAACCCCACATCTGACAGAGGGCTGATCTCCATAATCTACAAAGAACTCAAGAAGCAAGTCTCCAAAGCACCAAAGGATCCGATTAAAAAGTGGTCTTCAGAACTAAATAGAGAATTCTCAATAGAGGAGTCTAAAATGGCTGAGAGACACTTGAGAAAGTGCTCAACATCCCTAGCAATCAGGGAAATGCAAATCAAAACAACTCTGAGATACCATCTCACTCCTGTCAGAATGGCTAAAATCAAAAACACTAATGACAGTGTATGCTGGAGAGGATGTGGAGAAGGGGAACACTCCTCCATTGCTGGTGGGAGTGCCAACTGGTTCAGCCACTTTGGAAATCAGTATGGAGATTCCTCAGGAAAATGGGAATCAGTCTACCACAAGATCCAGCAATTCCACTCTTAGGCATATACCCAAAAGATGTACATTCATACAGTAAGGATGTCTGTTACATTATGTTCATAGCAGCACTATTTGTAATATCCAGAACCTGGAAGCAACCTAGATGCCCCTCAACTGAAGAGTGGATAGAGAAAATGTGTTACATTTACACAATGGAGTACTACTCAGCGGAAAAAACAATGGGATCTTGAAATTGGCAGGCAAATGGATGGTATAATAGAAACCATCCTGAGTGAGGTAACCTGTAAGGGTGAGCCCAAAATATTGTCAGTAACCCAGTCACAAAAAGACGAACATGGTTTGTACTCACTCATATATGGATTTTAGACACGAATCAGGGTTGTGTCAGCCTACAATCCCACTGACAGAGAGTCTGGGAAACAGAAAGGACCCAAAGAGAGATATACATGGTACCTCAGAGAAGGTGGAAAGAGGCAAGATCTCCTGAACAGATTGGGAGCATGGTGGGGAGGAGAGAGGGAGCCAGGAAAAAAGAGAGGGGGAGAAGAGGAGGGAAGAGGAGGACGTGAGGTAGCAGGAAGGTTGATTTGGGGGAAGAATAGAGGAGAGCAGGATGAGAGACACCATAAAAGAGGAGTCATTCTAGGTTTGAGAGGAGATCTGGCACTAGTGAGATTTCCAGATATCGACAAGGATGACACCAGCTGGCAAACTAAGTAATAGTGGAGAGACTACCTTAAATGCCCCTCCCTGATAATGATATTGACGAAATAGAGTGCTCTCTGGAGGTGAGAGTGGTTGGATTGTAAGAGATGGAGGGCGAGCCTCTGCCCCTTGCTTTGGAGCACCAGGTGAAACTGTTTGCTGGGAACTTGCTCCCCCCATCTGTTATTTAGATGGTGGGGGAATTCAAGACAGGTTAGGGAAGAAGAAGTTCATCAAAAGATAGAACAACTTGTTTTGGCCCAGTACCTAGAGCTCAACTATCACCCTGTTGCTCTCCCTGAAAATCAGGGTGAGCTAGCGCTCGACCCCCATACTGAGTCCCTTCTACAAATGGTCTTTGTCTTACTAAATCAAACGACTCCCTCCCTTGCGGAGGATTGCTGGCTTTGCCGTCAATCTGGACCTCCTCGGCCGCTTGCAGTGGTCTCTATGATACAATTACAGATGCCCCTGCTACTATAAAAGATTGCTCGGCCACATTTCCCATCCGTGTCTAGCTCCTTCCATGTCACTTTCTGGGGCCTGCATTTGGACCCCACCTACTACTGATAAATCCAGTATAGATGTGGGCTACATTGATCTGTCTTTCTGTAATTCAAATACAACCAAATCTAATGCTCAAAGCTGCCCACCTTCTGGAATGGTCTTTGTCTGCAGAGGTGGGATGGCATATGACTTCCTGCCCGCCAAGTGAACAGGCCTTTGTGCCCCAGCCACCTTGATCCTGATGTGGATATTATTCCCGGGGATGAGGCTCTTCCTGTGCCCTCTTTTGATTACATTGGCGGGAGACCCAAGAGGGCCATACAGATGATTCCTTTACTTGCTGGCTTGGGAATATCTGCAGGTATGGCCACGGGGGCTGCAGGGCTAGGCACGGCATTTGAGCTCCAAAGACGGCTCTCTGCCCAATTGGTTAGTGACATAAAGGCCGTGTCTAGTACTATCATTGATCTCCAAAAGCAGCTTGATCCCCTGGCTAATGTAGTCTTACTGAACCGAAGGGGATTAAACTTATTAACAGCCGAAAAGGGAGGCATATGCTTATTTTTATAGGAAAAGTGCTGTTTTTATCCCAATAGATCAGGAATCGTTCAGGACAAGATCAAAAGGCTTCAGGAGGACTTGGAGAGGAGACGGCATGACCTCCAGGGCAACCCGCTGTGGACTGGCTTCAATGCCTTCTTACCCTATCTCCTCCCCCTGCTTGGGCCTCTCCTCCTGCTCCTTATCCTCACTATCAGGCCCTGCATGATTAATAAGGTCATGCAAATTATTCACCAACAGGTAGAGGCAGTAAAACTTCATCAGGCCGAAGTTCATTATCATAGGCTCGCTACTCAGGAGCCAGGCTCCTTGTGACTGGCAGTCCTCATAGGAGCATCCCTCCCCCGCCCTCCACCCGACCAGCAACAGGCAACTTCTCAGACAGGCTGAGATGTCCTAAGACAGGTCTTGGAGTGGTCTTTCAACGAGCTGGATACATGGTACTCAGGGATGGATAAAGTTCCCAATAGGGGACCACCAAAGACAGAGGCCATGATTTCCATCGTTGTTACAAAAACAAGAGGGGGAGATATTGGGCCTAAAAAAGGCTCAGATGCAAGGCCCAGTGTAAGCTCCTGAGCCTGACTTGAGTTTAGGGATCCGATGAGAGGCCCAGTGTAACCTTAGGAACCTGGCTAGAGTTTGGCGATCTGTAACCTCCACCTGGGAGTGACTCAGCCACACCTGATGTAAGATTGCCCCCTGCCTAACTTCCTGCCTGCTTGGTGGAATACTATTGGCTCTTACTCCTCAGGTCACCTTACCCTACGCTAAGATTCCCATCCCTACCTCAGCCCTATAGAAGTTCCTGCCTGTTGTAATAAATCGAGATCCTGTTTCTACAGACTCCTGACTCAGTATGGTTTTTCTTCCCCGGTAAGTAATGGGGGGAGGGTCTGAGTTGTGGACACTCACCATCCCGCTCAGCCCCCTGGAAGAGACCGTCTGGACCCTCCCTTCCCCCCCTCTACCTGCAGGGAGGACCCTGCATTACATACCATCCGAGAACCTCCATCCAGTGACAGACGGAAGCAGAGGCAGACACCCACAGCTAAACACTGAACTGAACTCCTGGAACCCAATGACAGAGAGAGAGGAGTGGTGAGCAAAGGGGTCAAGACTGGGCTGGTGAAACCCAGAGAGACAGCTGACCTGAGCAAGGAGGAGATCTTGGACCCCAAACTGATGGCTGAGGGGCCAGCATGGGACTGATCCAGACCCCCTGAATGTGGTGTCAGTGAGGAGGCCTCTTAAAATATAACTGGGAAATTCTAGAAATAAACCAATTTATGAGCAGTGTGGTGAAGCCATGGAGCCCTCTGCACAGTCTCTGAGGTGTGCACCGTTGCTGTGCCTAGGGTGTCCACGTTCATGTATGATCGTCCCCACTGGTCACCTGGTAGCTGTCTGGGCCACTGGAGTCAGCCTCCATACTCTGAGTGCTCACGTTCAAATAATCCTTACTCTACTGAACAAGGCCCCAAGACGAAGAGCAGTGGGGCTGGCAATCACGACAGGCTGAAGAGAAGACAGTTCTACCACCTGTGAGTGAAACAGTGGCAGGTCTTCAGTTATGGGGAGAAAAATCAGTATGATACGGTCTACAGTAAGAATGACTCTTCTGTGAAACTGTGAAGGGGAAATTTATTATTACTCTGACATCTCAAAACACAAGTTATGGACAAAGTGCGCGGTAAGTGCTTAGGTAAGGGATGGTGTTAGGAGCGCAGTATTGACAGAGTGATAAAGAGAGCCCCAATCTCCCGAAATGCACGACCACCCGAGAGACCTTTGCTCTGGCTACACAGCATGTGTGCCAGCTGATGCTGCCGTCCGTTCTTTCGTTGCATTCGATGCCTCCATAGCCACAAAGGGCCCTCCCCCCCTCTCACAGCCCACAACTGCATGAGATCTGCAGTTGTCAACAGGATACCATGGATGTACGGGCATCTGTTCCTTTTGTCTATATAATCTGCACTCTCCTCCTCTCAGCAGCCCATGCATTACTGCAGCATGAGTACCAACGGCGTCTCTTCCGGTTGCTTTTGCATATTTATGAGTTCTGGGTAGAGCAGGCTGGCTGGTTTACTCAGAACTGTTAGCACTGAGAATGGCTGGTAGCCAGCGTCTGTTGGGAAAATTGCAAGAACTTGTGCTAACCAATGGTTCTGGCTGTGAGAAGAGCCGTGAAGAAACCAACACTAGGATGTAAGTCACTGCACTCAAAGTTTGGAGCTGTTAATTGGGAACTGGGACCCCCCTACCGCGAACACCAAGATGATGCACGTGGCCTCTTCAGAGTCTGTCTGAAGTCAGCAACATTATCAGCTGATTCATGAAGTCCTGTGCCTTGGGACATATCTCCCATGGATACTGTGGAACTACTACATTTACAGACCAGTACCGTAAATACCATTTTTGCTCAATAGGTGGAAAAATATTCACATTATGCTTTCATTTTTTTCATGTGTTCAGAGGCTGTGAAATGATTTCAGACCAATAAAATTTTGGTCTGCTTTACTGAAAGTTCAACTAGTATTGCTGTGTACACCATGGGAACTCATGCACCCTAGGAAAACCAAAACTAGGCCACCACCACCAAACTAGTGAGACAAAGTGCCATGGGCTACACAGGGAATTTAGAGACACTCAATTTGAGCATAGGACACAACTCTCCACCTTCCAGAGGATATGTGTGACGTCAGTAGTAATGCCATTTTAATTACAGGATTTAAGGCATCCCTACATCCTCTCAGACAACTTCTGATACGCAGCTGGAAATTTAGACTTAGTAAAGGTTTCTGCTTCTGAGATGAATATATTTCCCACAGGGTTGAGACTTTCCACATTGATTTTTTGTTTGTTTGTTTTTTGTTTTACGAGACAGGGTTTCTCTGTATTGTTTTAGAGGCTGTCAGTCCAGCCTGCTGGCCTCGAACTCACAGAGATCCGCCTGCCTCTGCCTCCCGAGTGCTGGGATTAAAGGCGTGTGCCACCACCACCCGGCCCGCATTGATTTTTAAAATATGGTAAGTTGTGCACTGATGCCTTACATCTTTATAATGCTATCTCTGTGACTTGTCTCAATAAAAGAGAATTTTTAGATTATAGAAAAGGTAAGGATTTCTATTTTCTTCCTATCGAGTCATTCTTTTTAAATTGTGAACAATGAAGGTTTTCACACAACTCCGGAGCTCCTTAGAATTCCCTTAATACTAGTAATTCTGAGCTCAAGCTAAATGTTATAAAATTCATTTCCTGTCCTTTTAAGTGGAGTGTGTGTTGGACACTGATTAAAGCCTTTGTCACGGCCACTATATCATTGGTAGACTTCTGTTCTAGTGTGGTATCAAATTTGAGCACTACAGGGTTTCCCCATTTATCACATTTATGCAGTCTTCTCCTCATAAGGGATCTTTTCTTTCTCTCTCTCCTTGTGATTCCTTCCTTCCTTCTTTTTTTCTTCCCTGAGGCAGGCTTTCTCTATGTAGGCCTTGCTGTCCTGGAGTTCACTCTGTAGATCTGGCTAGCCTCAAGGTCAGAGATCTACCTGCCTTTACCTCTCGAGTGCGGAGATTAAAGGCATGCACTCTCACCACCTGGCTAGAATGGGTTTCTTAAAGTTACCAAGATCAGGTTTGTTAAAATGTCTGCTAACCCTGAACATGAGGGTAGAGCGTCTCTTCTGCGTGCATCCCCTGAGGTTCAGTAAGATTGGCCAGTGCTGAAGGATTTCTCACAGCTATCCTATTTGTAGTTTTTGACCAATGTGCATTCTCCGATGGTTAGTGAGATCAGAGCGCCTACTAAAGCTTTTCCCACACTGAGCACATGGGTATGGTTTCTCTCCAGTGTGGACTCTCTGATGAAGGGTAAGAGCTGAGCACTGACTGAAAGCCTTCCCACACACATCACACTTGTATGGTTTCTCTCCGGTGTGGATTCTCTGGTGTTTAGTAAGGTCTGAATTCTGACTGAAACTTCTGGTGCACTGAGGGCATGCATATGGTTTTTCTCCCGTGTGGACTCTATGGTGAAGGATAAGGTCGGAACTCTGACTAAAGGCTTTGCCACATCTATTACAGTGGTAGGGCTTTTCACCGGAATGTATTCTCTGATGTTTGGTGAGGTCCGAACTTTGACTAAAACTTTTATTGCACAGATTGCATATGTATGGTTTCTCTCCAGTATGTATTCTCTGATGCTTTATGAGGTCCGAACGGCGACTGAAACTTTTAGAACACCCGCTGCAAGGGTACGGTTTTTCTCCAGTGTGGATTCTCTGGTGGAGAATAAGGTTGGAACTCTGGCTAAAACTTTTCCCACACTCATCACACTCATAGGGCTTCTCACCAGTGTGGATTCTATAATGTTTCACAAGGTCTGACCTTCTGCTAAACGTTCTACTGCACTGACTGCATGGGAAAGGCTTCTCTCCGGTGTGACTCCGCTGATGGTTAATAAGATCCGAAAGCCTACTGAAGGTTTTGATGCACTGACCGCATGGGTAGGGCTTCTCTCCAGTGTGACTCCGCTGGTGCAGAATAAGGACTGAGCTCTGGTTAAAAGCCTTCCCACATTCGCTACACGTATACGGCTTCTCTCCAGTGTGAATCCTCCTGTGTTTAATAAGGTCTGAATTCTGACTGAAACTTTTGCTACACTGAGCACACGGGTATGGCTTCTCCCCGGTGTGGATTCTCTGGTGCAGAATAAGATCGGAGCTCTGACCACAGGCTTTCCCACACACATCACACTTATACGGTTTCTCCCCAGTGTGGATTCTTTGATGTTTTATAAGATCAGAGCTCTGACTGAAATGTTTGTTGCACTGGTTACACATGTAAGGCTTCTCTCCAGTGTGGATTCTCTGATGTTTAACCATGTCTGAGCGCTGACTGAAACTTTTCCTACAGTGACTACATTGGTAGGGTTTCTCTCCTGTGTGCATTCTCTGGTGTATAATAAGATCTGAGCTCTGGCTGAAGGCTTTCCCACATTCATTACATTTGTAAGGTTTTTCACCTGTGTGGACTCTTTGATGTTTAATAAGGTCTGAGCTCCGACTGAAGCTTTTAATACACCAATTACAAGGATAGGGTTTCTCTCCAGTATGGATTCTCTGATGCAGAACCAGGGCTGAGCTCATACGAAAGGCCTTTCCACATTCATCACATTCATAAGGTTTCTCCCAATGAGTTCTTTGGTGCCCAATGAGACCTGTATTCCAAGCAGAGCTTTGGTCACATTCATCGCAGGCATACTGTGTTCTCTCTGTGAGGTTCTGGTCGTTCAATCCATCCCCCAGTTCATGGAATTCTTTGCCTTTGGAATTCTCGAGAACATCCTCTGTGAGGCTGCAACATTCCTGAGTCAACGTTTCAAAGCTTCCTGTCATTTCCTCCTCAGAAGCTGGCTCTCCAATCTTGATCTTTGTCTCACCATCTGGAAGAGTAAACACAATCCACATGGAAAATGTGCTCCATGTTGTAAGAAAGTTCCAGATGAAGCAAATTAGTATGTACCTATAGATATTACAACAGGAGGGGAAGATATGGTACAAGGTGGCCACCATGGCTAAGGCGATGGCCTGCAAATGAGAGAGGAGGCATCCCACTGGAGAACGCTGAGGACAATGGGAGAATCAACAAGCAACGATCACACTTTGTAGAAGGCATTTATGAGATATAGAGATATGATTTTCACAGACGACTGGGAAAACTGAAATGGATTCACTATGATAATAAAACTGTGGGGGCTGGAGAGATGGCTCAGTGGTTAGGAGCACTGACTGCTCTTCCAGAGGACCAGGGTTCAATTCTCAGCACCCACACAGCAGCTCACAACTGTCTGTAATTCCAGTTTCAGGGGACCCAACACCCACGGCAAGACACTAATGCATATGAAACAAAAACAAATAAATTTTTAAAAAGTGTGATTAGATTAGAGCAATTAACTTATTAATATACTTAAAGCAAGCAGTATAATAAGTGTAGGAAAGGGAAGGTGGTTGCGCTTTATCTAGCAATGCTCAGGTATTTAGGCTAAAAGGTGCCAGAGAACAATAATGCAAGCGCAACTGCCTAACTATCTCTTCTCTCTTTAGCTGCCAGTCCTTGGTATGAACTATGACCCCACTTGTCAGAGAAAAACTCTTCAGAAGTAACTCCTAGGGAGCCTCTAGCAGGAATTCTCCCAATTCCTTACAGCTTATCAGGATCCAATCCCCTCAGCAACAGACTCTAAAGAACCTTCCCTTCAGTGCAGAATCTGAAGAGCCCGCCCCTCAGTGCCGAACTCTGCAGTGATCTCCAGAACCTGCTCTACACCACCTGACCCTTCAGGGTCACTTCAGCGCTGACCTCCACAGCACTGCTGCGTCAGCACTAAGGACGTGCACAACTCAAAAGGCCAAAACCTCAGTGACCCCAGCAGGACTCCTCAGTGTGACCCCAGCAGGACTGTGCAGTATGACCCCAGGACTCTGCAGTGTGACCCCAGCAGGACTCTGCAGTGTGACCCCAGGACTCTGCAGTGTGACCCCAGAAGGACTGTGCAGTGTGACCCCAGCAGGACTGTGCAGTGTGACCCCAGGACTCTGAAGTGTGACCCCAGCAGGACTCTGCAGTGTGACCTCAGGACTCTGCAGTGTGACCTCAGGACTGTGCAGTGTGACCCCAGCAGGACTGTGCAGTGTGACCCCAGCAGGACTGTGCAGTGTGACCCCAGCAGGACTGTGCAGTGTGACCCCAGCAGGGCTCTGCAGTGTGACCCCAGCAGGGCTCTGCAGTGTGACCCCAGGACTCCTCAGTGTGACCCCAGGACTCCTCAGTGTGACCCCAGCAGGACTCTGCAGTGTGACCTCAGGACTGTACAGTGTGACCCCAGCAGGACTCTGCAGTGTGACCTCAGGACTCTGCAGTGTGACCCCAGCAGGGCTCTGCAGTGTGACCCCAGCAGGACTGTGCAGTGTGAGCCCAGCAGGACTGTGCAGTGTGACCCCAGCAGGACTGTGCAGTGTGACCCCAGGACTCTGCAGTGTGACCCCAGCAGGACTGTGCAGTGCGACCCCAGCAGGACTCTGCAGTGTGACCCCAGGACTCTGCAGTGTGACTCCAGGAGGACTCCTCAGTGTGACCCCAGCAGGACCCTGTAGCGCAGGTCTCCTCTTTGGGAATTTTCTGGGCCTGGCTCTTAGTACAGAATTCTTCAGCATCCAGCTCTTCAGCATGAACAGTCTGGTAGTGACCTTCAGTTCGGTACTATTCTACATGCATACCACCAGGCTCTGTCTTTATAGATACCAGGCTAATTAACCGCCATCCAAGCAAAGCCACCAAAGCGCTAGGAATGCACCTCATTTCTGCCCCTCACGATCAGAAACTTCCCCATTTAATGTAGTACAGGTATATGCCTAGGCAGGTGGAACTTTCATGCCCTCAGGATGTATTGCATTTCCGGGTTGTTACAAGAGGATGAGTCTGGGGCGAACCGCTCAACTGTCAGAAGTTCCCCTACAGAACACTTGATGGCGCTGCAACGCAACACAATTTGAGAGGTCAGCGCCTTCTGCTCAGTGCGGACCTTTCATCCAGCTATCTCCAGGCAACTGGAAAGTGCAAAGCACCATTAAAATGTGCTAAAATTCTCTATTTGTGTCAGTGGCAAGTTTTTTTTTTTTTGTTTTTACGAGACAGGGTTTCTCTGTATTGTTTTCGAGGCTATTGGTCGAGCCCGACCTCGAACTCACGAGATCTACCTGCCTCTGCCTCCCGAGTGCTGGGATTAAAGGCGTGCGCCACCACCACCTGGCCAGTGGCAAGTTCTTTAAACTTATTTTCCTATGAACAAGACAACATGCTGACACCCATTCCCCTTGCTGCCCTAGCTAACTTGAGAAAAAAAGACTACAGACAAACAGTCAGCTGGATTACCCGTATGTCATAATTAGCCATCTAGAACACTCCACAGACACCTTGAAAACAACAGGAAGATCATAGCTGTTCCCACAGCCTCTGCCAGGGCTATCTGATGCAGTTCTCTCTCACTCTCTCTCTCTCTCTCTCTCTCTCTCTCTCTCTCTCTCTCTCTCTCTCTCTCTCTGTGTGTGTGTCTCCCTGTGCAAGAGCACCATGCCGATGCCTCAAAGTTTTCTATATGACTCTGCAAGCTCTATCATCTAGGCCAGGAGGGTGTGCCTTCCCTGGTGGTCTCGAGAGAGAGACTGTCATGACTAGGGCTAAAAGCACGGCTGAACCAGTAAGTGTGTTTGCTGCTCAGAGAAAAGGCTATGACTGGTCCAAACAAGTAGCTACAATTGGTACAACTAAAAAAGTGTGATTGGCTTAAACACTTCTTAGACTAAATAAGCAAGCCGCCAGAGACATTTTTTTTCTGCTGTCCTGGTGATGTAACAATAGGCTTTGCTCAGGTATCATTCCTGCCTACTTACAGTAGTGTGGGATGAGCAGACATGGCAAAACGCTGTCATAGAGACATTCACACAATGAACGCAGTGATAGAGACATTTACACAATAAATGCAGTGATAGAGACAGTCACACAATGAACAGTGATAGAGACATTCACACAATAAACACAGTGATAGAGACATTCACACAATAAATGCAGTGATAGAGACAGTCACACAATGAACAGTGATAGAGACATTCACACAATGAACGCAGTGATAGAGACATTCACACAATGAACGCAGTGATAGAGACATTCACACAATGAACACAGTGATAGAGACATTCACACAATGAATGCAGTGATAGAGACATTCACACAATGAACGCAGTGATAGAGACATTCACACAATAAATGCAGTGATAGAGACAGTCACACAATGAACAGTGATAGAGACATTCACACAATGAACGCAGTGATAGAGACATTCACACAATGAACGCAGTGATAGAGACATTCACACAATAAATGCAGTGATAGAGACAGTCACACAATGAACAGTGATAGAGACATTCACACAATAAACACAGTGATAGAGACATTCACACAATAAATGCAGTGATAGAGACATTCACACAATGAACGCAGTGATAGAGACATTCACACAATGAACACAGTGATAGAGACATTCACACAATGAACGCAGTGATAGAGACATTCAAACATGGAGACGGGCAGTGGTCTTGGCTGCTGGTGGCAGGACAAGTTGCTCAAGAGCAGGGAGCCAGCGTTCTGAAGCAGCCAGTAAACAAATGTGGCCAGGGCAGGAAGCAGGGCGATGGAGCAGAGGGCAAGAGAGGACAGAGAGCAGAGATGGAGAGGACAGAGTACGGAGACGAGACGGGAGGATGGAGAGCGGAGACAGAGAGCAGAGACAGGGCTCTGTGCCAGGAGCGATCATTGGAATATAGGACCTCTTGTAAATACTGCCAGCTGGGGAAGGTCCTAAATAAGGAGAGCATAATAAAAGCCATCTTAATATTCCTACTATATTCTTAGAGACTAACACAGTAAGCTTCTGTGTCTCTGTGTCTGCTTATCTTCCTGGACAGCATACTTTCAAGGCCTGCGGTCCAGGCTCTCCCACCCTTCTGCCACCTGGCCTGCAGTCCAGACTCCCCCAGCCACAGACTTGTGTCCTTGGAACAGACCCTGCCAAGATCAAGCTCCCTGCTTCAAAGCAATGGTCTCCAGCACCTAAACCCCCGCTCTGCCAAGCTTCCTGCTTCAACCACTATAAGAATCCTTGCGAGAAAATAGAAAAGTGCAGCTTGGTCAGAGAGCCTGTCTTGCTGTCTGTTCTTTGTATCTCTTGTCCCTTTCATTCCAGGTTCCTGTGGGCTGGACTTTTGTTGTGCCCTGCTGGCCAGGGCAGCTCTGGCAGGGGAGTGTGTGTGTGTGTGTGTGTGTGTGTGTGTGTGTGAGAGAGAGAGAGAGAGAGAGAGAGAGAGAGAGAGAGAGAGAGAGAGAGAGAGAGAGAGAGAGAGAGAGAGAGAGAGAGAGAGAGAGTCCGAGGCCTGGACCTGGGGCTTGACACCTACAGCTGTGGTCAAATGCTCTAGACCCTGACATGTGACATGCTTTGCTCGCGGTTGTCAGCATGGAGGAAGCAGAGGCTCCCAGTAACTCTGCTGTCTGATGCTTTCCCGACTACTGTTTGCCTCCCACTGGAGGACCATATGAGGAGCCGTGACACTGATAAATGTGCCGTCTGGGTGATCATTGTAGCACTCCGGACCCCAGTTTTAACTCTCTTTCCTCATCCCTGGTCTCCCCCTTTGGAGGCCCAGTGTGAACTCAGGAAGAACCCTGGTCCAGGTCACTATCAGGTCTCTGTCGCTAAAGTTTAAGAGGTGTGAGACCGCAAGGTGTTAAGGGTTAAAGGTCTCCATACCCAAGGCCTGCACCAAGACTGTCAGGGAAGCAGGTGTCATTGGCTGCCCATTCCACCTGCCTACTGCTGCTGCACACTGTCGCCATACTCTGAGGGGACAACAGCTGCCAGGGTTTTCCTTACCTACCTGTGGGGTTTTCTGGGTGTGCCAAAGGACCTCCAGCCAACTGCTGGTAATTTGAACAGCTTTCTTTGACTATTGCTCTAGTTCAATTTCTGTTGCTAAAATATTTTGCTAATAAGCTACTTAGGAAAGAAAGCGTTTAGTTTATTTCAAAATTCCAGATTACAGCTCATCATTGTGGGGACGTTACGGTGGCAGGAGCTTAAGCTCATCACATTTACAGTTCAGAGCAGAGATGTGAGTCGTGCATGCCAGCCTGCTTGCTTGTGCTCAGCTTGAGCTTTCCACTTCCATATAATTCCTTTGCCTAGGGAATGCTGCTGCCCACTGTGGGGTGGATCTTCCCGTATCTACTAACTTAATGAAGACAATCCCAACAGTCACCCTACAGGCCAGCCCAATATACACAATCCCACAACTGTAATTGAGATTCTCTTCTCTGTTACTGTAGGTTGTATCAAGTTGACACTTAAAGCTAACCATCACGCCGGGCTGTTGGGGAAGTCCTGTGTCAGTAAAGCACTGCTGGCCAATAGGAATCTAGATAGGTGGGACTAGGAGTCCAGGAGAACTCTGGGTAGGAGAAACACAGAGAGTCAAGATGTAACGCCATGGGGTAGGAAGCCTGGAACTATTCTCCGGTAAGAGAAATACTTAGATTAACAATTATGGGGTAATTACTTAAATCAGAGCTAGCCAGTAAGAAACAAGCAAGGCCTACAGCTTCATAATTAATATAGCCTCCTGTGTGTTTATTTGGGACTGATGTGGCTCTAGAACCAGGCTGGCGGGAAGGCTTCTCTCAAGGAAAAAGCTTCCCTTTACACCTGGCAGTGGTGGTGGTGCACGCCTTTAATCCCAGCACTTGCAAGGCAGAGGCAGGTGGATCTCTATGAGTTCGAGACCAAGCCTGGTCTACCGAGTGAGTTCCAGGACAGGCTCCAAAACAATACAGAGAAACCCTGTCTCGAGCAAAAAAGAAAAAAAAAGCTAACCATCACAAATAAGATTCTTGATTTGGCCTGACATCACCTCCCTACTGCTGACTCATTTACAGGCAAAAAGTAGAAAAATATTTATTTCTAAGTTGACCATTAATTATTCCAAGGACAACTATGGCATTAGAGGTGATGGTCAGAAATGCTACATGGGAGATTTGTAAGAGAACTACAGTGAAGCAGTGCCATATATGCTTCTGCTGGTAACAGTATTCCAAGTGAAAAGAAAAAATCCTGCTGGCATGGCTGATCATGTATGGAGTGCTCACGGCAGCAAGGGTGAAGGCGATACGTAGCTTCAAACACACGGACCACCTTTCTCCGAGGAGGGCATGCCTAGTATCAATTCTATATGCCAGTCAACAACCAGAGCCAATAGTACTCACCAACTAAGGAACACTCTAGAGAGTGATCAGTCAGTGTGTACAGAAGACAGATTCACTGCACGAGGCCAGGTCTGTCATGAAATTTGTTTTCAAAGGATTAAGTTCATAGTGTACATACAAATCTCTACTTATTTATGGAAATTGTTACCTTGCTAGCCTATATAATACTACCTTCAAAAAAGTAATCTTACAGAAAAGGAAGTGAGTGGTGAGCTCACATACTTGTAGCTCATGGGTCTACATATGTTCCATCCACCAGAAGAATGCAGCCTTGGGAGGATGATGAAATGATGTAAAGGTGAGGATGGGGAGTTGTCACAGAGGACACACTATGCGCCCTTAGCCAGAGGACAAAAAAAGCTCATTAGTTTTTTAATGGCCAGAGTACATAAGCAGTTATAGGAACCAAGAGTGGAGGAGCCGTTTAGTTAGGGTTACCATTGCTGCGAAGGAACACCACGACCAAAAGCAAGTCAGGGGGAAAGTGTATTTGCTTTATGGATCCAGAGACACAGTTCATTAAGGAAAGCTAATGCAGGAACTCACCCAGGGCAGGAACCTGGAGGAAGAGCTGACGCAGAGGCCATGGAGGATGCAGCTAACTGACTTACTCGTCATGGCTCGCTCAACCTTTCGTGTAGCTGCCAGGACTGCCAGCCCAGGAGTGGCGCACACACACTACCACCCACGATGAGCTGCGCCCTCCCCCATTAGTCACCAATCAAGAAAATGCCCTACAGGGTTGCCTACAGCCCAGTCTTCCAGACACATTTTCTCAACTGAGGTTCCCTCAGATGACTTTAGCTTGTGTCAAGTTGATATAAAACTAGCCAGCACAGGAGCTATGGGAATGCTTCCTCCTATATGTGAGTGTGTGTGTGTGTGTGTGTGTGCCATGGTGTACTTTGTGCTTGTGGAGGCTGGAGAACAACCTGTGGGATCAGTTCTCTTCTCCCACACTTGAGGTCCTGGAGACTGAACTCAGGTCACTAGGCTTGGCAGTAAATACCTTAGCCTGCTGAGACATCTCACTGTGCCCCATCATATACTCAACAAGCCACTCGGGTTACTTTCGCTTCCTAACCCCAACTCTGGGCCTAGTAAGTCTGAAGTTGTAGCTCTCAACGGAGAAATGCTTCTGCTCTGGAACAAGGCCATGTTTGCTAGCGACGGTGCCTCTTGGGTAGGTCAGGCTCTTCGTACTATAGAAATTGGGGTCAGGGTGACTAGTTCCAGTTCCGGGGGATAAGTAGCTGCTGTATGCCCTGAGCAGGATGTGAGTTCTGTGATACTGCCTGGGCGTCCTACCGCCCTGCCGGTTGCCACACTCTGACATGGTGGTCATGGGCATTACCTTTCTGAAACTGTAAGGAAGCCTCCAACAAGCTCTTCTCTGTATCCCCTTGTTCATGGTATCTTAGAACATCAACAGGAAATGAAGACCTTGGTCTGCAAGGCAACAGGTGCCTACATGTACAACAATGGCATACAGGTTACGGTGGTGTTACTGTTCTGTTGCTGTAAAGAGACACCATGGGGTCTGCAGAGATGGCTCAGAGGCTAAGAGCACTGGCTGCTCTTCCAGAGGTCTTGAGTTCAATTCCCAGCAACCACATGGTGGCTCACAACCATCCGTAATGAGATTTGGTGCCCTCTTCTGGCCTACAAGGATAAATGCAGACAGAACACTGTATATATAACAAACCTAAAGAGAGAGAGAGAGAGGGGCTGGAGAGATGGCTCAGCAGTTAAGAGCACTGGCTGCCCTTCCAGAGGACCTGGGTTCAATTCCCAGCTTCCACATGGCAGCTCACAACTGTCTGTAACTTCAGGATCCGACACAGACATACATAAAGACAAAACACCAATGCACATAAAATAAAAAAATAAATGAATTAAAAAAATTAACTGATTAAAAGAGAGAGAGAGAGAGAGAGAGAGAGAGAGAGAGAGAGAGAAGACCATGACCATGGCAACTCTTATAAAAGAAAGCGTTTAACTGGGGCTTCCTCACAATTTCAGAGTGTCGGTCCATTATCATCAAGGCGGGGAGCATGGCAGCGTGCAGGCAGACACGGTGCTGGAGAAGGAGCGGAGAGTTCCACATTCAGACTCTCAGGCAGCAGCCTGCTTGCGGTTCTTGAAACCTCAAAGCCCAGCCCAGTGACACACTTCCTCCAACCAGACCACACCTCCTGATCCTTCCCAAGTAATGCCACTTCCTGATGACTAAGTACTCAAATATATGAGCCTATCAAGGTCATTCTTACTCAAACCACCACAGGGAATAGTAACTGTTTTTTGATTGGACGGGAGGCAATTCATGCCCAGCAGTGTAAAACTGTTAGAAGCCATAGGCCCTAGTGGTGTCTTGCTAAATGGACGTGCTGTCAAACTGCCTTCTAAATATTGATGTTTACACACCTAGGTTAGTTAGCTCTGCCCTCAACTTTGGCCAGAGACGCTTCTCTCTGCAGAGCCTAGCAGCTGGTCAAAGTACTGAGAATCAGTGACAAGTGAGTGCTAAGTCCTAAATGGGACCTCTACTGTACCCTGCCTACTCTGGCTCTGGGAACACCCTAGAAGAGGGCGGAGAGGCTGAACGAACTGGAAGATGGGGGGGGAGGGTCCGTGAACTGATGATATCTTTTAGACACGGCATTGAACATTGCAGCTATGATTATCTGCACAAGATCAAGCCAGTAAGACATGTCAAAATTCCTATAGCAGTTTACAAAGAAGGGAGGAGCCGCAGGAAGTGGGGAAGGTGTCTGGGTAAATGGTAAGGGGAGCTGGACGTGAGTGTCATCAAAAAGCATTGTTTACATGTATGAAATTGTACATGTGAACATAAACGATAATCTGTTTTTTAGAAGAAGCAATTGAATAAAAACTGGATGGCTAGAATTCAAAACAAGGCCGTGTGGCTTTGTTTGGAGCACTAAAGACACGGTGTTGCTCACCAGAGAGGTGTAAGCAAAGGAGACCTCTGCTCCTCACCTGACAGAAGGTGACGCTCTTGAGAGTCACATCCGAATTGGATCTCCATGGGGCACAACCGGACGCCTCAGGAAACGGCTGGAGAATTAGCATTTCTTCTGTAAGATCCCCTTGTCCACACAACGGTCTGAGCCCCGCAGGTAGCCCTGCGTTCAGACGGCAACCATTGCGCAGAGGGCGGACGTCACTTCTGAGACGAGGACTTCTAGATAGGGAAAAAGTTAAGGGGAAAAATCTTACTTAGCTCCCATGTGCTTTTTCTGTCGGTGAACGCTTCCTTTCAGATCGTCTAGGAAGTGGGAATTAACCCTTCCAGCACAATTCCCCTTGCAAGATGAGGGATGTTCAGACGAGACTGGAAATGAACAATGCTACGCCAGGGCTTAGCATTTGCCCTGGAAATCAAGACGATGCTGCGCTCCGCCTTTCCTTCCTTCTGACACTCACAAGGCATCCTCCCCAGCTCCGCAGACTCATTCCCGTGGGTCCCTCCACCCCGTGATGCCGCTAGCACCGCAACGTTTCGGACGTCCATGCAGCTGAATCGAAGGCCCAGTGAGCACAGACCAGCTGTCCACGGAACACGCGGCCATGAGCCCGCAAGCTCAACCGCCTGTCAAACGCTACCCACGAACCCGCCGCCTTCAGGTGCTCTCTCGGCCGCTCTAGGAATCTGGGAGGATCATAGCTCTATGATACATCCTCACGCATGCGCAGCGTGAATCAGGAGCCTGGGCAGAGTCCTAAAGCGGCTCCCAGGGTTAGCCAAAGGCGCTCGCTGCTTGGCTCAAAGCTCGTCCTTTGCTGCGATTTACGGGCTCTTCAGGTGAATGTCAGAATCCGTCATCTTTCGGAAAAACTCTCTACAGCCGGATATTTTTCTGACCGGATATTTAACTCTCGTGACCCGTTTCTGTCCTGCACCTGCCTTTTCCCAATCCCAGCTCTTAATCACTTTCCTAAGTGAGCTTGCTAAATTTGTTCCTCTTTTATCCTCCCTCCCCCGCCATCCATCCATCCAGCGGACTGAACATGCTAGTTACACATTCTACCACTGAGTTATATCCCGCCCCACCCATCTGTTTCAGTTAGGGTTTCTGTTGCTGCGATGAGACACGCTGACCTAAAAGCAAGTTGAGGAGGAAAGGGTGTATTTGGTTTGCTCTCCCATATCGCTTTTCATCATCAAAGGAAGTCAGGACAGGAACTCAAGCAGGGCAGGACCCTAGAGGAGGAGCTGATGCAGAGGGCATAGAGGGTGCAGCTTTTCTGTTTGTTTGTTTTTTTGGTTTTTTCAAGGCAGGGTTTCTCTGTGGCTTTGGAGGCTGTCCTGGAACTCGCGCTGTAGACCAGGCTGGCCTCGAACTCACAGAGATCCGCCTGCCTCTGCCTCCCAGTGCTGGGATTAAAGGCGGGCGCCACCAAGCCCGGCAACAGATTTTTTTTTTTTTTGAGGGTGCAACTTTCTAGCTAGCTTCTCCTGGCTTGCTCAGTCAGCTTTCTTACGGAACACAGGACACCAGCCCAGGGAGGCCCCACCCACAATGGGCTGGGCACTCTCCCATCAATCACTAATTGAGAAAATCCCCTGCAGCCAAATCTTATGGAGGCATTTTCTCAGGTCAGTTTGCCTCGTTTCAGATAACTCAGGTTTGTGTGTCAAGTTGACACAAGCCCAGCCACCACACACACCCCTTACTAAGCCAACGCCCAGGCCTTGGATTTTCAGGCAGAAAGGTGACTGTGTTGCTGGGATTACAGATGTAGCTCATTTCTTATTTTCTTCCCCCCTCTCTCCCTCTTGAAAATTACATTATTTATTTAGTGTGTATGTGTCTTTGCGCATGCCATAACATAGCATGGAGGTCAGGGGGAAAATTGCATTCGCTGGCTGTCTCCTTCCATTTTGTTGAGCCTCAGAAACCAAATTCAGGCCATTGGCTGTGGCAACAAGTGCCTCTTTCCACTGAGCCTTCTTTCAGTCCTCTTGTGTGGTGGTGACTTCTGTTTCGTTTTGTGAGATAGGGTCTAGCTGTATAGCTCTGGCTGACCTGGAACCCACTATGCAACCCAGGATGGCCTTGAACTCCTGGCTGTCTTCCTGCCTGAGGTTCCTGAGTGATGAGATTTTAGGTATATGCTACTACGCCCCCTCCCGTTAGAAAGGAAATGACTTTCTTTATTGATACATCATCAGTGTTCAGCCAGAGCAGCACCGTAGTAACAGCACGTGTGTGTTGTATGTATACACTTAAGGAAAATTGGCTTATACAAATGTAGGAACTGGTCAGATAGTCTTGTAGCGCTCATGTGCCTATGAGCTCAGTGCTGGAATCTGATACTGACAAAGCAGAAAGAAACATAGGAGAAGCTAAGTGGAAGAAAATATAGTCAAGCTAGGAGCCACAGGTGTCAGTTGAAATTCACAATCATGAAATGAAACCTTGGGTTAACATTATTATTACTGAGTTTTATTTTTTGAGACAGGGTCTCTATTTTGTAGCTCTGACTGTTCTGGAACTCATCATATAGACCAGAACTCAGAGATATCTGCCTGCCTTTACCTCTAATTGCTGAAATTAAAGGTGTGTGCCACCATGCCTTCCTACATTGAATTTTTTTAGGACTACATGAATTTACTTATTTGATAAGTATTTCTATATTAGACACTGCGCTACAACATACACCCAGCATTTAGAATGGTCTTCAAAAACCTGAACCCTCTCAGCTTGGAGGTTCATGGAGGAGATGCATTCAGAATGTGTCACGACTACAAAATTACACACTGTACAAAGCTCAGTGAATAACAGAACTGGGGTCAGAGAAAACGGTAAAAAGTTTGTAATAGTTTTTGTTTGTTGAAGTTTTTTTTTGAGACAGGGTTTCTTTGTAACAGTCCTGGCTGTCCTGGAACTCACTTTGCAGACCTGGTTGGTCTTGAACTCACCAAGATCCACCTGCTTCTGCCTCCTGGGTGCTGGGATTAAAGCAGTGATCTTGTTTTTAAGAAAAAAATAGGCGATACATATAAATGACTAGCTTTGTTGGAAGGCCTATATGTAGTTCACCATCAGAGTCCTGAAAGAGCACTGTTGTTTCTGAAGGATATTTCAGAACCTCTTAATTTAGTTAGGTATTGTATCAGGCTCAACACCCGTATTTTGATTTAATCCTTTTTCTGCAGCCAGGAAAGCTGTATGCCTCAAAACAATGATCTTAATAAAGTTGGGAAAGAGTCATCATCAACATGGGGTCCTTTGCAGCCAGATCAATTTGAGGGAAAAGTACTCATTATTTTAATCATCAGTAGCTTCATGTGTCCAGTGGTGCCCACATTGGATAGCACGGATACAGAACACACTTTGAAAACCTAACAGTCACTTCCACACATTGACTGACTTGATTCAACTCTCAAGATCCACTTCACTGTAACCTCTGATTTTATCATGTATCCAGTCACACTTTCCCAGCACACCCCTCCCTAGCCGACTCCCCAAAGAGCTTGACGGCCACAGAATAGTAGTCTTCCGGGGTTCCTAGAGGGGCACGCTCACCCCCCACTTCCGGGGGGCGTGCAGAGTCTCGTGGCTTTCCCGCTTCCAGGGGAGGTTCAGGCAACCTGCGGAGCGAGGTGAGTGCTAGCGTGCTGCCCCAAGGCTTCAGTGCCTTCCGGATCCCTCTGGTCGGGCCGCGATCATCCCAGTTCACCCTCCCCTGCACCCCTCGCCCCGCGTCTCGGGGAGAGCCTGCTACTGTGCGGGGCCACTTCATAGTCAGCGGGGCGCTTTTCTGTCAACATGCCGCCCGCATTTACCTGCGGTTTGTTTTTTTGTTTGTTTTTGCTTTTTTGTTGTTGTTTTTGCATCGATTGCCCTTGCACGTACCGCGCCTCCTGTGTTGGTGCCTCTTAGCTGTGAACAAAGCTCGTTCCAAGGCCAGGTCTCAGTCATGGTCTTGTCTGTCCTTTATTAAACACCCTGAGAGCACCAACCTCTCTGTAGGTTATTATTTGAAAATCGGAGACGGGATCTCACTAGTTGCCCAGGCTGACCATGAATTTAGCGAATTCCCACCTCATCCTTGCAAGTAGCTGAGCTCGCAGCCCTGTGCCTCCGGGTCTGGCTCTGTGATTTGTATTCAGTATAAGATACGTATGTGTGCTTCTGTTTAATAGGTGCCCCTCCCTGCTTTTAAGTTCTATAATGGCGGGGGCAAGGTCTTGATAATTCTGTAGCCCCTAATATGATGTCTGCAGACAATAAATATTAACAAATTTGTGAAAAAACAGGCCCTCTTCTGACGAACGCTTCCTTGGACTTTGTAACTGAGATATGAGTAGCATTTCAGCAGAGAAGTCAGATCTATAATCCCAGCACTCAGGTGGCCGATGCAGGAGGATCAGATTGTTAAAAGCCAGCTCAAAGTATGAGCCCCTGCCATCCCCCCCCAAAAAACCCCACCCAAACCAAAATCAACAACAAAACAGCCGTCCAGGTTACCTCCCAAGCCACAGAAGGTGGGGACTTGCATATGTTGTTTCTCCTCAGGTTTTTGACAAAAGGTGAAGTGGTTTGAGGGAAATGCAGTTCCCTTTAACCTTCTCAAGACTCCTTGACTGAGTCAGAGATCTCAACACTGACTTACCTCGGGGTCCTTTGTAGACTGTGTCACAGATGTAGTTACTGGGATCTGGTTTAGGAGCATCTGACTGAGCTGGAAGTCACGATGAGAGCATTGAAAGAGCGCTGCATCCCAAGAGGTTTTGGTTTTAAATAAACTAGCCAGAGTACATGGAGGGAACGTGTGTGGCATTCGTACTAACAGTATACCCAGCTGACGGCCAGACTCGATTACTAGCTAGTCAGTGATGCAGTGTGGAAAGATTCATTTATTTCTCATTCGTGTACATGTTCTGTGCACTGTTTGCAGAGCTCACAACTGTAACTCCAGCTCCAGGGAATCAAATATCCTTTGGTAGTCTCTGTGGACACAGCTCTCGTTAGCACAGTAGACACCCGTATGTATGTATGTATGTATGTATGTATGTATGTATGTATGTATCTAAATATATGTATATTTAAATAGATCATAAAAAAGAAAATTTGAAAACTGAGTACTATCATAGACACTGGAATTAAAAGGTTAGACATATATCAGAGTCACGATCACTACGTGAAGAAGACACATCAGTGTGCAGCCCTGGCAAAAGCTGTGACACACCATAAGCAGATCTGACAGCATAGCACACATCATTTTGTTTCCCTCTTTGCTTACATTTTATTTGTTTTGGTTTGTCGAGACAGGGTTTCTCTGTGTAACAGTCCTGGGGTGTCCTAGAACTTGGCTGGCCTCGAATTCACTGAGATCCTCCTGCCTCTGAAGTACTGGGATTAAAGGCATGCACCACCACCACCCAGCTTACATTTCCGTCTGTGTGTGTGTGTGTGTGTGTGTGTGTGTGTGTGTGTGTGTGTGTAGATTGCAGGAAAACGTTCAGGGATTCTCCTCTTATTGTGCTCCAGGTATGAAACTTGGGTTATCAGCCTTGGTGACAAGTGTCTACTGTTTTTTGTCCTTCCTCCACTCCCCTTTTGAGACAAGGTATCACTGTGTAGCACTGAAATTTCTTAAATCCTGACTTAGTAAGAACAAGAGTAATTTTATTATTTCTCTGGCACTAAAATTTAAGAAAGTTTGGGGGTATTTAAGAGGCAGAGGTAACGAGGATTATAAGTTTTGAGACTAGCCCTAGCTGTATATCAAGACCCTATCTCAACTATATATATTACATGTTTATCCCTGGATTTGTGTGTGTGTGTGTGTGTGTGTGTGTGTGTTCGAATGTTGGCTACTTCTGAAGTAGCATCTGTTAATATCTGTCACAGCAAAGAGGAAATGCTACTTTGAAGGTATCTCAGACCTAACTTTTTATTTATTTGTTTGTTTTTCTAGATAGGATTTCTCTGTAGCTTTGGAACCTATCTGGCCTTGAACTCACAGAGATTGCCTGTCTCTGCCTCCCGAGCTCTGGGATTAAAGCCATGTGCCACCACGGCCTGGCTAGACCTAACTTTCTTACTGAATAGTTCAGTCTATGGCACAATCATCTTCCGGTCACTAGAGGTGTCCAGAAACCTGAATTTGTCATTCTCTCTTTCTTTAGAAACAGGGTCACAGTAGGTTAGAACTCACTATGTAGAGCCTGAGCTAACAGGAATTATAGTCTTCTTGCCTCAGCCTAGTAAATGTTGATGATACCTGACCTTGACTCCTCTGTCTTCCAAACCTTTATTGTAATGTGCATTCTTCCCTTCAGCCTGGTCCCAGAGCCGCATCAGTCCCAAATGAACACACAGGATACTGTATTATGATGCTGTTGACCATTTGCTATGGTTTCTTAATGGCTAGCTCTGACTTAATTATTAACCCATAATTACTAATATATATTTTTATAAGGTCTTATCTTTCTGAGGACAACATCCTGACGTGTTCTCTCCTCCTGGGATCACATGGCGACTCTCTACTCTTGACTACATTTCCCAGAATCCTCCTCCACTCCTACTCCCACCTATCTTGCTTCCCTATTGGCCAACAGTGCTTTATTTATGAACCAATCAGACAAACATATACACAGAAGGATTTCCCCCATCACTTTACCAAGTAGGTCTCCAAGTCCTGTTCAGTTTCTGTATCCTTGGCTCCTATTCCTCAAGCCATTATGGTCTCTTGTCTGAATGGTTGTAGAACCATGTCTTCTGCATACTGCTCTGCGTGGGAGACAGACCTTCCAGTCATGCTGTGGCTTTGGGATTCAACCACTCAGACCATGGATGGCTTGGCTATTCTGCTATAGGTGTATTTTCTCTTAGTATCCATTAGTATTCCAGGGCCTGGCATAGACTTTTAGACATGGGTATATAGAAGTACCTGGGGCATTTACTAAATCTGACTGAATCTGTCATAGGGTCCATCTCCCATGGCTAATTGAGCGATTACTGGAGGTGACAACCATGAGTCTGCTATTCCTAAATCACTACCAGCTTCTTCAGCGGGCCATGTCCTCTCATACCCATTTGTGCCCCTGAGATCAGATTTTTCTGAGATTCGTCTCGCAGGCAGCTCTCCCTGCCTCTGCTGGCCCCTCTTCTGGTCTTAGTCATCGGTCTTTTCCATGTGCTAACCTTTGATTTACCATGCTGTTTACCGGTTGTTTCCCACATTGAACGAAGTGACCCTTGGAAGAGAACTTTTAATATGAGAGTTCCATTTAGCTATCTGTATAGCACACAGTAAAAAGTATTTGTGAAATAATGAATGAAGGGAACCCATGACTCTTTTATGCTGTGACTTAGAGTCAGGAAAATCTTTTCTTTTTTTGTACATTCATTCATGAACATCTCCCCTGACCCCAATCCTAACATTTTTGCCATAATTGCTAATTTGCAAGAACAACCAAGACTGGTCTGGGCAATGCAGTCTGGAATAAAAACAGCTAGTGATTTAGTATCAGGCACTCCTAGGTTCACATCCTGACCAGTTGGGGACTCAGGCAAATTCAAGATGCTTGACTTCATCTGTAAAAGACGGGCATGGTATTTACTGCACAATGGTATTGCTGAGATCCAATAAAATAGCTCTTGTAAGCTGCCTGGGTCAAAGCAAGTGCTTCATTTTGAGTTCCTGTCTTTTGGGGGACTCCATGGCATAACAGAGCTAAATGCTTTTCTCACAAAGTCCAGCTCTGCTGTTTGTTAGCTGTGTGCCTTTGGTCATCTTGTGATGTCAGAAGCCACATTTGGAGAATGGGACAAAGCATGATTGTCCTTATGGAGTACTATTTTATTATCCCTGATGCTACCTCTAATGTTATTGATTTTAGCTACACTAAAATTTTGTCTCACATCCTGAAAACCGTCTTGAATAATCTATACATTATTATTTGTATGGAAACACCCTTCTAGTCTGTTTCTACACAGGCACTGCTGTGTAGAAATGCAGTGAGCTGCATTCCTTAATGATGCAGGCCAGTCTTCCCCCCACAAGTGATATATTTATATAAATATATATATCCATCCACCCAAGTGGCTGCCCTTCATAGACATGTGTTTACACTCTGAGCACATGCTTTCCCTGTGTAACATGAGCACTGTCCATCGTAGGGGCTCTTTGGATCTCCCTCCTCTCTGCCTCAGCAAGGTAGTCTTTTCAGATTGTCTTGCCCAGGATGTTCAGAGAGGCCACAGCCTTGGCCTGTCATGCTCCAAAAGGACAAAATGGACTCAGCTTTGTCAAAGTTGAAGAAGAAAATGTTTGGAGGCAGGACTTCAGCCTGGAGGGAAACCTCCAGAGCCAGGAGGTTTTCCGCCAGCAGTTTAGACAGTTTGGCTACTCTGACTTCACTGGGCCCCGGGAGGCTCTGAACCAATTGCAGAAGCTTTGTGAGCAGTGGCTGAGGCCGGAGGAGCGCTCCAAGGAGCAGATCCTGGAGCTGCTGGTGCTGGAGCAGTTTGTGGCCATCTTGCCTACGGAGCTGCAGGCCTGGGTGCAAGAGCACAGACCTGGGAACGGAGAGGAGGCTGTTACTCTGCTGGAGGAGCTGGAGAGGGAATTCGACGAACCAAAACAACAGGTAAGAGGCAAGGGCTTCTGCTGGCTTTGATCCGTTGTGGTTACAGAGTAGCACTATGAGCAGCACTGGCTCAGCGATCAGGGAACTTAACTAGTTGCTGTCTCTTGGTAAATTAATTATTTACCCATTAGTTCATTAGTTCAAGTCACGGGGTCTGTAGTGCTGTTCTTTTCTTCTCTGGTCATCTGAAGAGCCTTTGGTTCTTTTGTCCTTTGCTGTAGGGTGTTTCTCCTGTATCTCCCCAGTCACGGTGCTGGTACTTGTTACTCTAGGACACAGCTCATGGCCAAGAAACGATCTGTAAAGAAATGACACTCACGGGAACACGGAAGTCTCTGAGTAGCCCTCTGCAGTCCTTGAAGAACCATTGCAGGAGTGAACCCCAGGAGCCCCAGGTTTTTCAGGAGAGAGATGAGGCAGCCCTTCCATTTCGGGTTGAGGATGGAGGTGAGACCATCAATGTGCCAAGGCTGTCTTAATGACTGTCACTTGTACTGCCACTAAGTATTGTGGAAAATCCTGCTGACTTTGAAATAGTCTTCAATTGGCTCAGCCTAGGATTTGAAATTTCAATATAATTTTTAAACTTTGATTAAGAAAAAAGTCTTGCTGGGTGGTGGTGGTGCATGCTTTTAATCCCAGTACTCAGGAGGCAGAGGCAGGTGGATCTCAGTGAGTTTGAGGCCAGCCCAGTCTACAGAGCGAGTTCTAGGACATCCAGAGCTGTTACACAGAGAAACCCTGTCTTGAAAAACAAAACAAGACAAAATAAAACAACAAAAAATCTCAAGTCATTTTCCAAGACTAACACTTTTTTAAAAAAAGATTTATTTATTATGTATACAGTGTTCTGTCTGCATGTATGCTTGCAGGCTAGAAGAGGGTACCAGATCTCATTATAGATGGTTGTGAGCCATGTGGTTGCTGGGAATTGAACTCAGGACCCTCTGGAAGAGCACTTAGTGCTCTTAACCTCTGAGCCGTCTCTCCAGCCCCAACTAATGCTTTTTTGTTGTTTTGTTTTTGTTTTTTAAGACAGACTCCAAAGTTACACAGAGAAACCCTGTCTTGAAAAACAAAACAAAACAAGACAAAAAACAACAAAAAAGTACTAGTCTTGGAAAATGACTTAAGATTTTTTGTTGGTTTTTTTTTTTCCAAGACACGGTTTCTCTGTGTAACAGCTCTGGCTGTCCTGGAACTAGCTATGTAGAACTGGGCTGGCTTCGAACTCAAAGAGATCCACCTGCCTCTGCCTCCTGAATGCTGGAACTAAAGGTGTGTGCCACCACTACTGGCTACTAATACTCTTTTAAAAAATTTTTTTTGTCACATTAACAAGGCAGTTTCTATGAGGGACAAGAATACTGTGCTATCAGCTAAAGTCTCATAATAACTTGGAAAATATTACTAAATATATTAAATATAAATAATAAAAATTGTCATCTGCAAGCCAGATGTTGTGGCATACACCCATAATACCAGTACTGATTTGAAAGGCTGAGAGTTAGGAAGGCTGTGTATTCCAGCCAGTCTGGACGACATAACGAGATGGTCTCAGGAAGAAAAGCAGCAAGCTATTGACCACTATGTAGTATCACTAAGAACCAAACTCTAGAATGAACAGGGTAAGGTAGAAAGTCCTCAAAGGACACATATGCAAGAGGTGCCATGCTTCATCTGCTCCTGCTAGGCCTGAGACCCTGATCTTGTTAGGGAGGATACAGTCACAGACTGAGGTAGAGTTATTCTCTGAGTGCACAGCAGCCTAGACTCAGTAGGAGCCAACTGTAGGGTACTAATAGCCTGCCAGAAAATTTGACTTAGCAAAAAATTTGCTGGGAGATTTACTGGGGTTGTGTTGTTGGGTGTCTTTCATGCAGCAGTAAGCAGAAAGGCCATCTTCTCCAATGTCCTTCCAGCTCCCTCAGCTGATAAAAATGCACATGCTAGCAGCCAGTATTACAGATAGGACAGTGATGAATTTGAAATAAGGAGGCAATGAATTGAAAGTATCATAGGTGCCAAAGGCCTTTAAATTATTGACAACATCTGTACGGAGGGCAGCCACATCTGGTTTAGTAGCTTGTTATTATATCTAACTGATTCTGACTTCATTTTCTCCAAGCAATCTTGTTACAGTCCCATGAAGTTTAACTATATTAACAGAATGCCTGTACAATTTACATTATCCTCTCCACCCTCCCTGGAGTTGAGGATGGAACCCAGGGCCTTGCGCTTGCGAGGCAAGTGCTCTACCACTGAGTTAAACCCCGACCCCTACATTATTATTACAGTTATACTGCATAGTTACAGGAGCTTGGCTAGTATGAGTCCACCGTAAGAGATAATTTTATGTTGATAGAATTAGGTTTAAGTCTGAAGGCCTGACCTTAGACCTTGGCAGATCACCAAAGGAATCACAGCAGTGAACTGCTGAGGTTTCTTTAGAACACCCACTCACCCTTGTTCTAATTACCTTCTCTGATTCATCCCTCTTACGTACCCTGTGTATTAAGCAGTAGGCACATAAAATGCATTAAAAATGTTCTTAACATATCCTTGCCTTATAGGATCTACTGATAGATAATAGCTAAATATATTAGTTTTTTTGTTTTTGTTTTGCTAAGGATTTTCCATTTGTTTTTTTTTTTTTTCCTGAGATGGGATTTCTGTGTAGCCTTGGCTGTCCTATAACTCACTCTGTAGACCAGGTTGGCCTTGAACTCAGATTCATCTGCCTCTGCTTCCCAACTGTTCGGATTAAAGGCACGTACCACTGCAACCTGGCATCTGTATTAGTTTTTAAACAGTATTATGGGATACCTGAAGCAACTAACATTAGAAGGAAAAAAGTGGTTTATTAGCTTGTGCATTTAGAAGTTTAAAGTTGTGTTACCTTTGACTCATTTCTGGTTAGGGCCCTTTCTGTAACATTTGATGTTGTTTATGAGAGTACAGACAAACACAAACATGTGATCACATAAAAGCAGGAAACAGAGAAGCAAATCAAAGTCATGCTTAGACTTTCATAACAGTCCTTGCGAGAACTAACCAGAGCTTCATGAGAAACATTTTATCGTTTTGATGGTGTTGCAGTTGATTAGCATCAACTAATAGGCCTGGCCTCTTAAAGGCGCCATCAGCTGCTACATCACCACACCGGGGACCAAGCTCCTAACAGATAAGCCGTAGAGAACAGCAGCATCCAAACCATATTATGTCTAAATCTTTTAGGACAGATATATCCACACGCCCCTATCCCTTTCTATCTCTGTCCTGGTCTTTTTGAGACAGTTTCTACATAGCTTTCACTGTCCCTTCTCAGTGTTGGAGCTCTAGTTTTACTAAGGTCTTAACATATTCCACTCTAATTTCCTTTGGATGTTGCATCATAGGTAGAAAATTCTAGTTCTTGGTACCTTAGGATGTAACTACTTTTTGGAGATGAAGTTACTGCGTTCCTTATCCATTATGCCTGCTGTATTTTTCGGAACAGGAAAAAAAATCCTGTTTCTCTGATTTATGCATCTGTGGTCAAAAACTTTCTCTGGTCACATCATTTCACTTCATGGAGTACTTATTGCTTTGTTTTTAAGACAGGTTCTCATTATGTAGCTCTGACCATGGAACTCACAAAAATCCACCTGTCTCTGATTCCTAAATACTGGGATTAAAGGTGTGCACTACTATGCTTAACAGGTGCAATATTTTTATGCCTTTATTATATACTAGTGCTTTGTCTGTTTTTTTTTTTTTTTTTTGGTTTTTTGAGACAGGGTTTCTCTGTATTGTTTTGGAGCCTGTCCTGGAACTCGCTTGGTAGACCAGGCTGGTCTCGAACTCAAAGAGATCCACCTGCCTCTGCCTCCCAAGTGCTGGGATTAAAGGCGTGCACCACCAACACAGGCACTTGTTGGGTACTTTTTAATTGAGACAGAGTCTCAGTATGCAACCCTTGCTGGCCTGGAACTCAGTAAGTAGACGAGGCTGGCCTCAACCTGAGTCTTCAGGATGCTGGAATTTAAGGTGTGTGCCACTAACTAGCCTTTCCCCATAACTTTGGAGATAAGCACAACCTTGAATAAGTTGTCACTATAACTAATGATTTAACTTTCTGGAATCCAAGAACAGTACAAATTGCGTTGTGCAAGTCTTACCTTTGCTGTCTCTAATTTCCCAGCTGGCACTCAGCTTTTGCTAGGCACTCACTGTAATGCTGTATTGTTTTCAAGGGGTTGTGAAACTTGAATATCAGAAATACTTATTTTCATGTGAAAGCATCACTTCCAAAGATGAATTAAAGTGAGTTTCAAATTATTTTTTGTCTCAGTGCAACTACAGCTATGCTTCCAAAAAGATAGGCAGGTAACTTGGGGAAAGACCTTAAAATTCGAAGTCAGCCATCTTTAATCTTGACTGCCAAGTAGTAATCCTAATAAAACATAGCCCTTGAAAACTTTCGTTTCCTGAGTGGTAAAATGCATATTTTAGAGGATTTTTGAAGGAATAAAAATTAACAGTTCAGATTTTTCCCTTAAAGTAATTCAATTTACATTAATCATCTGTAGTAGCTACTGCTTTGAGATGTTAGGAATTTAGAAATCAAAGGGCATGCTATATGATAGCTGGATCTGCCTTTAGGCAGTTGTTTTCATCCATTTTATTTGACCACTTACACTTGTGCAGTGAGTTATTACTACTACTGACCCAGAATGAGTAAGGAGTCCAGACTACTTCTTTCTATATGCTTTGCCTTTCTCTACTGCTTATATTTGCCCTATTTGGAACCTGCTAGAATTTGCAAATGCTATCTTGCTTTCTTTTTCCTGCCCATCTCCCTATGTCCAATACTTACACCCCAAACGTTCTATAGTATCATGTGCTCTACTTTGTTAGATGTGCCAATGATCTGCAATGCTTAAGACTCTTATTCCTGATTCTCTGTCTCCTTTCTCATATTATCTAATCTAGAATATTACTGTTTGTCACCTCTAAGTATGCTTTCTTGTGTACAACTCAGCATCTCCAATACTTAATGCTCTTTGCCCACTTTACTCTCTTGAGTTCTTCTATATTGGGAAGCTAACTGTCATTTCCCCAACCTCATCCCTTCCCCAATCCTGGAGATTAAATCTAGGGCCTGTGTTTGCAAGCACTGTCACTGGGCTGTATGCCCAGCCCATTTTTTTAAATGTATGAGTGTTTGCCTGTGTGTATGCATTTGCACTACCTGCATGCCTGGTCCCCACGGAGGCCTGAAGAGGGTGTTGGGATCTTCTAGAACTGGAGCTAGAGGTGGTTGAGACCAGGTGGGTGCTGGGAACTGATTCAGGGCCCTCTGCAAGAAGAGTATGTACCCTTAAATGACCAAGCCATCTCGAGACCAAGCACTTAACCCATTTCCTTTGGTTTATTTGTTGTTCCTCCTATAACTTTCTAAACATGAAAATGATACACCCTATTCACATTTGTAGACAGCAAGATGATGACTGACAAAGGATTGACAGCAAAGAAAGAAATTATTGGATGTGTTACATCAGTGGCCATGGCATCTCAAGGAAGACTTCCTGGGGAACCTTCTCCAGTACAGAGAGTTGAAGAAACTATGGGATGTTTGAACAATAGTGAGAAGCAAAGAGGAAGTGATGACACAAGCAACAAAATGAGTCCAACTTCTTCCCAGGAAAGCTGCTTCAGTCTGGCAACCTTTAATGAGAACACCTCTTCAGAGCGGAACACCTTTAACGAGAACACCTCTTCAGAACGGAACACCTTTAACGAGAACTCCTCTTCAGAACGGAACACCTTTAACGAGAACACCTCTTCAGAACGGAACACCTTTAACGAGAACACCTCTTCAGAGCGGAACACCTTTAACGAGAACACCTCTTCAGAACGGAACACCTTTGGGTGTAACGAAGGTGAAAGAGGTCTCAGTCTAAACTTAGATGACACCACACGGCCCAGAGCTCACACAGGGAAACTGCTCTATGAGTGCGTGGATTGTGGAAAAGCATTTTGCCATAGGTCAAAGCTGATTAGACATCAAAGAAGTCACACTGGAGAGAGACCTTATGCATGTAAAGAGTGTGGAAAAGCCTTTGGTTTCAGAACAGATCTTGTTAGGCATCAGAGAATTCACAGTGGTGAAAAGCCTTACAAATGTTGTGACTGTGGAAAAGCTTTCAGAGGCAGCTCAGGGCTCATTAGGCATAGGCGAATTCATACTGGAGAGAAACCTTATGGTTGTGATGAATGTGGGAAAGCCTTCAGCCAGAGTTCTACTCTTATTCAGCATAAGAAGATTCACAGTGGAGACAAAAGCTATGAATGTACTGAATGTGGTAAGGCTTTTAGGAGAAGCTCTGTTCTTCTGGAACATCAAAGAATCCACACTGGTGAGAAACCTTATGAATGTAATGAATGTGAAAAATCCTTTAACCAAAGCTCAGCACTCACCCAGCACCAGAGAACCCACTCTGGGGAAAAGCCTTATAAATGTTATGAATGTAGGAAAATATTTAGGCATAGATCAGGTCTTATGCAGCATCAGAGAACACACACCAGAGTGGGTAAAAGTTGTGTAATTGTGAAATGCTAGGAATTCACTTTAAAGGTGAGACTCCACAAAAAATGTTTTCTGACAGTAGGACTTTTGTCTTTTCAGCTCAGTTCAGTAAAAAAGAAATCCACACAAAAATGCTTACACATTGAAAGAATTATATCTAGATCTTGTCTACAAAGACTGGTATCTTCTAAAAAAGACTGACCCATTTCTGAATGAGGATTCTCACCAATATTTTCTTCATCCCATCCCCTGCTACCGATAGAACTGTCATTGAGTACCTCCATTTAAGTCCATGACTGAGGCACAGATCCTACAAGGTCTCTTTCTAAAATGGAAAAGATCACTGCCCAGCCAAAGTGTGTGTCTGATTAGAGCAGCATGTTTTAAGCTACTGAACTCTGGAATGTTGAATTGCGCTATGAAATGTCATGCCCTAGATCAGTTTAGTATCCGAGGAATGGAAGCTCATTCTGCCCCCTTACCAGTTCTTTCAACCAAGCTTCCTGTTACAGTTTATTCCCTTATTCGGTACTTCCTGGGATAACCATTGGGAGAACAGACTTGGTCATTGCCCTCTCAAAATTAAGGGGCAATGGAATATACCCATTTGTTAAACAAGTTATTATGGTAGGAGGGTGGCAGTAACTTAGCCAGATAAATTCAGGGTTCTGTTGGAAGACATTTCAGAGATGCTTTACCTGATCTACAAGTTAACTAAAGATTTCTTGGGTGTGTTATCTCATTTGTAACCTAACATACAGAAGTTGGCCTGACAAATGGCAGAACAGAGGCAGAGTTTATACTACATACATGGGATAATGAGAAGAGAGGATCTGGAGACATTCCTGTATCTTGACTTCAATTCCTGATAGAGCTTTCTTTGACCCCAGTTCAGAAGCCAGGTTGGTTTCTTTTCCTGTTTGTAATAGCCTGAGTTGGATAACCTATTTCAGCTCACAAGACCTCTATGATCTAAAAGTATTTACAATTAGTGTGGGAAAAAAGAAATCCCTGGTGTTTCTAATGTAAAGTCATACATGCACACCAAGGAAACAGCACGCGTTGGAAGCTGAGGGACTGGAGTCAGGAGTCTCCCTCAGCATTAGGTTTGCAGAATGGTTAGCCACTTGAGGGAAGTACATACTAAGCCAATCTCTCAGATTCTACAAAACTCTTGATTTTAATTTGGCAATTTTAATTAGCCTACAATTGCTGAGGGTAATTTCTACTTAGGGAAATGCACCATTTTTGAAGACTTGGTAATGATAGCTATTGTGAATGGGGGGGGGGGGGTAAAATTGGATGTGGTTCTCGCTTCCAAAGGTTGCACAACTGTTATTTACGATCTAACTTAAAGGGATAATTCAAACGGACAGTGAATTGCCTTTTCATATAGATAACAAATGAATGACTCAATGTTCTAAATATCATGTAACCCTTTCGCTAATTTTGAGTGTTGAGAAGTATAAATAATCCATAATCCTGTTACTCATAGCAAAATTAACTTTTGAACCACTTCCTATTAGTGTTTTTCTGAAATCCTAATATTTTTGGCAAAAATCTTTAGTATAATTTTTTTGCTAATTTTAATATTTATATGTTCAGTATGCACTCCAGTTGCTTAGTATGAGCATGTAATGGAATGTATTGTTATAAAACTGAAATTTTAAAATTTCGTTTTTAAATCATTCATGTAAAGGAATATACACCATGGGGGAGTTAGGCTGGAGGGTGGGTAGGAGTGTGGGGAAAAGTAGCACACTTAGTTTCTAGGTTACATAAACAGCATCAGGAAGCTGTGACAGCTAGACGTTTAAGGTTGAGTTGCTGGAGCACTGGAATGAAAGCAAATGCCTTTAAAATTCATGCACATAACTAAACACACCCAGACATCTTCAATACTAAGTTAGAAAGATCTTTGGAATGACTTGAAATTATGTGCTTGTGAATGCAAGTGCCTACAGAGGCCAGAAGAGGGCACTGGATCCCCTGGAGTTACAGAGGGTAAACCGCCCAATGTGGGTGCTGGGATGGGGACCTCTGGTCTCCTACAAGAGCAGTACCGCTCTGAGCCATCTCTGTAGGCCCATGTTTTGAGTAATTTTGAGACAGGGCCTCACATGAAGCCTAGGCTGGCTGGAGAGATGTGACTTTCTTCAGCAGTTCGCAAACAGGAGTAGGTTTTAGGTCACTGAAATGACTGAACGCCTCAGTCCTCCCATTCTAATGCAGCTGTGAAATGAGGGAGACAGGTGAGGCTGACTTAAGGTCCCTGTGAGGCACACACTGCTTTGTAACTGCCACTGGAGCACGAGGGAGGAGAGCAGGGCAGAGGCAAGGGCATTCGTTGTTTTCTTCCAGAAAAAGACAACTTCCTTTCAGCTGTTGTTGGTGTCCACTCCACTGCATAAAGATTGAAACTTTGACCAGATCATCTTCTGTTCCTTTAACATGAGGATATAGACGTGAGATAACGTGTTCATGCCTTCTGAATTCATGGAAAAGCACCAATGATGAAGTTGTTAAACTTAAGACTAGCCTTTTCCAGCCATAAATCTTCAAGCACTTATGTTAACTTGCACAAGAATGTGTAATTTGAGGGTAGCCGTTTAATATTATGAAGTAGATATGTTTGCATTGATTTCATCAGCCATGAAAGGTCAAAGTTAAGACTTGAGACAGGGATGTCAGAGGGCAAGTGCTTATTTTGGACTTTTGTTCACTAGCTGCTCTGCCTAGGGCTGGGGATCTAGGGATTAAGCCGGCAACCTTAAACATGGTAAACTTATGCTTCACAATTGAACTATTCTCCTGCCTTCCTCTATAAACAGTATTAGATTTTGCAGTCAAACTTGAAATAAAGAAAACCACACTAACTGTAACTTCACCACTCAGAACCAGTATAACATCTTGACATTGTAGATTTCCATTATTTTTAATGTATGTTTTACATGGGATCATGTTATATATTTAATGTATCGTGAATGTTTAACTTGTTTTAACAGCTTGCTAGGCTGCATATTCATGGTTTCTTAAATATATTTCTGGGTAGGGTTTCAAAGTCCAAGGCAGTGCTTAAGGCTTCTGGTACTGACTGTCAGAGATATGTATTCATAGCCCATTAGCAGCACTTTCACTTCTATTCCAGTATATCTTTAACTTGTAAGACTGGGCATATATGGATTGCTCACTGGTGTATCTGTGATTTGTTTAAATGGTTTTTTGAGGCAGGGTTTCTCTGTGTAGCTTTGGAGCCTATCCTGGCACTTGCTCTGTAGACCAGGCTGTCCTTGAACTCACAGAGACCCACCTGCCTCTGCCTCTTGAGTGATGGGATTAAAGGCACGTGTCACCAACGCCTGGCCAATTTGTTTAAATGTTAATGGGACTTTTCCATGGATAGTATAAAGTGCTTCCAGAATAGTTGAGTTGAAATTCTGACCTTTAGGTATGATAGCCTCCATTTCCTATGTGCAAAATGCGATTTTTACTAATGACTAACACATATACAAAGCCCTTGGCAAATACCCATTATATGAGCTCTAGAGTATTTCCCTTTTGTAACATTATCCTACTTAGCACCCACAATAGGCATTTAGTTCATTATTTTTATTCGTTAGTATATACTCACAAATGTGTAAGACAGAATTAACTTTTATATCCTCATAAAATTACTCTTCTGTGTTTCCACATAGGTTTGATTTGGGTAAGGTGTCACTCCTCCAGACTCTTAGGTCTTTGAATCCAGTGTTTTCCCCCAATTATCTTGTAGCTCCAACTGACCAGGAGAGCCTCATCCTTTGTCTGTCTAGAGTGCAGGGATGACAGGCTCTTGAACCCATCAGCTTCCCGCCTTGCACTGTGCGCCAGTCTTAGGATACTCTTCCTGATGGGTTGCCTTAGAAAAGGCAAAGCCAACAATTACCTCTTTTGGTTATCACTTCTCTAGCACTGTCCTCAAAACTTTCAAGATACTGCTAAATATTGCTGACATAAGACAAGATATTCGAAAGGTATTTGAAGAAAAAGCCAAAGACCCAGAAACTGGCAATTTTTGAGCACTTGAGCAAGGCAGTTGTGCTCTGGTGGAGAAAGGGTAGAGAAGCAGCCTTGGAAACAGTTGCTATGGCATCCTCTGACACAGCAACTCCAATACTGTCTACAGAACAGGGCGGTATCTAGGCTGTTCTCTCACATATCGCACTGGTAGCACTCTCTGTAGAAGTTTAAACGTTGTGTCAGGCTGTGCCAGGAAAACACCCACCAGTCTTCCAGTAGGCCACATTGACCAAGACAAACTTTTTCATGATGCCATGAGCAAGGACTCTTAGGTTTTTATTTATTAATAGAAACTTCTTCATAGGCTCATGTGCAGTGCTTTAGAGTCTAGTTGTAGCCATACTTCTCACAGATGTGATGCAATTCAGAACTCAACAGGCAATGTTCCATGTTTTGTTCCTGGTGTTAATCTGGTGCAATCTGGCCTTCCTTCCTGGTTAACTCCTCATTTTTCCTATCATTTCAGTTTCCTTTATTCAAAGTTCTTGGGCAAGAGGGAAAAGGAGAGTGCTGGGCAGTGGTGGCACACACCTTTAATTCCAGCACTTGGGAAGCAGAGGCCAGCCTGGTCTAGAGAAGGAGTTCCAGGACAGCCAAGGCTACACAGAGAAACCTTGTCTCACACCCAAACTACGCCCCCGTCCCCAACTGTAATAGACTAGTGTCATTACCTGACTGGCAATGGCTATTAAGCTGTAGAAGTTACCTTTTATTACTATATTTCTAGACCCTGGTATAAAGCAGGTATTAAAAAATAACTTAGGACTTACCTAGCATGTGAGGCCCTGGGTTATACCCAGCACAGGGGTGGAAACCAGACAGGGCCCTCAGCTTGCAAAAACTAATTTGCATCTTTTTCTTCTCAGGCTCATTTCATTTTGGGCCTGTTTTGGGATGAACAAACCATCAAACTGTTTCCTCACTTTTCTTGTTGACTGGCTACTGCTTAGTAAAAATTTTTGAGCTTAAGCCGTCTTTCATGCCATCCACATTATCTAACAAACCTGCTACAATCACATGTAGTGAGACAGAATGAAGCTTTTCCCATGACATTCTCATAGAAAATGAGATCTCATTAATACATTACTGTTTTTTTCTTTCCCCGAGTATTCCTAAAAGCAAAGCCCAAAGTAATGGTCTTATATCTTGTTCTGGAAAATCACAGCAGGTTTCAAAAAAAGTTTGCACTAGCATTGGGAAGTGCTGCACAAAGAAAGTTAGACTGACTGAAGACAATTTATTTTTTAAAACTGCCTTTACGGAATCTTCCTCCAAAGCCAAGTCAACCTTTTGTCTAATATAGCGAAAAATAGATCGATTTATTTACTAGAATTGTTACTTAACAGCGTGGACTCTCTGATGGCGCATCAACACTGACCTGTGCCTAAAAGCCTTCCCACATTCGTTACATATGTAAGCTTCATCCCCAGAGTGGATCCTCCGGTGCTGAACAAGGGCCGAGCTCCTTTTGAAGGTTTTCCCACAGTCATCACACTGGTAAGGCTCCTCTCCACTGTGGATTCTCTGGTGTCTTACGAGGTTTGAATTCAGACTGAAGGCCTTCCCACACTCACTGCACTCATAGGGTTTCTCCCCACTGTGTATCCTCTGATGGGTAATCAGCTCCGAGCTCTGCTTGAAGGCTTTCCCACATTCGTTGCATTCATAGGGTCTCTCTCCTGTATGGATTCGCTGGTGTCTAATAAGCTTTGAGCTCTGGCTGAAGGTCTTCCCACACTCGTTACACTCATAGGGTTTCTCCCCGGTGTGGATCCTCTGATGGATGATTAGGTAAGAGCTTTGGCTGAATGCTTTGCCACACTCATTACACTTACAAGCTTTCTCACCTGTATGAATTTTCCGATGTCTCGTGAGAGCTGAACTCTGGTTGAAGGCTTTCCCACACTCATTACATTCATAAGCTTTTTCACCACTATGGATTTTCTGATGAATAATGAGATATGACCTCAAGCTAAAGGCCTTCCCACACTGATTACATTTATAGGGCTTTTCTCCAGTATGGATTCTCTGATGTTGTGTTAGAGAAAAATGCTGTTTAAAGCTATGCCCACACACATCACATCTGTAAGGTCTCTCTTCTGGAGAAACGTTCTGACATGTTACAGAGTTTGTACTTAGAATTAAGCATCTTTGAGATTCATCATGATGGTCTCTCTTTGCTAAGGATTTGTGTGTGAAGATCACTTGACTAAAACTACCCCTGTGGAGAGGGGAACTTCTTTGCTGCCACTCTAGATTGCTTTTGTGCTCACTAACACCTCTAAATGAAGGATCCCAAGAGAGTTCTGGTGATTTTTCTTCTAAAATGTCTTCTTTTGCTCTTGTTTCACTATTCTGAGAATCTGAAATGGTAAAAGCAAAACAAAAGACAAATTAGTAAAACTTCAGAATTTACACTTTTTCAGTTATTCTTACGTCTTGTAATGTTCCATGGGTTAGCCTGGTACTTCTGGTCTCAAGGGATTCTTCTATCCACCTTTCCAAGTAGTTGGGATTAGATGTCATCTCCACCATGGCTAACTTTTTACGTGAAAGAAAATAGAAGGGTTTACTAAAAAGATGTCACTGTCCCCTGGGATCTTTTCTCTTTCCCAATGCTAAAGCCTACATCTTCCTTTTAACTTTCATCTTTTCTTCCTTTTAAGACTTCAACTAATCAACTGCTCACTATTCTTCTACTATTTTCAATCTCTTTCTAAACTGACTTTCTGAAATGGTTTTTAATTATCAACCCGACAATCTAGGATCACCTGGGAAGAATGTCAGTGAGCTGTCTAGATTGACTTGTGGGCATGTCTGTGGGGGGAAGCCATCTTGATAATGTTCACTGACGTGATAAGGCCAAGCCCACCGTAGACTGTATCACTGCTGTGTATGGGTCCTGAGCTGTGTAAGAGTGGAGAATCTGAGTGTGGTAGAAGGCATGTATGTTTGCATCCTTTCTCGGCTCTTTACTGTGGGCGTGACTAGCTGCTTCCAGTTCTTGCGGTCTTGACTGTCCTTCCATCATGAAATGTAATCTGGAATCACGAGGTTGCTTTTGCCAGGGTATTTTATCATAGAAACCCAAAACAAACTTACCTTCTTAAGCCCAAGTCACTCCCTCCCTCCTTACAAACCCAGCTCCTTGCCTATGTATCTGTTGAGCAACATCATACTCACAGTAAAATTTCTCGAAAGGGTTTGTCTGGAGTCATTCCCAGTCTACAGTCTGGTTTCTTGTTTACCTCCTCTTGAACTCTGCTACTTCTACTGATGGAACTCTTGCCAAGGTGACCAATTTTGTAACTGTATATAATCGAATGGGTACTTTTTGTAGCATGACACTGAGACCCATACCTTCCACTGTTCTACTTTTCTTCTTGAGACAGGCTTTCACTCTGCAGACTAGGCTGGACTCAAACTTAGGGCAATCCTACAGTCACCCAAAGGCTGGAATTGAAAATGCGAGACATTACAGGTGACCCTCCTTCTCTCCCTTTGTTTTAGCTTTTCCTTTTAGATTTTAGGGCTAATAACTTAAAACTACGTTCCTTCAGAGTCTATACTGGGTTTTCATGTGTCTTCACTGTTGAAACTCTCTACCCTAGATTCTAATTACTACTTATATTTAAGTTTATGTCTTCTCAGACCTTCAATTCTACACTGAGCTCTAAGACTGTCATATTGTATTTTTCCTTGTATTTGTACCAAATGCACCATATCAAATACGTGAGATTTTTTTTTCTTTTACATGAACAGAACCATTATTGGCAAAGTTGTTCAGGACTGAAACTTGATCACATTTAACATTTAGATTATTCTCTTTCACAATCTGCTTTTAATGATGGACACCTACTGTCATGTACTTTTAATGCTGAGGAATAGGGTTCAGCTTTAATCTTCTCTATGGCCCTGAATAACACAGGTTTCCTCATTCACTGTGGCCTCTTGGATTCCAAGTTTCTAATAAGCTTCCATAATCTTGCCTTTCTCAAATCATTTCTATACTCTGAGTTCTAAAGCACAAATCCAAGAAGGCCACTTCCTGATCCACTACCTTTCAACTGTACCCCTTTACACACAGGATATGCATTAGTGTGACATAAAGGCTTTAACAACTTGGCCTCATTTTCTCCTTTCGGTTCTCTTTCATTATGTCTTCCCTTATCAATTCTCCAGTCAAACTGAAGTCTTCTAACTCCCATAATGCTTTGTATTCTCTCACCTTAATGGCTTTCACTACCTATTTCCTGGCTTTCTCCTACTCGTAGTTCAAATTACAGCTTAGGTGTTTATTCCTCCAGGAAGTAGTCATTCCTTGAATATTTCTTTCTTTCTTTTTTTTTTTTAGATTTTATTATTTCACGTGTATGGGTGTTTTGGTGGCACACATGTTATGCACCAGGTACATACATGGTGCCAGAGGTCATTAAGGGTGTTGGATTTGGAATTACAGACAGTTTCAAGTTGCCATGTGGGTGTTAGGAACTGAACCCAGCAACACATACTCCTTAACCCTTGGGGAAACTCTCCAACCCTCCTTGAGTCTCTTATCAGGTTTGGTGTCATTTTGTTGCTGCCACAGCACCGACACAGCACCGACCTGTCTGCCATAATTTACTGCATGCACTTGCTTTCCTCCCTGTGAACCGCTCATGAGGGCCTGAAAGTTCCTTGGAAAGGGAAACGTAGCTACCGCAGTATTAGCCATTTTTAGCCCTCTACAAAGTTATGGAATGACTAAGTGATTCAGTGACGGGGAAACTCATATAAGGAAGGATGACTGCAATTCATGACATCACTGAATACAAAGCTGAAGTGAGCACCTCTGGTTTTGATTAATACAAGTGATGCTTGCATGCAACACGTTTATAAATGCAAGTCTGTATCTTCAAAACCAGAGGCCTAACTTACATAAACTTGAAGGTAAGTTTCTATTCCTACCACTGTTAGAGGAAAGGCAAGGTTTCCAGGATTTCAGCTGGGTCTTCAAAGGCCGAACTTGGATGCTTGTTGAATCTTGGGATGCTCTGAGATATGTCAAGTCTTTCCATGATACTGATGGTCCTTGTGGACTATCTGGGACCTGAAACCAGTAAAATATGATTAGTAAAAAATGTCAACTGGATTAATAAGGCCACTGCCAGATGAAGGATGGGGGGCAGGGGTAGAGATAGGTATGTGCTATTGTTCTATCAAGGTTGTGGTTCTAATTTTTTTAGATTTATTTATTATATATACAGCAATGTATCCCTGCATGCCAGAAGAGGGCACAAGATCTTTTTACAGATGTCTGTGAGCCACCATATGGTAGCTGGCAATTGAACTCAGGTCCTCTGGAAGAGCAGCCAATGTTCTTAACCTCTGAGCCATCTCTCCAGCCCCCTCAGAGACATTTTAACCAGCTAAGATACTATACACCATAGGCTGCAATTTGTTTTCCCAACCACACATCATATCTCTGTCCCCACCTGCTGCCCTTGGTCATCAAACTCTTTCTCCAAATCCTCCAGCAGGGTCACAGCTTCCTCCCCGCTTCTCGGGCCGTGCTGCTGAACCCACATCTTCAGCTCCTCAGGCAGGATGCTCAGAAACTGCTCCAGCACTAGCAATTCGAGGATCTGCTCCTTTGTGTGCAACTCTGGCATCAGCCACTGATAGCACAGTTCCTGGAGTCGGCCCAGAGCCTCTCGGGGCCCAGGGGTTTCATGGTAGCAAAACTTCCTGAACTGCTGACGAAACAGCTCTTGGCAAGACTGGGTACTCCCATTTTGTTTACATTTCTGACTCCAAGAAAAGCTATCTTCTATTTTGACTAGTATCAATTCATCTTCTTGATCCTGAGGTTTTAGAGTTGAAACTGCTCTGGATTCCATAGCCATTCTGGGCTGAAATCGTTCACAAAAACCTTAGTACAACTGGGTTTTGTGCTTGGGGAGGATCCTACAAGATATGAAAGCACTATTAACTTACAGCATAGGAAGAGAAATCTCTAAAAACTTGTAACATTTTGAAAGGAAACAGGCTTAAGACTATAAATCAGTCAACAGAGTATTAAGATCATACCTACTACTGTGTAAAATTCCTACCACTAATTACAGAAAATTTTTTAGAAGTATAAGAATGAAATATTAACATGAATTAAATAGTGGGATTATTTCCTTTTCAATTATGCTTCAGTCCTGATTCCATTCTTTACCCCATATGTAAACCAGAACTTTTTTCAGGGCTGGGAAAGAACTCAGGGCCTTATGACTGGCAGACAAATACTTTCCTACCAAGCTGCATCCTTGCTCGTTCTGACAGTGCTGGGACTTGAACTCAGGCTCTTCACCATGCCAGACACACATTCTACCACAACCCCAGCCACACAACATTTTAGTAAAATACAGGCTGCACATTCAGAAATCCAAGGGTCATAATAACAATCTTTGGCAGAGTTTTTTTCTTCCTGTTCTTTGGATACAGGCTCTATTCAGTCACGGAGCCTGCTTTGTAGGCTACGGTGGCCTTGAACTAACAGAGATCCTCCTGCCTCTGCCGTGCTACGATTAAAGGCATGCAACACCATGCCCAGTTTTTGGCATAATCTGATGCTAGCCTAATTTCTTATTGTTTATTATAGCAGGTAGTGCTGGTCTACATTTAGGGCAGTAACACTTTGAAATTCGCACTAAACATCAATTTGTTTAAATAAAATATCGCTGTACATTTGCCATTTTGGCCCCATTAGTATACTGGATATTTCATGAACATGGAGGCACTTAGTGGGTACGGGCTTTGTTTTGAGCCAGCATTAACGGAAGGTCTGGCTTATGAATGAATTTAGTGAGGAACTCAGTAACTGTAAAATACTTAGCTTAGGTTAAAAAGAAAATTATCATCATGGACGCAAAAAGTCAACTCAAGTTCTCGAAAGCTGCAGTAATCTTAAGTTCAGTCGAAATCTGGTAGTAGTCATGTACTGGATTCGGGGGTGTAGAGCAAACCCGACCTTTAGTTCGGAGGGGACACCAGCAGAGACCCGCATGCCCTTCGACTGTCACGCCCGGCCCCACGCCCACAGGCCGGGCGCAGAACGAGAAGGCAGCGCCCACGCCCGGCCGGGTGTCTCCCAGCTCACACCTCACCGAGCCCCACGGCCCGACCCCGCCAAATCACCGCTGCCCCCGGCCCTGCGATCACGGAGCCCGGGCCGCCCCTCGCCCACGACACCCCGGCCCCGTCCAGGCTCACGAAGCACCCGCCGCAAACCTGTCCAACTCAGCAGCCCGCCGCTCTCGTGCGCTTCTCGCTTCCGGGTGACAGCACAGCGTAGGCGCGTGCCTCAGGGGACATCCCCGGGGCTGTCCCCCGGGAAGCGGCGGCCACAGACCAGGACGCGTCCCCCGCCCGCCTGCCCTCCGACAGCGCCCCGGCGCCGGAGCAGCCCCGACGGCGCACAGCGGCCACAAAGAGCCCAGCGCGGGCCCGCCCCTTCCGCTCGCTCGCGCGCGTCTGACCCCCCCCGTCGGCCCCGCCCCTTCCGCTCGCACGCGAGCACACAAACATCTGGCCCCGGTGGCTCGCTCCGTCGTCGTGTCGGTCCCTCCCCGCTCTCCCGGTTTTCCAGTTCCCTATTCAGAGTTTGCTGTCATTGCAGCTGCTGCTCGCCATCTCCGACGGGAGCGAACCTGTGCAGCGGCCCCGCGGCCGCCCCGACCCCTGTGCGCCCCATCGCACCCAGCTGGCTGCCCGGACTCGGGCTCCAGGCGCGCCGTCGAGGCCGGGGTGTTCTTGCTATAAGAACATGTCGTTTATGTGTATAAGTGTTCCCCCCCGCGTGTGTGTTTATACCAGGCATGGCCGGCAGAGGCCAGGGGAGGGCGTTGAGTCCCCTGGGACTGCAGTGACAGTGTTTGTGCACGGAGCTACTGGGAACGCAACCGTGGTCCCCCGCGAGAGCAGCAAGTGCTCTTCACCTCTGAGCCGTCTTTCCAGGCCCCCTGTCCTCATTTTAAAATAATATGTATCATATCATGTGCATGCGGGCGTTGGGTCCTGTGGAACTGGAGTTAACAGGTAGTGTGGGCACCCTTGTGGGTGCTGGGAATAGATGATGGTTCTCCAGAAGAACAGCAAATGTTCTTAACTGGTGAGCCATTTCTCCAGCCCCAGCTTGTCTCTTTTTGAAAGCTAAGGTACTTCACTTTGTGAAACATCTTGTATTTGTTAAGGATATCAGTTATTTTTCACAAGTAGTTTTTCATTTCTTTGTAATTATTTTTAAAGATGTTAATAGAAATGGTAACAAGGTGATAACTGTAAGCGTTTTGTCGGGATGGGTCAGGACAGGATGGAACAGGAGTGGGTCAGGTATTCTGGCACTCGGGAGTCACAGAATACCCAGTGTTACACAGCTCAGGTGGAAAGGTATCCTGGAGCTCGGGAGCCAAGGATACTGAGTGTTACACAGCTCAGGTAGAAAGGTATCCTGGAGCTCGGGAGCCAAGGACCACCACAGGTTGCAGTAAGCTTGGCAGCTTACAGCCTTGCCTCAGAGAAAGGCTTCTCCGGTGTATCAGCTCCGCTCCAGCAGGACAGGGTCTTCCAGCTGGGGATGTTCGCCTAGTGTAGCAGTTTTGCTCCGCAGGAGGTTTCTCGGGCGAAGTTGCTACAGTTCAGCTCTGCTCCTGGAGAGCCGAGAGCAGAGAGGAGGGAGCCGGGCGGGAGCAGAGTGTAACAACTCCGCTCTGCCAAGGAAGGTTTCCCGGGCAAGTGTTACAGCGCTGCTCGCTCTGCTCTGCTCTGCTCTGCCCAGGGTCGCCTCTGCTTGCTCTGCTCTGCTCTGCCCGGGGTCACCTCTGCTCTGTCGCCACCGCAAAAGAAGATCTTCACCCGAAGCTCATCCAAAGGGGTTTATTGGAAGACAGCTGGACCAGCCAAGCTGAACATACACAGGGTTTATATAGGGGTTCCTGGGGTTGGGGAAGTTTTTCCAGGGTAGGGATTGGTCCGATTTCAGTGCTGAGCTCAGATTGGCTAGAGCTCTGCTCCGGGATTGGTTACTTTTTTACACAGGATTAGGGTCAGATTTGGCTCTGGTTTCAGGGCCAAAGTGTGTTTCTTTCTGTGGTCCTTTTTAGCCTTTTGGCTCCAATTTTAGGGCCAGGGTACATTTCTTTCACTGACTCTGATTCCAGGGACAAACTGTGTTCCTTTGGCACTGGTTTTAGGGTCAGGGTACATTTCTTTGGTTCTGGTTGCAGGGCCAAAGTGTGTTTCTTTGGCTCTGCTCAGGGTGTGTTTCTTTGACTGGTCCCTTTTCCCTACAATAACAGAAGCAAATAAGTTCTCTTTTGTGAGCTAACATGTAAATCAGATATTTGGAAACAGTATCCATTAGATTCTAGAATACTATTAACTCAATAACCTTGGGCATTTTGAGATAATATTAATTTAAAAATAGCAGTCGGTAGGTTTGAGCAAAACTTCCCAGAAAAAAAGCTATCGTAAATTAACGTTGGCAAGGCTGATTAACTGATTGGAACTTAAGCGATTTGGAGAGTTTGGGATGTTGCAGGTCCCCATCCAAATTCTCTTGGGCCATCTTTAGCGCCCTCCAATAGCCACTTATTATTCTCCTGTGTATCTGACTCAATAGCTTTGTGACCAGTAGATAAATCATTTGGACTGTACAGAACACTAGTTTTCCATTGAAATGTATTAACTTAGCTAAGTGATATCTGCCAGTATTTAAAACGTGTCTTGATGTTCATGACTTTGTTTTTGTTACTATACAAACGCCATGAAACTGCTTCCACGATGGAACATTTAACTTGGGGTGGCCTAAATCTGTGTTCCCTAGCCATGACCACTCATATTTGGTTCCCAAATAAACTCTTATCCCCTTCGTGTGTGTGTGTGTGTGTGTGTGTGTGTGTGTGTGTGTGTGTGTGAAAATAATGCTATTTGGATTTTGTGTATTGTTGGATAACATACCACTCCAATGGCATAGATATTACAGCAAATGTTTTGTTGCTCACAATTCCACAGCAAGGAATTCAAGTAGTATTTAGCAGAGATTGCCAGGCCTTGCTTTATGGCAGGTCAGCTCCTGACAATGTTGGTTAGTCTCATGTCTGCCTGCTTGAGGTCTGCCATCTTTGTTTTAGGTTGTTCTCTGGTCTGGTTTCCTTTTCTGTCCCCCTTCCCCCCCAGGTGGTGCTCTCAGGTGCAGGTGACAGATGGTGTCTGAAGCAGGAAAAGGGCATGCTGCTTTCTTCTCTGTTTCAAGGCTAAGGAAATTGCTTGTCAGGCAGATTTTCTCCTTGTGTCTCTTAGCTAAAATTGCTGTCACTGCTTACGCTGAGGCAGTGGGTGTAGGGAAGGCCTCTGTGATAGGTCCGTGCCAATTAAGATTTATACTTCAGCACTGAGGAGGGAGCCAGCCTCTTGAATGACACAGATCTTCTGCTAGGGTGCATGGACTCTGTGTAAAGAGTAGAGGAGCGGATACATACATAGATGCTGTGTGTGTGTGACAGCAGCATCCACTTCGTGGGATTCCTGAGTGATGAGATGAAACTCTAGGACACATGTCAGGTTTACATCAGTCCATCTGTCTCTTGCCTTGCGTATTGTAGGCTGTCCTGCCATGCCTGCCCCACCTTGGTGGGCTGAACTCTCTGAAACCTGCTGTATTTCTGAGGAGATTCCTGACTCGAATTATAGAATGCGCTGGAAACACAGAAGAGAGCAATGGTGAAAGTCACCACTGAAATGGAGGTGGTGTTCAGGTTGGAAATCTACTGAACCATTGGCACTTCCTGCTGGGGTTTAGTGGAGCAAGCGGGTGACTCCTCCCCCACTAAACGGTGACGCTGTAGGCCCAGGACACAAGGAGACATCTGGAGAAGAGCAGACAGACCACATTCTGACTCTTTCACGTGGAAACGATTTCCTTGATTTTTTTGACCATTCAACACCCCTTCAAAAGAAAAGCTTCAGCTTTCTCTTCTCTACTTCTTTCTCCTTGTGTAAGTCACAAGCATTGTTTGTGAGGGATTGATTATATTCAACTGGGATGGACAAATAGAATAAGAGAAAAAAAGACATCCGGTCACATTTTAAGAATACACATCAATTACTTAGTTGCAAAAGACATAGACTAGTTATTCAAAACCAACAACCGGATTTGGGATATCAGCTAAATTAACACCTGAAGTGCTTTCCAAAAATTCCCCTTTATATGAACCTCACTTGCTGTTTTCAAGTATGCTAGTGCCTTCAAAGTTCCTTCCTCTCATCCTACAGACACAGGAACTGCTTCAGTGTGAAATCTTTATCTCAGAAATTATTGAATACAGGATGGGGCATAAAATATAATTATTTTGGTTTCTGGTACCAGTTACTCGTGTCATTGTGATCAAAAATACACTCGGAGACAACTTAAAGGAGGGAGGATTTCTTTTGACCCATAGCTGTGAAGGCTGACTTTCAGTGTTGTCACGGGGACCGCATGGCGGAAGGCTTGGTCTGTGTCAGTGGTGAGAGCAAAGCGGCGCTGCTGATGTCACTGTGGATCAGGAAGCAGAGGATGGCTGGCACTGGGGTCTGGGTTAGTAACTTCAGTGGCCTTCACCATTGAGCCATCACACCAGCGCACAAGGTGACTCTTAGTCACTTAGTTTGGGAACTGTGATGTGATACCCAGAGTCTAGACCTCGGGGCCTCATGTTTTTACTCAGAAGTTTTATCTGTTCACTAAACAGGATGTCTAGATTGTTTAAGTGTCAGACACAATGGCAAAAACTAAAACTGACAAAAAATCTTTCTCCTTTGTCCTTATAGACCTTATCATCTGTTGTAATTTCCACTCTCAGTTCAGTTTCTAAGCAGTGCTTTGTGCAGGAGAGAGAGAGAAAGAGAGAGAGAGACAGAGAGAGACAGAGACAGAAACAGAGACAGAGACAGAGACTGATTCCCAGCCAGGAAGAACCTGTTATTTCCACTGAGTAAAGAATTCAGCATTGAAAAAAATGGCAGCTGAGTTTGTTTGGTGGCTTGGTGTTTGGTGGCTTCATGGTGGTAGGGAAGTTGTTTACATGGTTTTACATTTCAGTGAGAAATTGAACCCCTTGATCACTCAAAACCAACCAGATTTTGTTTCCTTAAGTTTAGAGCTTCTGTGTTTATTGTGTCATGGACTGTTGTCAGGTTTCATAGGTTGATTTGACAAATGCTGTCCAAATCCCTTTGGAAAGGGATGATGACAGTAGCATCACATTGGATTTATTTTTCTGTTCTCCACCCCATGACTGAACACAGGGATATTTTCAACTTTCTCATGGATTTTTATAAATGGCAAATGTGTCCCTGGATAATAATTTGTTTCTCTGATGTCACTGGATACCAGTAGGATTTGACTGTTGTTGAACTAAGTGGGAAATAATAGGTGTCATTATTCAAAGCAGGAACTGTAGCTCATTTGTTTTGTTTGATTTTTAGTAAGAATTAAAGAACACACGTTTTTAAGGTTGATATAACAATACAGTTTAAGCTGGTACTTTTAAAGAGGTATTAAAATACTGTGTTTATTTTGCTTGTTTGTTTGTTTGTTTTGAATCAGGGTCCTGCTGTGTATCTCTGGATGGCTTTTCACTCACTACATAGTTCAGGCTGGCCTTAAACTTTCTCATGGAAAATTGAGCCCATTGGCCAAGGAAAGGTGACCATGTTCAGTGTTCTTTGGGCCTTAGCTGGAAACACAGTTTTCTTGGCATCTTCTCACTATCTTTGATTCAGTGCGCAGGTTGGCTTTGAGGAAGACCTGGAAATTCTGACCATCTCCCCTCCACTTCTGAACACTGGTGTTACAAGTGTACTTCACCATGCCATGTTGTCTGTGTGGTGCTGGCGGCTGAACACAGGCCTTTGTGCTCTGTCAACCAAGTGACATTGTATACAGCTGGTGCTTATTACCTCTTCAAAAGCCAAAATGACCACATCTTTGCTCATTTTAAATATGCTGCACATTTAAAGTCTTTTGAAAAATAGTGCATTGGTGTGTTGGATTCCTTTAAGGCTATATGAGTGTATTGGTGTACTGGATTCCTTTAAGGCTATGACTTTAAGGTATGATTTTTGAAAATGATGGAAGCATGGGAATCAAAATACCTACTTATTTTGCTGTTGAAATGATGCAATTCTGCTTCTTCATCCCTGAGCTAAACTCTTGAGCATAATGAGATTTTAGTAGCTACCTTCCCAAACACTGGCATTTTCCATTGGTGACAGCCAGTTGATGTTCCAAGGCACTATTTTTCTCTACTGTGTCCACTACTCCTTTGCCTCCAGCTAGCTCATTTGTATGACATTTTATCTAGGCTTCTGTCAAGCATGGATTCAGAATTCTTATCTCTCTCCATTCCTTCTCTGAAGGAATAACTTTGCTCTTTTACTGAAAAATAAATCTCTAATTCATATTTATCTCTGACCTGCCTACCACACTACAAATATTTTGATCCATTAAATACTGTGTGTGTGTGTGTGTGTGTGTGTGTGTGTGTGTGCAAGAAAGCCAGGAGAAGGTGCTGGATCCCTTGGAGCTGGAGTTATAGGTGTTTGTGAGCAAGATAGGTGCAGGGACTCAAACTTGGGTCTTTATGACAGAATAGCAAGTACTCTTAACTGCTGGCCTTTCTCTCCAGTCTTCAGTTTTTACAAAATATGTTTCATTAGCATGTATTAATTATATGTAACAATGGGATTCATTGTGACATTTTCATAGTAGGTGTGAACTGTTGAGATCACACGTGCTGCCTTCCCCACCCCTCTGCCAACATGCGACTTACATTGGTTTCCTCAGGGCCCTCTAACCCACTTAGAAGGAAGTATTAGAAACTATTATTTTTAAAAGGCTTTCATTGCAGGACAGACTGATGGAAACAGCCCGCCCAGTAGGTGCGCTTTTGGGGAAAGTACATTCATGTGGTCGCTCTGAGCTCTTGTGGCCTCTGCAGCTGACACTCCCAGGAACCTCGCTCTGCCCTTTAGATACACCAAACCGTAAAACCAAGTTGGTTTCTTTTCTGCATAAAAGAACACCCTCAGCCGGGCATTGGTGGTGCACGCCTTTAATCCCAGCACTCAAGAGGTAGAGGCAGGTAGATCTCTGTGAGTTGGAAGCCAGCCTGGTCTATGGAGCGAGTTCCAGGACAGCCTCCAAAACCATACAGAGAAACCCTGCCTGGGGGGGGGGAGGAAAGAATACCCCCTCCCCCCAGGCTGTGTGAGTCTGCTTACAGTCCTTGCTCTTCTCTTCCTGGTTCTGTAGCCAGAGGCACCCAGAGCAGCACACGCTCTTCAGCTCTGAGCCATCTCTCCAGCCCAAGACTGTCTTTAATAACCTTTTTTGCTCTTTGTTACTGAAGACAATTTAGCCTACAAGTCTTCAGTTTATTTTTGTGTTTTCAATGGTACCTGCTTTTTCTGTTTCCTAGGAAACTGTACAAGTAAACACTCAAAAATGGTTTTAAAAGCATGCCAGGAAGCCTTGAAGGTTTAATTCAAGGATGTTGCTAACTAATGGTTTGTAGGTAAGCTTGTCAGCCTGATAGAATAAAACAAATTAGGGAAGTATTCATATTAATACATTTTGCTATTGACAGAATGAAATCCAACCAGACAACTAATTGTATGTCTGTTTTAAAATCTATTAGCCTAAAATGACAGTGTCATTATTCTGCAAAAAGACTGAATACCAGTAACATAGGTTTGATACATAGTGTGAGGATAGGCTGTAGGTCCAAACAGGGCCCACTCCGGGGCTAAATTCTTTGGCAAAACTGGAGGATTTACATATCCACAGAATCAGTAAGCTTAAAATCCCCACTAGTTTTTGTAACTTTGATTTCATTACAATCAGTAGTTATCTATGTTATTAGGTAAAGGGTTAGCCTTGAAAATGGTCCAGCTATACCAAATGTTAATCATGTGTATTAGCTTGAAAGGTCATTAAATATGCAGATAATGAGGTTCCAGGTAACTGGAAATTTCTCCCCTTCCTTTTTCCTCTCCTCCCCCTCCCCTCCCCTCCCCTCCCTCCCTCCCTCCCTCCCTCCCTCCCTCCCTCCCTCCCTCCCTCCCTCCCTCCCTCCCTCCTCGAGGTCCCTTCTCTCCTCTCGTAGAAACAAGCAATAATTAAGAGCTGTAGCCCACTCCACGATCCCCACTGCAGCCGGAAGCTCTTTGTTTAACGTCCTTTTCAGTGGCGGGAGTTAAGGGGCGGTTCTGAAAACCGAAAAAGGCGGCCCACGGCAATCTGGTGACATTTCGCTGGAGCATGCTGCCACCTCCTGGCTTCACAAGGCACAGCCGTTCAGAAGATTCAGGTAGAGCCTACAGTATGCAGTGTCTCATTGCCACTAACAGGTAACACCTTTGGACACAGAAATTTAGATTTCTTATGTGTGCGTGTCATGTGTCACACGCTATTCAAACCAAAAGGAGAAAAGCACATAGCATTTGAGGGAACCAAATCATCTGCAATAATTTCTATATCGTGAACACAGAGATGATGGAAAAAGTTAACTGTTTTGTTTGGTTTTTGAGCCAGGGTCTACTCTTTGTAACAGTCATGGCCTGCCTCTGCCTCCTGAGTGCTGGGATTAAAGGCCTGTGCCACCACTGCTCATCTGGAGAAAGTTAAACAGCTCTTAAACAGCTACTTGAGTCACAAAAACAAAGCTAGAGAACTCCACTGTGATGCTACAGTGAAACTATTTAAAGATCTTATTGGAAATAGATTCCCCCCATAATATATTCCAACTGTGGTTTTCTCTCCCCATGCCCATTTCTGTCTCTTGTTAGAAAACAAACAACCAGGGGCCTGGAGAGGGGCTCAGTGGTTAGGAGCATTGGCTATTCTTCCAGAGGCCGGGGGCTGGAGAGGGGCTCAGTGGTTAAGAGCATTGGCTATTCTTCCAGAGACCCAGCATCCACATGGCAGCTCACGCCTGTTCTAACACCTCACACACATATACATGCAGGCAACACTAACGCACATACAAATACATAGATAAAAAACAAACAGCTACCCAAGGGAAAATGATAAAATACAATAAGATAAAACAAAATAGAACACGGAATCGTACAAAACAGACAAACAGAAGGACAGGGGGCAAAGGAAAGCATGAAAACACATAGAGGCAGACACAGGTTCCCGCCCACAGGAACCCCGTTAAAAACCCAAAACTAGAAGCCAGAGTGTATATGCTAAGGAGCACAGTGACACATGCCCTTAACCATTCGGTTTTTCTTATTAGCTTCATAAACTGGCTGCTTTTCCTTTCTCTGAGGCAGGTTCTCTCGATATAGCCCTGGCTGTCCCGGAACTCAGTATATAGACCAGGCTGGCCTCAAATTCACAGAGATCCATCCACCCATGCCTCCCCAGTGTTGCAATTAATGGCGTGTGCCACTATGCCCAGCTTGTAAACTGACATTTTAATTCACAGAATATATGAAAACAAAATAAATCCAGACTAAATGAAGCGGTTGGATATTTAAAGAGTCACTGGTAACAAAATATGTGCTGTAACTTTTAAAATTTTGGTGCTTTATTAAGTTAAAAAATTTACTAAGCACCAATGAGCCAGATGTACTACTCAGTTCTGTGACATCAAAATAAATAAAAAAACACGGAGCCCTGTCCTGAAACCCATTAGCAGGCGAGGCGGAGGCGCAACACAGTCTAGCACAGGAGAAGGTGCCGTATAGAGAGAGCATTGCGGGTATGGATGGGAGACTCAACCTGAGGTGGGGTTATGGAGAATGAAACAGACTGGCCTCTAGCAGAGACTAAAATTTACATATTCTGCATATTCGCTATCAATTACCCCTCCCTTCATCTTTTGAGGAAAAAAATCTTAAAGGTTTAAAGCTGTGTGTGGTCTCTTCCCACATTTCCAGTGTTTCGATGTAAGTTTCCCATGGAAGTTTCCAGAGAAGCCAGGAAGTCAGGAGTGGCCCCGAAACTTCATATTCTCAAAATCTCTCTGAAATCAACATTCTGTGCCTTAACCATGGTCACTTTTGACTTTCCTAACTGCTCGCTATAATCACCCCGTCCCTAACCTTATAATTTAGGTTAATGTTCTGTAAAAATAATTGCTCCCTTAAATTGATTTCTATCTCTGTAGGGTTATCAAGTTTTGAGACTATAATTCCCTTCTGCCCTTAAATATTTAAAGACGAGAGCCCAAGTGTCCAGGCTGTGAAGACTAAATGAATAAAAGGATGAACCAATGGGCAGCTCTCACACAGTCCGTGTATGCACAAGCTGTCGGGGTGTTTGCACCTCTGCACCAGCCAGCAGATCCTCGACCCGCTTTGGTGGGCGTCTGTCTCCTGTAGAAGCTACTTGCTCTCCCCTGCCAGGCGCAGGCCCTCTGCATTCTTTGTCTTGGATTTTGTGTCCCTGTCCTATCACGCGGCATTGGTAGGCCTCAGAGTCCCGCTGTTGGGCGGTTCGCAGCCACTCAGAGGTGACTGAAGTACCCTATGTGCACCCCCGGCTCACCCTGCTAGCCGTAGGCATTGGCCGTGGTCATGAGCTGCTGCCGGCGTTACCAGTCACACCGCCCGCACAGCTGATGCTGCTCCTAGGCCCCGGCGGGCTCTGCTAGCTTCTTATCACACCACAATCTTTGTTTTCGCCGCTGCGTGACCAACTCTCACCTCTGAGTCTGTCGCAGCTACCGGCACGACTCTGGCCATCTTTGTTGGTTATCTCATCTAGGGCTTTGTCTTTGGTGTGGCAGAGCCGGCTCCTTTCTTGACAAAGCCATCTCTGCAGTGAGCTGCATCAGAAGCAAGGATAAAGGGAAGGGCCACAGCGCCTGAGTCCGGGTCCTCCAGGCGGGGCGGCTCCAGGGAGCCGGTCAGTCTGCCCTCCTGCCCTGTCACCGAGTCTACTTGGTCGTCCTGGACGAGGAGAAAGCCCTGGCTTCTCACCCTCACCGCTTTAACTCTGACATCGCTTCTCATCCCTCATGACCCCTCACACCGCATCGTCGTGACCAGATCCATCCAGTTAGGGACTCGCAGCCTAGCGGCGTTGGTGGATCAGGGGATCTTTGTCATAGGTAAGACTGAGCTGGCTTTCCTTTCTTGGCTTCCATGGACTGAGCGCCCTTTCTCAGCACGCAGAGCTGCTGCGTTTGCGCTCCCTCTCTGTGTGCCTAGGGCAGTATGAAGAAGTGACTGTGGACCATGGACTCAGTCAATCTCTCCTCGTCCTCGGGTATTTTGTCACGTGGTGGATAGCTAAGTTACCCGCTGAGTCTAAAATTTCCTCCCCCGTCACCCAATGACTATCCAATCTGTTCTGTATTGCTTAACAATAAGCCTGTGAGTGACACCAGCTAAGGCCGATCAGGATGGTTCGCACCTATAACCGCAGCACTGGGGAAACTGAAGCAGGAAGATGAGGAGTTCAGGGGCATCCTGGACTCCACAGAGAGACCACCCCACCGTAGCCGCTGTTTGCTCCCGTCATTTCTGGGAACTTAGTAATGAATCAGCCTTTGTGAAAGGAACAGACCTCACAGCCCATTGGATCGGAGATGTTCCCAAATTTACACGTGCAGAGTTTCAAGGAGACACACACTCAGAGACAGTTCTACTCGAGATCCATCATGCGTATTAGTGCGGGCATTACAGCCCACGTGACAGCCGACGTCACAGCTGCCCTGTCAGTCACTAATCAAGTGTCAGCCTCCAGCTGTCCTGAATCTGGCAAAGTGGCAGGGAGACCAAACACAGCTTGATGTCCTAAAAGAGGGAAGACAAGGCATCGAGGCCCACGTTGCTCTCGGTCAGGTTTAAGCTTCAGTTTAATCCAGGCCAGACAAAAAGATTGTGTCCTTCTTTGGGACCGTTGGTACTAACACCAAGTCCTCCCAAAACCAAAGCTTCTTGTGGCCTCCTGCTTCCTAACTCTCACTCCCTGTTGAAGGATTTGCAAAGTCATTTGGAAGAAGAAGACTTCAGTTTTAATTTCTAAATCTCCAATTTAGAATTATTTTCCATTAAAGATGACGAGTCCGAGAAAAGTCCGGATTTTAGAAGCTTTACCATGGGGAACTATATATAATTTTTTAAGTCAGACAAAGAAAGCATAAAACAAAAACAAACCCAACAGATTATATAGTAACTTTAGACTGACTTTAAAAACCACCATTTTCTCCTCCAGTGAGCAGCAAATTGAGGCAGGATTGTGAGTTTGAGGTCCAGGCCAGTTTGGGTTATATAGCGAGACTGTCTCTCTCAAACAAACAAGACCCCAGCCCTAAACCAAACAGCGGCTCTGGACAATGCTTTATTTATTTAAACAGCTCTCGGGTTGTAACTTGATGAAAAGCACAGAGACTGAGCAACACCCTCCCTTTCCATGTGTTTCTCCACCCAGCTTTCATAGCTGTTAGGGGAAAGAGACAATATTTGAAGATGTATTTGTCCTATCTAGTCTACCTTAGAAACATGCTTCTTTCAGATCTTTTCCTGTTTTACATGCTGCTGTCTTACAACTTAGCAACACTTTTTACAACACTCACGTTTAGTATGTGCCTGAGGGCTTATTTTGTATGTGTACCTGTGTGCATGTGTGTGTGTGTGTGTACCTGTGCGTGCTCGTGTGTGTGTGTGTGCGCACACTCTCACATGCACGCACGCGCACGTGCCTTAGTGTGCTTGTGAGTGTCAGAGAACAACTTGTATGAGTCACCATATAGTCGTTGGGCTTGGCAGCACTTTTTGATTTGTGACATTTTCTAGGGAAGCTCTTAAAGCAGATGACAGCAAAGGTGTAAACTGAGAGGTACCTGATAGGAACCTTCCATCAGCGCCCGTGTCCTCTGGGATAGGAGCCTTCCATCAGCGCCCGTGTCCTCTGGGATAGGAGCCTTCCATCCGCGCCCGTGTCCTCTGGGATAGGAGCCTTCCATCAGCGCCCGTGTCCTCTGGGATAGGAGCCTTCCATCAGCGCCCGTGTCCTCTGGGATAGGATAGGAGCCTTCCATCCGCGCCCGTGTCCTCTGGGATAGGAGCCTTCCATCCGCGCCCGTGTCCTCTGGGATAGGATAGGAGCCTTCCATCAGCGCCCGTGACCTCTGGGATAGGATAGGAGCCTTCCATCAGCGCCCGTGTCCTCTGGGATAGGATAGGAGCCTTCCATCAGCGCCCGTGTCCTCTGGGATAGGATAGGAGCCTTCCATCAGCGCCCGTGTCCTCTGGGATAGGATAGGAGCCTTCCATCCGCGCCCGTGTCCTCTGGGATAGGAGCCTTCCATCAGCGCCCGTGTCCTCTGGGATAGGAGCCTTCCATCAGCGCCCGTGTCCTCCTCTGGACCCTGCCTGGAGTCTCACTTCTGTGGTCATTTAACTTCGACACATTTTTATGTGTTTTATGAACCAAGTTAAGTGACTCATTGAGAATGATTAAATGAGGAACAGTTGTGTCTGATCCTTTTTTCTTTCTTATTTTTGATGTGACCTTTGGAAGGTGGAAAGGGCTTTTCCTCTCTTACTCTGCTTCTTAAAACTGAAAACAGGTTAAGTTAGCATGCCATCTGAAGGAGTGTGGGTATCTGCTCTGTGCTTGCTTGGTGTAAACACGAGGCCTTATGAATTATGGAAACCACTTCTGGTAGGAGGAAGACTTGAGTCTGAACTAATCACTGGAGTCCAGCCATCTAGAGTTCTCAAGGGAATGGCTTAAACTAAATACCTTCTCTACTTGGGTCATCAATCTAAATAAAACACTGTCTGTTCATTAAACAGCAAGGGGCCATCTGCTTGCTTAATCTCGTGTCTCTTCCCTGTCGGCTGGTTATCACTGTCTAGACACCTCTTTACTAATTAGAATAAGCTTGAATAAATAAAGGTTGGTTAAGTAAAGGCTAATTTTATGTGGAACCAAGTATGGTTTAGTTAAACCGTCTGGGAGGAAATAAGCCAAATGTGGAATTCTTTTAAAGTTTACAGGCTATTTAGAGTCTGGATTGACATTTGACTTTGCTGAAAACCTTTGGGCATTCCCAAATGAATTGCTTTATGTTCTTTCTTGTGTTAGCTTGGCAGAGGGGGTGGGTGTGTTTACAACTCACTGCTTAATTTTAGAGCCCGGTAAGCAGTCATATATATATATATGTGTGTGTGTGTGTTGTAATGGATCCAGCTGGAGGACAGGTGAAGTTCAGATAGCAATGTTGACATTGCTGTGCATGAGTGAGTGTGGCGAGGATTCTAGACAGAAAGGGAACAAATACAGCTATGGGAAGATGTGGTGGAGTGTGTCATGGCACAGGGAGGCCCCTCTCAGGATGACACAAGCAGGAGGCCATCACCCTCTGCTTCCCTGTGTCTGCGTAGGACAGTCAGAAGCGAAGCCAGCCTGCTCCCGCCCCACCCCTTTGCAACTTCAGTTTGTTCCTCAAGGCTTAAGCTTTGGCAAATCATTTTTTTTTTCTTTTGGCAGCTGAGGTGCAGAAGTAAGGTTACATATAATTTGGAAGAGGTATTTTTTTTCTATTTGTTTCTTCTAGTTTTAGGCTAGTGTTCCCCATACGGAGCTCTATGGAGCCTGAGAATAGGGTACCGGGTATCATGGCAACGATTTCAACACTTGGGGAGCCTGGAGTGGGGCAGTATAAACGGAGGGCCAAGGTGTGCTCCACGGGTTAGCCCTGCCAGGCAAGGGCCACAGGTGTGTCCTGCGGGGACCAAGCCTGCAGCCCCTCCACGCTGCCTCGCTTACCTTGACACCCAGGGAAAAATGACCGTATGCGTTTAGAAACTGGGCTTGGGACCACATGGTGGATTCTAAGGCCATGGGACTGGAGCGCGGTCTGGGATGGAGGTGCCTCTCGCTGTGTAGAGGAGTGACAGGCGGGACACAACAGGCCCCTAGGAAGGTCTCTGCGTTACGTATAGAAACAGGTCGTTGGAAAGACTTAACCCAACAGATGAGAGACTGAGCATGCGCCTTGGGTAAGTCATAATAAAGTTAACGCTTCCACCTTGGGGGGGGGGCTATGAAGCAGTGGTTCTCAACCTTCCTAATACTGAGACCCTTTAATACAGTTCCTCATGTTGTGGTGACCACGACCATAAAATTCTTTTCACTGCTACTTTATAACTGTAATTTTGCCACTGTTATGAATCAAAATGTAAATATCTGTTTTCTGACGGTCTTAGGCAACACCTGAAGGGCTGTTCAACCCCAGCTTGAGAACCACTGCTCTGGATCAATATGGAAATGTGAGCAGTATCTGCCATGAAATAATCAGGCTGCTAAACTGAGTAGAAACTTAGGATGTGTGCCAAGGACTTCGTCTGCTAAGGTACTGGTATATCTTCACTAAAATGTAGCTTCTAGAATGCTGCTGCAGCATTGTTTACAAGAGTACAAGTTATTTTGTAGGGACTGAGTAATAAGTTATGGCACGTTCGTGTGTTGAGACAGCATGTGCAGGACAGAAAGAATGGAAGGCTGGATGATACCGGTGCTGGATCCTCCTTGAGAAGTACTTTAGGGAAAAGGAGAAATTTGTCTACAGTGCATGCCTACTGGGTTAAAAAAGATAAGAACTTTGTACACATGAAAAACTAAGATTCTCCAAGAAGATTGCAAATGGCTGGATGACTGGTATCCGTTTCTCATGGTGACGCTCACATCAGTGTGCTTGTTGATTTATGCACTTGGATTCCAATACTTTATTTCTTCAGGGTCTTTCTTATAATCACATAGATAAGTTACTACCACAGATGAAAAGGAAATAATCCTAGATTGATTACATTTCACTCCAAGCACAGGGAAGTTGTTTATATTATAGCTTCCTTAATTGGCATCTAAACTCACTTTTAACGGCAGCTTCACTCCTGAAAATCCGATTCATTGAAATTGGAGAAATTCCCTTGATTTATGCATAGAGTTTTCATGTGCCCTTTTCAATGCCTTATTCAAACTAGTAAGCAAGTTGCCAAGTTATGTTTATATAACTCGGAGTTCTAATTAGTTAAGGATGTAGCTCATTTATGTGATGCTGCGTTACAAGCCAAAAGGAGTATTGCAATTTTTAATTAAATGGTTGTCTCAGATCAGAGAGCTACTGAATTTCTTTACCTTCTGTTGTTTTTTTTTTTAAATTTGAAATGTTCCTGTTTACTCTAGGACCAGATTCTGTGTATCTGTTATCTGTTCCTTGGACTTTGCTATCCCCACCAGGAATTATCTGATTGAAGGTGGTGGGAGTTGGGTGTAGATATTTTGTGGTGGGAGTTGGGAGGTAGATATTTTGTGGGCAGAGCTCTTGATTGGTTTGAAAAGTGTTTATCTTTCTCTGTAAAGTTTGGCAAACTGCAGAGCAGGGTATGAAGTTTTGAAGCTAGGCTGGGGTTAGAATCTTGATTCACTAATTAGCAGTTACTTTATATGACTTACTAGGTGTGTCTATTGGAAATTAAAATTTCTAACGTGCAGTTGGTTCACCTGAGGAGTGGGGGAGACAAGAGAAAATACCGAAAGGATTTGGGCGCCATCTGGCATTGCTGTTTTCCAGTTTAGCCTTTAATTTAATGTGGGACTTCACATTGAGTACCCAACACTGTCTCTGTATCATTCAAAACCACATTTTCAGATAACTTCCTTTTGTTCTTATTGTTGTTTGATACACTATCTCTCATGCAGTCAGGGCTGGTCTTGAACTTGCTATGTAACTGGGTGTTGTGGGAATTTGGCCCGATAGCCAATCGTATGGGGCAACTTGGCCCAATGGGTGTGGTTTTCTCTGGAGATACTGACCTGATTAAAACCCGGGTGGTGGCAGGGATGGGGTGTCACTCGCTGGCTTGTACTGTGAAGGGCTCACTGAAGCCATGGCTTGGTGACCTTCCCTGGACCTTCCAGATCACCACTGGGAACATGAGGAGTGGCAGCGCTGCAGCCTCGTGTATTTTGAGTGCACTTTATTGATAAGACCTGGTAATAACCCTGATTTGATCCCAGAGTTACATCCTTCATTAGCCGAGGATTGTAGAGAGCTGCGAAGTGCCGCACCCTTAAGATGGCGCTGGCTTCTGCCTTCTGCTAGCCCGACAGCAAGTGCTCTCTGTGATAAACAACTCCTGTGATAAACAACTCCTTAAGAGCCCCACCTGTATTTGGTTAAGGCTGGATATCAGGCTTGCTTTCGCGCACGTGGACCTATCTGCATGTTCCACGGGGCATACTGGGGTTGGCCACCCAAGGGCTTTTAAGGTGTGGGTTGGCCCTCCTCGGGGTCAGAAGATTGGTCAGAAGATTGTTCAAGGTTCCTGAATAAACTGCTTAAAGAAGAGTCTGAGCGTTGCGTCTTCCTTGCTGGTCTAGGTAGTCTCGACAAGTGGTGGCCCATACAGGGACCCTTTCCAGTCGACTCAGAACTTTCTGCAGTCAGGGCAGTGCGCTGGTAAGTTCCCAAGGTAAGGTGGGGTAAAAAAGGGACCATGACAAGAGCAGGATAAAAAAGGGACCACGATGTAATAATGATAGATAAATAAATAAGCCACATAAAGATGAAAAATACACAGAAAATTTGGATGCTGTACACTATTGTGTTTTTCAATTTTTTTGATTGCTCAGGAAGGAACAACTGCTAAAGTACACTTGATTAAGATTGTTCAAGGTTCCTGAATAAACTGCTTAAAGAAGAGTCCGAGTGTTGCGCCTTCCTTGCTGGTCAAGGCGGGCACGACAGAGGATGACTTTATGCTTCATATCCTCATGCTGGGATTACACGCATGAGCCACCATACCTGGCTCCAGATGGCTTCTTAATAATGTGTTTGGTGTCCTGGGGGAAGTTGTGGCAGTTAAGATCAATATGCATTGTATCCCTGTGTCCTGGCTAGTTTTATGCCAATTTGACAGAAGCTAGGGTCTGAAAGGAGTTGAGGAAACGCCTCCGTAGAGCCAGCTGTAGGACATTTTCTGTGGGGTCACTCCTGGGCTGGGGGTCCTGGGTTCTATAAGGAAGCAGGCTGGACAAACCACGAAGAGCAAACCAGCAAGCAGCTCCCCTCCATGGCTTCTACTCTGCTCCTTCCTCTAGGATCCCGCCCTGGTTGGGTTCCTGTCCTGACTTCCTTCAAAGGTGGACTACAATGTGAAGGTGTCAGCCAGATACACCCTTCCCTTCCCAGCTTGCTTTTGGTCATGGAGTTTCATCACAGCAATAGAAACCCTGACTAAGGCAGCATGTATGAAACTTTGGAAGAATAAATAAATGCGCTATAAAAATAAAAGCACAGGTCACAAAATAGTTGACCATAGTAACAAATGATATTATATGGTTTGGCAATTTTTCTTGCTGTGAAGAGACACCATGGCATGCAAACTCTTATAAAGGACAACATTCAATTGTGGTGGCTGGCTTACAGTTTCAGAGGTTCAGTCCATTATCGTCATGGCGGGACACGGCAGCATGCAGGCAGACCTGATGCTGGAGAGTGGGCTGAGAGTTCTACATCTTGCAGGCAACAGGAAGCAGTCTGAGACACTGGGTGGTATCTTGAGTATACGTGAGACTTCAAAGCGCACCTCCACAGTGACGCACTTCCTCCAACAAAGTCACACCCCAAAGCCACACCTCCCAATAGTGCCACTACCTTTGGGGGCCAATTTCTTTCAAAACGCCACAATCCGCATGTCTACTGTAAGGTAATAATGATGGATATTTACTAGTATCTCCTAAGCACACGGATACTCACACATGATTAAGTGTTAGCCATGCGTTGTCACCTGTAGGCATTATTATTATCAAAGGTCTTCCGTATGATGGTGATGTGTCTGACGTGTGTGAAGATGTGCACATGCCAAGGCATGGGTATGGAGGTCAGAGGGTGACTTTGTGTAGCTGGTCCTCCCCTTCCACCCTTACTTGCGTTTCAGGAATGGAGCTCAGGTTGTGGCTCTTACATGCCAAGTTGAGCTATCTGGCCCAGTATTTTTTAGAACTGCTTAAAAATCAGAAACCCAAAGTCACAATAGAAATCTGAAATCCAGTCGATTGGGCTTCCTCTTGGGAACAGGCAAAGGTTTCATAGTTTAGTCTCGCTGTGTGTGTGTGTGTGTGTGTGTGTGTGTGTGTGTGTGTGTGTGTATGCCCCTGTGTACATGAATATGCATGTGGGTGCCCTTGGAGGCAAGAAGAAGGCTCCAGATTCCCGGAGCTAGAGTGACAGGCCGCTGTGAGCTGCCTGATGTGGGTGGTGAGAACTGATCAGGTCCTCTGCAATAAGAAGGGCTTAACTGCTGAGTTGTCTCCCCAGCCCCTGCATACTGCTGTTACCAATGGCAAATCGACCTACCTACCAACTATTGACTATTGACATGAATACTAGTTTTTTTTTTTGTATTCTAGATAGCCAGAACATTGTAAATCATAAAAAGGTATCATGCATTATCCAGTGCCAAGTACTGTGGATTTTTCATCTGATCTCATTTAACATTAACACATATCAGGCAAAATGTATAATATTATCTCCATTTTGTAGATTATGAAACTCAGAAGAGGTGGGGAGGGAGGGAGGCAGGGAGACAGGGAGGGAGGGAGGGATGGATTGAGGGAAGGAGGGGGAGGGAGGGAGGGAGGGAGGGAATGAGGGAGGGAGGGAGAAAGAGAAGTCATTTATTTCTTGGTGGAGGGCCCACAGCATTTAATTCCTAGTGGCATCTGAAACCAAAACAATGTAAAGAACCAGTATATCTAAATTTTATGTTATAAAAAAGTGATTTTCAAAACCAAGATAAAGTTTATAGAGACAGATATAAGTTATGAGTATACATTCGCCATTTTATGCTCGGCTGCTTCAGCCTCATGGTGAAGAATTGATTCATTATCACCACCCTATCCACTGGTAACTTGATGTCTAAGGTTCCAGTTCCGCTTTTGTGCAGTGGGAATAGCAACGCGTGGCTCACAGGGTGGGTAGCACCAGAAGATGGGATTATTGGTGTACGGCGTAGATTATCTAAACAGAGCTAAGAGTATTACACTTGATTCATGGGGTATAAACTTACGAAAGTGGTGATAGATCCCAGTTCCGATTTGGATATGAAATGCCTCCCCACACTCATATGTTTGAACCCTTGGTCCATAGCTCGTGGTGCTGTTTTTGGAGGTTGCAGAACCTTCTGGAAATGAGGCCTGACTGGCAGACGTAGTGCCGCAGAGGTGGGGCCAGGGGGGTCATAGCTGGCCTTGGCTCCACGGCCATGGAACGGCCTCTGTTGTAGCTTTTGTCCCCCCACCTTCTGCCCTCCCAGGATAGACTGAACCCTCTCAAACACGAATAGCTACTCCTCCCATTAACTGGTCACAGAGATGGGAAAGGTAACTAACGCAGGCTTCACGTACCTTAAAACTTTAGTCAGTGTTAGCTAAGCTAATGTTGACAAAAGCAAGGCAAAGTTACAGAGAAAGCAACAAAAAAGGTTAAGTTAGTTTCAAGTGGATTTACACCAAAGCAGGAGGGGGAAATGTGAGGAGAGGGCTGCCCTGGGTATCCGAAACAGCTCTCCAGGCCCATGGAGGCTTGATGGAGAAGTGGGCCCGAAAGCAAATCTCTGGGTCCACGGAGGCACAGAGACTCCAGGTGCAGCGGGGAGGTGGGGGTGGAAATCAGCTGCCGGAAGTCTAGGTCCACCGAGGCACAGAGACTCCAGGGCTGAGGTGCAGTGGGCCATCAGTCTGGTACAAGACGTCTCCAACTCCACCCCAGTTCTTCAGAAAAAGGAGTCAGGCGCTCCAATGCTTACCTCCATAAATGACGTCTTCAGGGGCGTTCCCTGCTGCTGGCAAAGGCGACGATGGTCCTTGCACTGAAGGTGTGCTAACCTCTGATGGAGAGTAGCAGGTGGGAATGAGGGGACTGAAAATGCTGTAGAGGACCCATTGCCCATGTGGCAGTTTCAGATAGCAGACACAATGCCTGGTCTCAAACAGATGACAGAGTTCTTGGCCTCCTTCAAAAAAAAGCTGCTAGTCAAAAGAAAGAAGTGCTGCCCCAGTCAGTTTTCCAAACAAAGACTAAAATGAGGAAGAATTTCAAACATAAATCAACAGTCTCCAAAACTTGAACACAGAAATCAATCTTAATAAGTTAGCTATTTTCTTATGAAACGGTTATACTTCCTGGCACAGAGCCAAGCGCATAATAGGGCTTCCGTGCCTCCTTTTCTATCTTTTCATGTTTTTCTCACTCAACAAACACGTCAGAGCGTGTTGTTGAAGACACCACACGCTATGGTCATAAGACACCGAGAAATCCAGTTGGTGCTAATCAGGAAATTTCCTCTTTGCTATGCTGTGTAGTCTCTGTCTGTCTGTCTGTCTGTCTCTATCTCTGTGTCTCTGTCTCTCTGTGTCTCTGTCTCTGTCTGTCTCTGTCTCTGTCTCTGTCTGTCTCTCGCTCTCTCTCTGTCTCTCTCTGTCTCTCTGTCTCTCTCTCTCTGTGTCTCTGTCTCTCTCTCTCGTGTGTGTGTGTTATTATTCATAGTGTTATCAATGAACCCCATGAACTACAATAGTGACTGATATGTTAAGATATGTAGTGTGAGTGTATTAGTGGCCTGAATGTTATGGGGGTAACAAACTACTCTTACATATTTGATTTACCATCCTTTCCACTGGAGTAAATATTACTGTAAATCTGGCCATAGACCCATGGAGAGCTCATCGGCCCCCAGTGTGGACCTCCTGCCGCTAACTTGCTGAAAGGGCACAGTAGCAAACTGTTTCCTAAATTTGTATCTCTGCACTGATAAATTGGTGCAGCTCCCAGACCTCATCAGAGGAGTGTTTGTTGGTTGTTTGTTTGGTGCAGTAGATGGCGATTTGTGCAGAAACTCACAACCAATAAAAGTCCAGAGAATAACCATCATTGGAATGTTCAGCTGCAAATCTACCTCATACCCTCTACCCGAGAAGGCTCGGTGACCACTGCAGGAGAGGGGGCAGAAAAACTGTAAGTGCCAGAAGCCAGGGAGGACTAGAATGAGGCTGTTTTCTGGACATGTCAGGGTTGCTGTAGCATGGACTAACATCAGCTGGGATCGTCTGCATGAGGCTTACACACAGACAAGCCAGTCAACATCCCGGCGTGGAATGCGAGAAAACTCATGAGCCTCCACTCCCAACTGAGGAGCTCCTGGTAGCTGATGGCTTCAGGGGGTAGGAGAGTAAGTCCTCGTTAAGGGTGGGCCCCTTGGTAGGTTGACAATGATCCAGTGTTGGACCCCCCCCACCCGTGAGTATATGGCCAGCACAAACCGGATTGGGTGGGTTACAACAAGAAAAGAGTTCACCAAGTCGGTAGGGTGGATCTGGGGACAATGGGGAAGGAGTGGGTACTAAATAATGATCAACGTACACTGTGTGACCATATAAAATTCTCAAAGGATTAACAAAAGTATTATACTTAAGCAAACAAACAAACCCCCAAGTCTTCAGAGCTTCTTGGGAACTGAGGTGACAATACCACAGTAGTGTTTTGTTTTCTAGTGATGACGCTACATATTTACATAATGCATTGTATTTTTAGAATTATTTATTTTCATTTTGCGTGTGTTTTGCCTGCATGTGTGTACACTGCATGAGTGCTTGATGCTCGTGGAGAAGAGGGTGCTGGATTCCTGCACCTGGAGTTATGGATGTCTTTGAGATACCATGTGGGTGTTGAGAACCTAATGTGGGTCCTTTGTGAGGGCAGCGAGTGCTCTTAACTGATGAGCCGTCTTTGCTTTTAACCTTACAAAACGACCTGTAGAAGGCTTGTGGAATCTTATAGGGCCAAGTATTCTCTGTTCTCACAGGACATGAAAGCTAAAGCCTTCTATCAAATAGAAACAGTGTTTTGTTGTGCAGTAAAGGCCAAGAACAGCTTGTGGATTTGCACTTCAATTTTATGAATGGGTTGTGAAAACATGTATTTTCCTATCCCAGAGGCTCTTTTTTCTCCCTTTCTTTTTTCTCTCATACAATACATCCTGACCACAGCCTCCCCTCCCTCCACTCCTCCCCCTTCTCTCCTCAAGATCCACTGCTGCTCCATTTCCCTTGGGAAAAAGCCAGGCCCTCCCAGTGACATCAACCAAACACGGCATAACAAGATGCAATGACCCTAAGCATAAACCTTCCTACCAAGGCTGGAGGAGGAAACCCAGTAAGAGGAAAAGAGCCCCAAGAGCAGCAAAAGAGTCAGAGACCCCCCACTCCATTGTTAGGAGTCCCACACAAACTCCAAGCTAAACAACCACAGAATGTACGCAGAGGACCCAGGGAAGCCCCATCAAGGCTCCGTGGTTGCTTCTTTAGCTTCTGAGACCTCTACATGAGTCATGCTTAGTTGACACCCAGGGCCTTGTTTTCCTGGTGTCCTCTACCCTTCTGACTCCTACAATCCTTCCTCCCCTTCTTAGAGGTTCCCCAAGTTCTGCATAATGTTTGGCTGAGGGTCTCTGTATCTGCTCCCATCAGCTGCTGTAAGAAGCCTCTAGTGACGATTGGGCTAAGTACTGATTTATGAGTATAGCAGAATATCATTAGGAATCATTTCAATAACTTTTTTTTTTGTCAGTCATGTTTGGGTTTACCCTAGGTCTCTGAGTCATCCAGCTTTCAGATCTTGGCCATCCAGGCAATGTTGGGCATGGGCTCCCTCTCGTGGCTTGGGCCTCAAATTGGTTGGCCACTCCCACGAGCTCTGAGCCACCATTTCACCGCTCAGTCTTGCAGGCAGGATACCTTGTGGGTCATTGCTTTTGTGACTGGGTTGGTGTCCCAGTCCCACCCCTGGGAGCCTAGTCTGGTGACAGAAGATGGCTGGTTCAGGCTCCACACCCTCCGTTACCAGGAGTACTTGCTAGGGTCACCCTTATAGGTTCCAAGAAGTTTCTCCTGCACTAGGTTTCCACATTGCTCCCCAAATGCCCACCTATTCCAGTCTTCTCTCCCAATACCCTATCCCTCCGTCCCTCCCTCGCCAGCCTCATTCCTCATGCTCCCATCCCCACTGCCCCCAGCCCACCCATAAATCTGTTTCTCCTTCCCTGGGGTATCGTGCGCCACCATAGACTACCCCTCTTCATCTAGTTTCTCTGGTCTGTGGGCTGTACTGTGATTTTTTTCAGACAATAATCTCTTGTAAGGGAATCATGGAGTTGGCCCGGTGTCGTCCCCTGAGAGGCATGTATTGTAGGTTTTTCAGGTTAGAGTCTGTGGCTCCTGGGGCGCTCCCTGTGTGCCTTCAGTTTCCGAGACACCGAGGCACTCCCTCAGGCAGTGAAGTGTTCAGGGTTCCTGTGTATCTCTGCATTCCCTAGAAGTCAGCGAAGCATACAGAAGCTTGACTGGACAATCAGTCTTAGACATTAACCTTGTGTACCCTGTATGGGTTTTACACATTGTGTCCTGGCAACTACAATCGTATTCTTCCTGGCAGCCACCAGTATATTCTATTTCTGATAAGGGTATAAGAAGTCTGATTGCTTGCAATAAACTTGTCTCAGCTTCAGTCTTGCTGAGTGAGACTTTTCCACCCTGGGCCTGACTTTTGTTCCCACTGACCATATCAGGAGACCCTGGTTTGGTAAGTAAGTGCTGGAATTTTACAACTTCTTTCGTTGTTTTTCCTTTGTTTTGTCTTTGCACAAAACTGGTAATTTGTAATTATTATTGACTGAATGTATCATCTCAATATTCAAGCATTTCAAATGCTTTTTTGGCAACCGTAGAAAATGCCTTGTGTTTCCAGGGTGAATGATCAGCTTGGTTTCTCCTTTAATTAAAAGGGATGCTGGTTACTTTGGTTCCATCAGAGGAGGCAGCTCCGATCAAAAGAAAACTCCTGATGGTTTGGTGGTATGCATCGTGATAGAAGTTGAAACCCTGCAGAATGTTAGGTAAGTGACAACTTACAATTCAACTCCTGTCCCTAGTGCCACCAGAGCATCTGTGGTCAGAATGGTTCCCGTCACACAGTCTTGGACAAATTCCACAGCTCAGAATGCCCACCACTTACTGTGAAGAGATCATATCTTCTAATCCCCATGACCCATAATTTTGTGTTATAGAACTTTAGGGGTCATTTGTGTTTCTTTTTTTAGTTCGCAAACAATAGAAATTATATTCAGCAATCTGAAAGTTCAGGGTCAAGGTGGCAGCAGATTTGGTGTCTGATGGAGGCCACTGTTTGGTTTATCCACGGTACTTGTTAGCCATGTCCTCACACAATGGAAGGTTCTATGTTTTTATCCCTGTAGTCACCAATGTCACCCAACATATAGAATTTTCTACTGTACGCTTGTTTTTTTAAAACGGCACATTTTGGTATCATAGTATATGATCCAACATACTTCTCAGAAAAGATATTGGTAAGTTTTGTGGTCATAGAGAGCCAGGATCTGCTTGTCGCCATGCCACCAGCACTGGGGTCACGGGTGTGCACACTTAGGTCTGGCTTTTCCACAGATGCTGGGGATCTTAACTCTGTTTCCAGCACTTGCACAGTAAGAACTGTCTCCATGGAGCCATTACCCTAGCCCCAATGGCAATTATTATTTTCACATAGTCTCATGTAGCCTGCTGTGTGACAAGGCTGTCTTGAATCCCTGATGTTCCTGGTTCCTGCCTTTACCCCCTGAGTATCAGGATTGCAATCTTGTGACACTATATCAGGTATTAAATATTTTTTAAGCCTAGAAGGGTCTGGTCTGTATTAATATTAACCACCCATGTCTACAAAGCAGAACATAGAGAAAGGGAAATCAACACAACCCAGAGCAATTTGCATGTTTATATAGAGTGTGTGGCCCTGTTCACTTATGTATTATCTATGGCGATTTTTATGACACAACAGAAAAATTTAGTAGTTGCTCATACACCTAGACTATATGGCTTAGGAAATGTAAAATGTTTGCTGTCTGGTCCTACATAGAAAAGGTTTGCAGGCTCTGAAGTAGTGTTCCTGTTCTTTTACATTCATGTATTTTCTTTGTTCAGTCGTGAATGCTTTCATTACAGATCTGGCAGAAGTGCTTCCAGCTATGCTCCCTCCCCCAACTCGTGAGAGTCTGCAGGTCACAAAACTCCCATGAAGCAGTGCATTGTACCACCAAGGAAGCCGAAGGGCTGCCCAGTGTCACAGAATGAATTGTGACTGCATCTTTTGTGGTGGCACTGTGGACCATTGAGAGTAATATGAAGATTACCTTCTGAGCATTTACGCAAGATAATTTAATTTTAGAGCTCATAAACAAGTCAGAGTTATGTGGTTTGACAAAAGGTCTCCTCATGTGTGCAGACCCTTGCCAAAAGCATGATGAAATCCCGAGGCACCGAAGCCTTGTGTGCACTTCAGATTTACACATGGCCAGCAGAATCCGCTAGTGTATGAGTTCATAAATATTGCTGCTGCTATTAGGAGGCACTTGGGAAACACAGACAGTTCTGTGAGAGACAGAAGGACCCTCTTCCCATTGCGGACTCCACATCCCTAACAAGGACACTCATAAAAGCCCTGCAGGCCACTTTTCTTTCTGAAAATGTATGTTTTATAGAGAACATAGTCATCTCCCTCCAGCATCTTGTCTATTTACTCGAACCTTTCTTTGTCCATTAATTGTGTCTGATAGCATCCTGCTTGTGGGGCCACATTTTACAGCTTCTAGAGGTGTGGTTGTGTGCAAAAACAGTGAGGTCAGTCCTAATCAGAAGCCAAAAATTAAATTTGGCCTATTTGCCAAGCTTTTCCACAGAAGCTTAAAATGAAAAACAACTGTTTCTCTCAATGTAGTTTGAAAACATCAGGTAAAATCATAGTGAATATATGAACTGGAGGAAAATTAGTAAAAGAAAAAGTCTCAATTTAAAGTTACTAAAGACATGAGCACAACCATTCAGCAAGGCACGGATAGTTGGGGTTTGTAGAGCTGGTGCTGCAGACTGTTGGGACTGTCCGCTGACCAGTTTCACTCAGCAAGAACTTAGAACAGCCTTTTTGCAGAACATGTGAGACTCTTCTGCTTACTGGTCGGTACTGCTTGTAAATGCCAATAAAGATGCTGTTTGGGTTATTTTTCTCATAGCCACATCAGAATGCCAGATGAGAACACCTTAAGGGGAGAGGAGCTTCTTTTGGCTCACAGATTAAGGGTACAGTCGCTCATGGGAGGGAAGGCGTGGTGACAAGAACCTGAGGCAGCTGGTCGCGGTCCATTCATGTCCGGAAGCAGAGAGAGACGGATGCTGGTATACATCTCGTGTCTCTTTTTCATCCACTCTGGGACTCCAGCCTACGGGATGCTCAGGAGTGCATCCTCAAAAAGATAAGTTCTTATAAAATATATATTAGTAATTATGGGCTAATAATCAAGTCAGAGCTAGCCGATAAGAAACCAAGCAAACGGCCAACAGCTTCATGATTAATACAGTGTCTTGTGTGTTATTTAGGGGCTGAAAGCAGCAACAGGAACCAGGTGGCAGGCAGGAAGACTAAACATTACAATAAACCAAGTTTACTAGAACTTGAAGGCTCTTCAGGGACCTTCAACTTAGTTAAACCACTAGGTTGTGCAGCAGATCACGGAGGGTAAGTGACTTGGTTAGTGTCGTTCAGCAGAACCAGGGTTGGGTCTACAATTCTTGACTTATTAAGGCCAGTCACGTTTCCAGTATAGCTTAATTTATAAAATCAGATCACATCTTTCCACGGCATAACGAAACGATTACTTCTGAATAAGTAAATATCACTTTAGGCTTTGGGAAACGCCTTCCCATGTGTCAAGCTCATAATAATCTCCATAGGAATCCCACGAAGACAGCAAAGCTCTGGGCGGTTCAGTAAACTGCCCCGTGCTGCCCAGTGAGTGAGTGCAGGACTTAGGGTCAAAGCTGAGCCCGTCTTGGTCGGAGGCCCCTGGCTGTTCCTCCCTGGACATTGGGTAGGAATGTGGTCTGTAATCTCTGCATCAGGGTGTCGGCGCAGGCAGCACACAGCTGTGCAGGTAGGAGAAAGGCTGGGTCCACTGTGGAGACTGTTGCAGCGTTGATTGGCAGCCGAGGAGGAGCGGGGCTGGGGATGAGGACCATGGGCTCTGTGGATGGTCGCTTAGACAGCCAGTGATGTGGGGGTGGCTGCAGTTCTCAGGGATGGGCGAGTTGTGCTCCCTGCTTTTGCTCATGGCACTGCCTGTCCGTAGAGTTGATTTTTACTTCAGAAGATTATCTAGCACATAGTTGATGTTTTTATTAGAATCTTATGTAGTTCAGGTTCCAGGGCCTTGTTAGAACCTCCCACTTGTTAAATATGTAGCCTGAATCTTTTAATAAAATACTTCTGGGTTTAATAAAACACTCCTCTTAAAAACAAGAGCTGTAGGATACCTTTCATGATTGCCTCCCTCCCTCCCTCTCCCTTCTTTTCCACACCCCAGTCTCCACCCCTTTTGCCCCCTATGTTGGGAATTCAGCCCAAAGAGTCCAAGCAAACTAGACAGACGCTCTACCCCTAAGCTTTATCCCCAGGCTGACTTTTATGTTTTCTTTTTGTTTTTAAATTTATCCTCATTTGAATAATCAATATATTTACTGAATTTCACACACACACACACACACACAAGTTTTGTTTGTTTTTGTAGTGCTGGTCGTTGGGCCTGGGCTTTAGACACCCTGGGTAAGTGTTTTTCTGAGCTGACCCTCCAGCCATGGCTTTATGGATCTCAACTTCTAACCTTTGAAGAAAGAAATGTTTATCTCCAAACAGGAGACTAGTGGTGTTGGAGAGACGGCTCAGAGGTTAAAATTCCCAGCAGCCACATAGTGGCTAGCAACTGTCTGTGATGAGATCTGGTGCCCTCTTCTGGTGTGCAGGCATACAGGCAGAATACTGTATACACGATAAATACATCTTTTTTTTCTCTTTAAAGGAGACTAGTAGGTATAGAAGAAGCCTATTTCAACTGCATGCATAGAAGGGCCTGCCCACTGTGAGTGTGATCTACAAAGTCCTTGAATCAGCAAGGAAAGCCTCTCAGAACAGTGTGTGGATGCAATGACCCAGGCGTCCTGTGGTTAAGCATACTAGCAGGAGTAAGTCTGAGCTCAGGGATGCTTACATACGCTGCCCCCCCCCACTGACTCAGCAGTAAAGATGGAGTAGATTCCAATGTACAGCTTGGTGAACGAACGGTGGTGGAAATACAACCCGCAGCAGAGCCTGTGGTGTGGAAGCTCACTGTGGAATGAAAATGATTTCAGAATGTGGCCCGGTTTCAGCGCCATGTGTCCCCATTTGAAGCATCATGTCAGTGTGAGTTTAATCTGCATTCCTCGGAGCTTACTTTTCATTGTGAGGGTCTGTTTGCTCTCTGAGGCTTTCAATTTACTGCCATGCTATTGCAAAATGTGTCACTCAAAGTTGCTGACCCTGTTGCTGTCAGGAAAGGGAGGGAACCCCACAGGCCAGGACAGAGCTGCTTTGTGAAGGGACCGGGAGTCACGCCCACCTCCTTCTCTGTCATTCAGCTCACCTCCACAGTTTCTTTGTCCCTCTCTTTTTGGTGATTTTTAAATTTTTCTCTATTTCCAGAATTGACCCTATCTTGCTTATTTTTTATGCTTGTCTTCATATAAGCGCTCCTGTCCCGTCTTCTTCCCTTAGCCCGGCAGGGTTAGCATTCTCTTACATTCCTCTTCCAAGCTTGCTTAGCTGTCTCCTCCCTGTGCACATCATCTTCGTTTTCCCCTTTGTCCACACAGAAGTTGCTGCATTTGGTCTGTCTGTCTGTCTGTCGGTGCGTGTGTGTGTGTGTGTGTGTGTGTGTGTGTGTGTGTGTGTTCTCTCTCTCTCAGTGTGTGTTCTCTCTTTCTCTTTCTGTGTCTGTATTGTCTCTTATTGTGTATGTGTATGTTCTGTCTCTCTGTCTCTGTGTGTGTTCTGTCTCGGTCTCTCTCTCCCCTTGTGTGTGTGGGTTATGTATGTACTCACGTGAATGGGTGTGGGTGCACACGCATGTGTGTGCAAGTGTAGCTCAGAGGTCAGTACTAGATGTCTTTCCCTACCTTATATTTTGGGACAAGGTCTCTCACTGAAGCTGGAGTTCATTGGTTTGGTTAGACTGGCCGGCCAATGAGCCCCAAGGCTCCTCATGTCTCTGCTTCCCTGGTGTGGTAGCTGGAATGTAACCGGGCCCCATAATCTCATAGGGAATGTGGCTTGTTGGAGTGGGTGTGGTCTTGCTGAAGGAAGCGTGTCACTGTGGGGGCGGGCTTTGGTCTCTCTTTTGTTTAAGCTCCCATCAGTGTCACATTGGACTTCCTGTTGCCTGCAAGATGCAGATCTCTCAGCTGCTTCTCCAGCTCCACATCAGCCTGCACGCTGCCATGCTCCCCTTCATGATGATGATGGAATTGAACCTCTGAAAGTGTAAGCAAGCCACCCCAATTAAATGTTTTCTTTACGAGAGTTTCTGTGGTCATGGTGTCTCTTCATAGCAATAGAAACCCTAACTAGGACACCTGACCCTGGGGTTACAGACATGGGCCACTATGCCTAACTTTTTACATGGGTGCTGGGGTCTAAAGTCATCTTTATGCTCTCCCAGCAGGAAGCTTACTGAGCCACCTCCCCAGCTCTTGGATACTATTTAATTTGAATTCCTCCTTGGCAGGATGGATGTATATGGATAACTATCTCAAAACGGAAAACATAAAAAGAAATCCATAAATTCCTCCTTGGATTCTGAAAATAAGAGAGGCACTTCTAAGCGTATACACTACGCCCTAAATGTTTCTCAGGAAGCAGGGGTATCTTTCCCAGTAAGTACAGGCAACCAAGGAATGCTGAGAACAGGAGAAACAGTCTTCCCCAGGGATGAGCTCCCGGATTGCTTATCCAAGTGGTCAGCCCTCAAATCACGTGCAAACAAGTAACACCAAACTGGACCGAGCAGGCTGTATTTACATATTTATGCATACATGTATACATGGGCATTTAACAATAACAATTTTAAATGAGGCCACGGATTTGAAAAGGAGTAAGGAGGGGAATGGCAGGGTTTGCTGGGAGTGAGGAGAAGGGGGAGATGATGTAGTTATATTTTAATTGGAAAAAGCTGGGGGAGAAGGTAGCAGATAAGTCCAAAGCATTTGTCACATTCGTGTGACTGGCATTGCTGACACTAGTCCACCCGGTGACGAGGTACATCTCACTGACACCAGTCCACTCGGTGACGAGCCACGCCTCATTGGACCTTCTTACTAGATTATGGGCTCATAAAGCATTCCCCAACACTTCCTTCAAGGAAGGCAACACAACACTGTGGGAAAAACATGAGCTTTTAAGTCAGACAGATGGGAATATGGGCTCAGCACAGTGTCATGGGGAGACTCCTACCATCAGTTATTGGTTTGTTTTTATTATTCAGTATTGCAGGCTTACAGAGAACTACCCTGGGACATCTGCTTACCCGCTGTTTCTCATCGTCAGGCTTGCCATTCTTCCACGTGACCCTCAGAGGTTTTATTGTTGCTATTGTTGTATGAGTTAAAATGTTTTAGACATAATCACTCTGGTTAGGAATTCCTTTGGCTCTGAAATGGGTGTGATTACACCTGCATCTCAGGATTGAAACACATCTAAATTAATTGTCTGCCATATGAGTAGTCCTTATAAAGGCCTTCCTTACCATTTTCGTGTGTGTGTGTGTGTGTGTGTGTGTGTGTGTGTGTGTGTGTGTGTGTAGAGAGAGAGAGAGAGAGAGAGAGAGAGAGAGAGAGAGAGAGAGAGAGAGAGAGAGACATGGTGACTTGTGGTCGATTTCATGAATCATTCACCATCGCTCTCACCTTCCTCCTTGGTCACTGAGTCAGGGTCTCTCAGTCCAACCCAGAGCTCACCGATGCGGCTAGTCTTTCTAGGTAGCTCATTCTGGGCATCTCCTGCCTCTGCTTTCTGAGGCTGGAAGGACAAGACAGGCTGCCGCACCTGCCTGTTTCTGGGGATCCCAGCACAGGCTCTCACACTTAAGAGGTAAACACATTACATGTGGAGCTATTTCCCTGGTCCCGCTCCCCTTTTTAAGCGTGACATCATGAACGCATCATTTCAGTGGACTTTTAGATTCTTGATGAAATATAAAACCTAACGGAACATAATGTTGATGATTAAAAGATGCTGTTGATATAGGTAATAAATATGATTTCACAACTACTGCTTAGTAATATAACCCCAAATTTAACAGTTCTCAAAAGTAAATTTTCTAGGTCTCACATTTTGACAAATGTTAGAAACTTCAAGTCCTGAGTGGGTTTTCTCTGGATGTGTTTTAAAAATAACATCTTCTAGTCACTAAATTTAAAAGTTGTTTTTTTTCCTTCCTGGCACATAAACCCTGAAGTGCTTTCTAAGTGAGATTTCCAGATGCTGAGAAGGGAAGGGCTGCTCCTGGTAACTATTGTAGCAGCTGCCCTAATAAACTGTCCAGGCGACAAAAGAGTGTGGGGGATGGAGGGGGGCTGGAGGGTGGGGGGACACTTCAGCACCAGAGAACCGGTGCTCAGATGTCCGGAGCATTTGACTCCAGCCAGCAGCTCTCCTTACTCTTGCTACTGTTCCCTTCCTGTGGGAATCCCCGGCCCTTGAGTCTTTGGGGGAAAGTCCAGCTTAGGTATGCCAGGCCTGCTGCCCGTACCTCAGAACGGAGCTGTGGACAGCGAGACTGACCGCTCAGTGGATGGAAGCATTCATCGTCTAAGCCTGACTGCTTGAGTTTGATCTCTGGAGCATACAACTGAAAGAGAGAACTGAATTCCAAAAGCTGTCTTCTGACCTCCAAACGTGTGCCATTATTCATGTGGACACACACACACACACACACACACACACACACACACTAACATAAGCATAACATAAATTGATATTCCTTGGTTGTAGGCCACAGACCACCACATGGTTCAATAACTAGACCTTTGTTTTCCAATGTCTAAATCCTGTCTTGCTCCCTTGTTCTGAACTTTTTTTTTAAATTTTTTTTGAGACTAGCTCTTGGCTCTCTTTTTGATAGTTGAGGTCATTCATTCATGCTCAGTTACTAAGTTCCAGGCACTAGAGGCACCTTGTCAGGTACAGAAAATAAAATAAAGTGAAGCCTGTTCCCCACGCTGCAGAGTGCTAGTTTATGCAGACGTGTTGTGGCTGTGCTGAGCTGATTCAACAAGGTATAACCCTTGGGTCTAGCTTGCCTGGTGTCTTAGCTAGGGTCTCTGTCGCTGTGAATAGATGCCATGACTATGTCAACTCTTAGGAAAACATTTAATTGGGGCTGGCTTACAGATCCCGAGGTTTAGTCCATTATCATCAAGGTGGGAATAATGGCAGCATGCCGGCAGACAGTGTTGGAGAAGTAGCTGAGAGCTCTGCATTTGGATCAGCAGCTGGAAGAAAGAGACACTGGGCCTGGCTTGACCTTTTGACACCTCAGAGCCCACCACCCCCTGTGACACACTTCCTCCAGCAAGGCCACGCCTCCAATAATGCCACTCCCCGTGAGTCTATGGGGCCGTTTTCGTTCAAACCACCACACCTAGGAACATCATACCACAACCCAGCCCAGGCCTTACCGCCTCCTGTGATAACCTACTACAAGACTTCCATGTTGGTAATCCTTTCATATTCGTCTTGTTAAGGGTGGTCCTTGATTTCAGTAACTGGTGTGACTTAAAAGGCCAACTTAGAAGGTGTGACAGGATTCTTGGCTGGTTCTCCCTTGAGACAGACGAGTCACCATGTCGGGAGGAAGCCCAAGCCACGCAGAGAAGCCCTGTGCAGTGAGAGGCTCCTCCTTCCCCACCACCTCCTTCCCTGTGTAGTAGCCTGCTGTCTGGTTTCTTCATTCGGGTTTACACATGATGCCTTTTTTCCCCCCTCTAATTTAAGGTAGGAGCTGAAGTGTCTGAGACATTTCTTTTGTAGGTTGTTGAAACCAAAAATTTCATTTTAAATACTCCTTTAGTGGTCATTCATAGTTGGAATGTACTTCAATTCCTCTTCTCTGTACCACGGCCTGAAAATTCTTTCAAGCCAGTGTGTTGGGAAGGTCGTGAGGCTCACCTCATTTGTCCCTCACTTATCAGAAATGATTGTTTATCACCTGATAGCCAGTGTTTTGAGAGCCACTGTCATATATGTAGTCTCCCCCACCCCTAGTCCTTTAGGGTAGTTGGGTAGTTCCCAAGTATGGTTCTTATTAATATACCATACTTGGGAACAAAAGTTCACATGCATTTTAAAGCAAATATTCTCATTTGTGGGCTTGTTTTGATCATAGCATGCGAATTGCTGGGCATATTTATCCTAAAATGTCTCTTTTCTCTTACTTTCCAGGCCCCAGCCTTGGTTCACTATTCACTGAGACTCATTGCTATGTGGTATTGGACACTCACTCCTCTCAAGGAACTCCTAGTTTACCATTATCATTTACTTACTTATGATTTCTGTTTGACTTCCTTTCATTCTCCTCTCTGTAATATGATTTGAATGATGCAGTTGAAGCCAAAAACTCAATAGCTTATTAACTCAAAAAGTGAGGGTGTTTGTTTCGGCAGCACACATACTAAAATTGGAATGACACAGAAGAGTAGCATGGCCCCTGCACGAGGATCACACACACACACACACACACACACTAAAATAGAAAGAAGTAAGGGACTATAGACAGTTGATCCAGGTCACTCAGTTAAATTCTTCTGGAAACAGCCTTATAGACACACCCAGATGTGTGCGTCCATGATGATGCTAAATGCAGTTCATCTGAAAATGAAGGTTAAGCATTGTGGTATTTTGAATGAGAATGATACCCACAGAGTCGTATGTTTGAATGCTTGCTCCCCGGTCAGTGGAACTCTTTGGGAAGGATTAGGAGGTGTGGCCTTGTTGGAGGAAGTATGTGACTGGGGATGGGGTTTGAGGTTTCAAAGCCCACACCGTTCTGTGGTGATATTTTGTTTATGATCTAATAAGGCTTGCCTGAAGATCAGAGTGCAAAGCCAGCCACAACCATAGAGGCCAGGCAGTGGTGGCACACGCCTTTAATCCCAGCACTTAGGAAACAGAGGCACATGGATCTCTGTGAGTTCAAGGTCGCCCTATGTGGGAGTGAATCACACCTTTAATCCCAGCACTAGGCAGGAGGAGACAGGAACGCATTGCATTCTCAGGGAGTCTGAGGAGTAGGGCAGTCAGGAGCAGTCTGAGGTTTGGGGGTTTCACTTCTTTGTTCTGGTCATTGGTAGAGGTGAGAACTCTCTAGTGGCTGGCTGCTTTGCATATCTGATCTTCAGACTGAAGAGACCATTCCCAGTCTCTCGCCTCCCTCTCTCCCTCTCCCCCTTTGTCTGCCTCATTCTTTGTGGATCAGATGCAAGCTCTCAGCTGTTGCCCAGCACCATGCCTGCCTGCCTGCTGCCATGCTCCACCTTGATGCTATGGACTCCAGGACTCTCTGGAGTGGGCTCAAATGAAATACTTTCTTCTATAAATTACTTTGGTCATGGAGTCTCTGCACAGCAATAGAAAAGTGTCTAAAACAACCATCCCACCAGTAAACACAACCACAATGAAATTACTGCCCTTGGAAAGCTTACATTCGTGTGTGTGTGTGTGTGTGTGTGTGTGTGTGTGTGTGTGTGTGTGTGTGTGTACGAGCGGGCTCATGCATAAGAGTGTGCCTGCAACAGCAGCATTTTACAGAAGCATCTATATCACCAATCACACACAAGAGATGAGCATTTACTTCCTTAGAGTCTCAGCAAGGAGGAGGTTGTAGGCTTGCAGCTGTAGACTTAAGAACGACTTCTTGAGGCCAGTCTGGCCATGTGCTTTTTAGTCTTTGCTGTGACAAGCTGTTCTGTCTGCTGCTTTGGTATATGGGAGGCTTGGGCTTTTTTTCTAGAAGTGTATGTTATGAAAGTAGAGACCAACTGACCCCCAAAGGAGACTAAGATAATACCTCTAGAGATTTGATTGTGTCACGAGAGTATTTTCTGGGGAGGAAGATGGAGGGATTCAGGAACATTCTGGAGAAGGAGAACTGGAGGGGAGCTTCGGTTTCTCCTGTGACACACGGATTTCAGGTGTGCATCCTGTGATGACGTGCGGAAAGGCTTGACCAGGAAGCACAGTTCTTACAGCTGTGAGTCCTGTGATGACCTGGACAGAGACTTGACCACAAAGCACAGTTCTCACAGAGTTTTGTTTGTGTGGCTATTGGGTAATTGCTGACTGAGTGCTTTGGAAAAACAGCTAAGTAGCTTTTGAATCTTGGGTTAAGGGCGTTTTGGGATCTCTTTTCTCTGTCGCTTTTTGGATCTAGATTCTCAGGCTCTTCCAGGGCTCCAGCAGGAAATTTAGATTTAATCTCAAGAGTCAGTGTTTTGTCTGGTGTCTCTTTTAATGTAATGCAGATGTTAGGATGCTTTATTTGATTTGAACAGTCATTGACTCTGCTCTATTCCTCATCGCTGTGTAATGGGAAACAGTCTAACTCCAGTATTCATTAAACTCAGAGTATGTACATGGAGAGGGGAGATATATTTAGGCTATTTACATAGACGACAAGCCCTTAAACTGTTGCAGTGTTTGAGGGAAAAACATCTCCTCTGGGTGGGGAAGACAGAAAAACAAACAGTAAAAAGAAGTGTTCATTGGAAAAGCGCCCCTCCCAAGTGCTCTTGCTTTGAGTCGTGTCTGTTCATTGCCTGGATGGTCTGTAGCGTGGCTGGGATATCACTTCCCAGCACATTCTGTGCGCATACTTTCTCCCTTACAACACACCATTGCACAAGTTCCCGAAAAATCACCTGAACATCTCAGTGACTGTCCCAGCGTATGGCCCTCCCGTCAGCTTGCCAGAGGAGAACAGCATGTGACTGGTGACTTTGTGATATAGTAAACCCAGTCATATTCACCTGTCATTGCTTAATCAACTATCTGAGTTCTTATTTCCCCTTGGTGTCAAGTTTATTTGGGAGGAAAACAAAACCCACTGTATAATGTGGACACATACTGTGAGCCTTAGTTATGTGGTGTATGTATTGTTTCTTTATTGGTCTAATGACCTGATCTTCCAATAATCTAAAAAATGAGTCACAAAGTATGTTCCCTTTAGATTTATGTGATCATAGACATTTTTGTTTATTTATGTTACTGAGGAAATAAACATTTACATATGTCCTCAGGCACCACAGACTTTTTTTGTTCTGGCAGTTATGACTAATCATGTCATAGTCAGAGCTGTCCAGAGATGGAATTGTGGCTTCTCCTAGGATGTAGTAGCTATTGGTCAAATCAGCTAGGTGACTGGAATGTGTCCAGGTAGCCTCATGAGTTGTGTGAACTTTTTCTGAGCACAAACAAATGTTCACTCACCCTAGATAGGGCATCAATGACAAACACTTTGGATCTCTGAAGTTCTGTTTGTCATAGTCCTCTGCCTACCTCTTTTCTCACATGTACCGTGACTTCCGCCCTTGTCCAGTGGCTGGGGGGGGGTTTCCAAGGTGGGAGATGAAGAGCAGCAGGGCAGGGAGGCCAGGGTGTGCTCACAGGGAGGACCGTGATGGGTTTGTAAGTAGGATTGAGCTCAGAGACTTTTGTGTGGCAATGACGAAAGTGTATCAGACTTCTGAGAATTAGCAGGAAATCTACCGTGTGTGTGTGTGTGTGTGTGTGTGTGTGTGTGTGTGTGTGTGTAAGGCTGATCTAAAGAGAGCCCTGAAGAGCTTGTATGAAGTTTTGTTCTCTTCACTGTCTCACACCTTCCTGTTTTCTTCCCTTCCTCTCTCAGTGGCTTTATCCCATGTGTGAATAAAGACCACAAGGCTTCAGGAGGTCATTCTTCTGACAAATGCTCGTCCAAAGTGGTGGTGTGAGTCTTTGAACCAGGCTTGCTTTGACCAGTTTGGCCATCTTCGATACTCCATATCTCATTTCTGTTTTTTGGCAACAGCAGGTCATGCCTCACAGGTAGTGAAAGTTGTGGCAGGATGTGTTGTGCTTTCTGGATCTTATTTAAACTCAAAGTTGTATGCATTCAGAAGGTTCTTATGGTTTCATTGTGAACCACTCTCCTAATCACCCCCACAGGATCACGTGCTTGAGCATCTGGTCCCCAGCTGGTGGTGCTGTCTTGGGAGTTGGGGACTGTTTATGACGGAGGTCCTAAGGGAGACCTTTGACGCTTTTAGCCAGCCCTGTTTCTGGCCCCATTTTCTTCTTCCTGTGGCCGCCATATTGTGGCCAGGCATAGCTGCTCCTTCCAGTATGTTCTTTCTGCCATGATGGACTAACATCCCGTGAAACTGTGAGCCAAGTCAAACCCTTCCTTTCTGAGATGGCTTCTGTGAAGTACTTTGTCACGTGATGAGAAAAAAATGACTAAACACAACTCATTACTGAAGACTTTGGATCTATAGAACTCAAAGTTAAGTCAGGTGTTTCGACTTTCAAACCTGCTAATAATTATATTGTCTTGCAAATTCATGTATGTTTGGAGGACCTAGAAAAGCTAATTCTGCGTAGGATGCCATCAATTAGGTTGTCCCAGTTTGGTTGGCAGGGTTTAGTTTGCCTGACACAAGAGAGGTGTATTTCAACTTCAGCATCAAAAGGACATCTGAGTGGGACATTTTTGTCAGGTACCCTGATACCACAGGTAGATGTAGGAAAGATCTATTGTATACCTGCAAAAGAGTAAGTGAAAAGGACAAACAATATCTTGGCATCATTATGAAGATGATTTTACTCTTTAGTGCCGAGGACGCAGTGGAGGGTGCTTAAGACCCCAAAGGCTTAGGGGTTGCATTTCAAGGATCACTGGTGTAGAAGACTGCTATGTTTTTCCAACTTGGTATTTTATTTTTCTTGGTCATGACCTTTTGGTTGTAGCCATGTGGTTTTATGTAAGGAAAGTCTAAATTAAACACACTGAGTAATATTTGTTGATAGGATTGAGTCAGGCTCTAAGCTTGCGATAAAGTGGTAGCTTTTAACAATTGTGATGCTGACTTTCCATGCTCAGAGTCAGCCACATTTCATTTCTTCTTCCCATACGTGATTTTGTCTTTCTCACTCAGACCTCTTGGACTGTTTTTTTTTCTCTAATGTAAATCACATTTTGTTCTCAGTGTTAATGGAGGGCAAAATGGATTTGGAGCAAATAACACTGAAGTGAAATTCCGCTGTGATCCCTTCCCTTGCTTTCATTTTTATTTAGTAAACTGAGTTTTGGTAAGTGCTCTATATTGCCAGAGGCTAGGGACATAAATTTATAGACCACGTGGTGTCACCTGAAAACAGTGTCCAAGTAGGAACAGCTTCAACAGCCGTAGGCACACGTAATGTGCTTGTGGCCTAGTTGCCTTGCGTGAAGCCTGAGTGACATGGTGGGGTGCTGCTCCCTTCTGTTTTTAGTACTTTCTTATGATATTTTACTTCTGTCGTGTGATATGTATGATATGTGTGAGCGCAGGTGTGGATTTGCTGTGGTGCCGGACCTGTGGATCAGAGGACAGCTTTGTTCTTTCCCGATGGGCAGGGATTAAACTGAAACCACCAGGCTTGTGCGGCAAGCGCTTTTGTCTAACAACCCATCTCACCAGCTTCTCCCCTCTCTTCTCAGACAGTCGAAGGTGGCCAGAGATCTCCAGTCCCAGCAGTGTCAACGGAAACCACTTAGGTAGGATGTGCAGATTCCCGAGACTCCCTTTGCTCAACAAGGAGACCAAAGCTCAACACTCTTCAGCGAACCAGCGGAGTCTTTGTTCTTCTGGGAGTTAAAGGTAAGCCAGAAGAGTTGGAGTGTGTGACAGGTGTGGTGGGTCAACTGTCAGGAGGGGAGGCGGCTAGAGTTGAAAATGGTGGCAGGAGGGATCTGAAAGGGAGCAGTGGTATAGGGACTGGTCCGAATGGCACTCCTTGTCACACCATGTAGTTATGGGTGGAGACAGCAATACCAGGTCCCTGCTGCCACCACCAGTCAGTCCCTGCTGGCAGTGATGGATGTAGCAAGTGCTACCAACACTGTAAGCCTATTGCTAACTCGGCAGTCATTGTTTTACTAAACCCTCATGACAGTATCCACGTGGGCTCTTTTCATCCCCTAGGGCTCATACTCCTTAACTGTGTCAGTTAACCGTGTTCTAGGTGACAGGGCTGAGATGCTAAGCCAGACAGAGGCAGTCTAAATAGGTCTGGAATTGGGAAGTGACAAGTTTAGTATAATAATTAGAGGAATAACCTCTCTAAAAATGCACACAACTGTACACTGTGCTGTAACACAAAAAATAAAAGACCCAGACAGATATTGGGGTTCAAGCTTCAAGCTGAAGATCAGAAAAGCAAAGCAGCCAAGTTACCTGCTCTCACCTCTACCTCAGGCTGAAGGGCTGATCCTGTCTCCATGAGCTCTCACTAAGCCTCAGACTGCTGCCTCTTCTCCATGTAGCTGGAGAATGAATGCCCTGTTTCTGTCTTAAATACCTCTCAGGAGCCCTGGGATTAAAGGTGTGTGATCCTAAGTGCTGAGATCGCCTTTGTGTGAGCTGTTGCTTTTAAGACCGAATCAATTTTGTGCAGTCAGTGTGGCCTTGAACTAACAGATCCATCTACCTCTTAATCCTGAGTCCTGGGATTAAAGGAGGGTAGCACCGCTGCCTAGCTTCTAGAGCTAACTAGTATGGCTGCTTTGCTATTTTGATCTGCAGTGGCTTTAATAAATCATAAGCAATTTATCACCACACTGTGCTGAGTGTTTGTGTATATAACTTTTGTTTTTGCTTTTTTGGTTTTGAGACAGGGTCTCTTTGTGCAGCCCTGACTTGTCTGGAACTCATGCGGTAGACCAGACTGGCCTGGAGCTTACAGAGACCCGCCTACTTCTGCCTCTCAGATGCTGGGATTAAAGATGCGTGCTTCCACACCCTGCTCACGTATGTAACTTTTATGGAGCACTTATAATGAAACACGGGGATTATAACAGTCTCCTTCTTGTGTGCTCAAGGCCCGTGTTTCATATGAGGTGCGTGCACACGTGTCAGTGGATAACGTGTTAAGTAACCAGACTGTGGAGACAGGGCCTTGTCGAGGGTCACTGAGACCACGTGGGGAGTGTCTGAGAGAGGCCACCCCTCACTGAGCCTGTCTTCTGCCTTCCTAGAACACAGGACTGGACAGCTCACTACACTTGGCCTCAGCTGAAAAGCTGAGAAGTGACTGAGATGGGGCTTGTTACAAAGAACAGATACTTCCTTTCTTTTTAAAATTACATGTAATTACTGAATGTACACGTGGAGGTCAGAGGTCAGCTTGCAGGAGTTGGTTCTCTATTTCTACCTTGTGGGTCCCAGGGTTTAGCTCAGGTTGTCAGGTTTAGCCATAAGCACCTTTACCTTCAGGTGGTCCTGGAATTTATTTCTTACGGTTCTGGAGGCTATGACAGGAGGGACTGCGTCATCTCATACATGCGTATCTTCAAAGTCTTCTCGATGGGTGTTAGATCATTCATGAGGATGGGTGCTTAGGATCTCATCACCTCCCCACCTGCCATCCCTTTTGTTTTGGGGATTGAGTTTCAACACTCACTTTTGGGGAACACACTGAACCCAAAATAATCTCTGTGTGTCATCACCAGGCTACTGAGAGCCATTACCCTGATGAATGGGTCAGTGGTCAGCTTCACTTTCCAATATTCAGAAGTTGGGAGTACAGAGGAAGGTAGGGAGTGTAAACCACACTGTGTTAAAAGTGAATGGTGTGTGTCTGGTGAAATATGTTCTGTAAACTTCCCCAAAGCTGTTTTTAAAGTTACAACAAATGAAAGAAGTTTATTTCAGAGGACACATTTCCTATAACCTCTTCATTAGACACAGCCCAGGTTTTCCTGCCCTCAATACTAGGAAGGTGTTTCCTGGAGGAAGTTTGGGGGAGACAGCAGGGGAGGAAGAGGAAGTGTTTATAGATAAAGAAGACTTTTAATGAGCTTTCTTTAGCCTATGTGGTCTCCCTCCCATCTTGACACGAGTTAGTTTAATCATCTGTGCAGAGGGGTGTTAGCCAGACGAGTTTGACATCAGGGTTCCAGCTCTGGTCCGGTTTTTTCCTGGCCCTTGGTCCTATTCACCATCATGAAGCCACTGGAAAGGGTGGAGAAAATCAACCCTGGGCATCACTGCTCCAGAAAGGGTGTCACAGCTACGACAGAGTCTACATGGCAAACACGTGGTCTTTTATTGTATTTTGGGAGTGGCGGAGAAGGGGCATGAACTCGCTGGAAGTAAGGCTGTGTCTTTTTGTGGAGGAGGGCACGTGAAAGACAGCTGTGACGTGAAACAGTTACCTGTGGCTTCTACCTGTGTGGCAGCCCTGGGAGGAAAGACAGGAGGCGGCAAGCCTGTTCAGTGTGACCTTGTGTGGAAAACCTTGGGGATTCTGGAAAATGTGTATTGAGAAGCGTGAAGGAATCACATGGAGCTTTAGAAATGAAAACAAAACTAAACAGCTTCACACTGAAAATTCACTTTGCACATTTGTCTGTGATTTCTATCGCTTTACTCATTTGCATAGGGAGTGGCCTAGACGAAATCACTGAGTGAGGAAAACGAATTACAGTATCCAAGAAAGTGAGCTTTCAATTCAAACAATTGTTTTTGAATCTATTACATTTCGGGAGCCTAAAAAAGTTTTACACACACACACACACACACACACACACACACACACACACAATTCTAGGGAAAGAATACATATCCCAAGGCCATTCTTTTAATGTATCGCTTCTTTGGAATGAGAATTCCTTAGTCCTCAAAGGTAACTCACAGATCAGGTGGTCTAATTCTCTCGTTTCACATTTATAGTTTGTGAAGCTTATTAATGTGATATGCTTGAGTCGTTTGTCATTTGATATCTGCTACAGCAACCACATTCCTTTTGTGCGATGCCTGTACACGTGTCAGAATAGAATCTGCCCTTCATAATCATCACGCATCCACAATTACCTGTGGTTGCCTAACGAGCCACCCTCGCCATTACAGTTTCTCATGGCCCCGTGGCAGTGCCCACTCAGAGTCCCTGCTGAGGCTGTTGTCACATGGCGGCATGTTTAGACTCCATGGCGGGCCGGCAGAGGCTTGGCATGGAGCTGGCAGGGGAGCTGGCTGCTAGCTAGCAGCTCTGGTGACCTTGGCAGTGGTCTTTCTGCAGGGTCCCCCTGACCTAGAAACTCAGACAGCTACTGTCTCTCCAGGTCTGCGTCACCGCAAGGTCCTAAGAGAACTACTGTCAAGCCATCCCGGCCTCCGACTCACACACACACAGCTCTAGGAAACAGACCCGGCACGGTTCAGAAAGTCTTTTCAACTAAACGCTCCTGGGTTCCCAAGGGCCTGCTCTCCCGTGTTGTCCAGTTTCATCTTTCATTTCAGAACAACGGTTTAGCTCCCACTCATCAGTCTTCCCTGTGGCTCCCTGATCTTCCAGCCTTTAGGATCAAGCTACCACCTTGAAGGTCCCCCAGGCTCAGTACCGAGAGAGGTGAGAGGGACAGCATCTAATTACTTTAGCTCAGAGGGTCAAACCATGTGGTTGCTGGATTCCTAATAGTACTCTTAGGTGAGAAGTGCGGAAATGCATGGAACAAGGGTAATATTGTGTCTACTAATATGCGTACTACATTAGCATCAGTGTTATATATTATATCCCTCACAGGACAGCTGCTGAAGTCAAGAGTACTGAAGAGAGCTGCCATTTATTATCTACTCCATGCAAAGCATTCCATATCCACCATTTTAGTTACTTTTCCAAAACAACTGTGTAAGATAGGTAGAATGTACGTGTTCAAATGAAGAGGGTCTACAAGATGGTTCAGTGGGTGAAGGTGCTTGCCACCAGGCACAAGGACCTGCATTTGATCCGTAGGACTCGTATGGTGGAGAGAGACAGCAGACTCTGTGGAAAGCTGTCCTCTGTGCTCCTCCCAAATAAATGAATAAGTAAACGTACTAAAAATTTAAAATGACGAGAGAGAGAGGGAGAGAGAGAGAGGAGAGAGAGAGGAGAGAGAGGAGAGAGAGAGAGGAGAGAGAGAGGAGAGAGAGACAGAGAGAGAGAGGAGAGAGAGGGGAGAGAGAGGAGAGAGAGAGGAGAGAGAGAGAGAGAGGGAGAGAGACAGAGAGAAAGGGGGAGAGAGAGAGGAGAGAGAGGGAGGGAGAGAGAGAGGAGAGAGGGAGGAGAGAAAGAGAGACAGAGAGAGAGAGGGAGGAGAGAAAGAGAGAGAGAGAGAGAGAGAGAGAGAGAGAGAGAGAGAGAGAGAGAGAGAGAGAGAGAGAGATACAGCTAGCAGTGGTACAGCTGGGAGGAGTGTCCAGGTCAGACATTTTTGCATCCATGATTACCATGTGTGAAGCCATTTTGCACGGTGGAGTGCTTTTTACAGATACAGCATGATTTGCTGTCTCCTTGTCTCCTTTCATATTTAGATGTGGGAAACACACCAGCTGTCAGAGGATTTTCTCCAGGATAGGCTTTTGGATTTAATTTAACTCTTTGCTGTGGAGGATGGCAATCTGGGGGCTTTGCACACGCCAGGCAAACGTTCTACCACTGAGATACATCCCGCGCTTCCCCAGCGTAATTTTAAGATTCCAAGGAGTAAAAGTCAATCGTTTTACACTGAAAAACCAAACAAGCGGAATCAGACTCCCAGAAGTCTCACCTTTGCCATGCTTCTGGTAAGCTGTGTCCCCGTGAGACTGTCCCTCCTTCATCCCCGGGAGGGTGAGGCAGCCTGCCTGGCCGAGACCCTCGGCATCATCCCAGGAGCCGCTCCGCCCTAATTTGTTGACTTCTGAGAAAGACAGGTCCCTTAATCAGCATCCTTCAGCGTCTGCCCTGTAGTACTAATTGGGCCATCTGAGCCACACCCTGCCCTTCCGTGCTTAGCTGAATTGATGCTGTGAGCAGCAGGGCTGGTCCTCTCCCCCACCCACCCTGAACACTTCGCCTTTGTCCTGGGATGCAAGCCAGTTCCCAGGAGCTGTACATGCCCAAGTTTGGTCCCTAATGGTCTGCATCCTGCTGAACTGCATCTTGTCAGTGTGTGATCAGGGTTACCTGGGACAGTCACTGAATGAATGTGCTGAGAGAATTGCTAAAGTCAGGGTCCCTAAGTCATCTTAGGCTGGCACCTAGCAGGAGCTTTGCGGGAATTCCTCAGGCCTAAGCATCGGTGGCCTTACTGATACATTTTCATCTGGCGGATAGTGTGTGTGTGTGTGTGTGTGTGTGTGTGTGTGTGTGTGTGTGTGTGTGTGTGTGGGGGCATGGATATGTGAACGTTCCTGTAGAGGCCAGAGGACGCCAGCCTTGGGTAGTTTTCCTCAGGAGCCAACCACTTCCTCTTCCTCTTCCTCCTCCTCCTCCTCCTCTTCTTCTTCTTCTTCTTTTGAGACATGGTTTCCCACTGGCCTGGGACTTATCAAACAAGCTAGAATGGCTACCTGGTGAGCTCCAAGGGTATGCTTGTCGCCACCTCCTTGAGATTACAAGCTCATGCTGCTCTGCCCAACTTGCAAGGTGAGTGTCTTACCAGCGGTGCTGTCTCCCCACCCCTGATGGCCACTTTAAGTGGTGGTTTCATCCTTGCCTGTGTTGGCTCCTTGGACCCTCGAGTCCTAGGAAAGTCTAGACGCTAGGGAGCGTAGAGAAGTACAAGCCTCCCTTGTAGATCCATCTCTTTCCTCCTTCCTTCCCCTCTCTTCTCTCGGCTTTATTTGTGTTTAACACGCTGCTTTAAAAAGCAACGCCTTGTTTCTTTCCTACCTGAGGCAGGTAACCTGAACCCAATAGGTCCAGAACTCCTCTTCCTGAAGATACCCCCAGGACACAGAAACCAGCAACATGCTTCTTCCTACTGGACTTCCTTTACAGTTAGCACTCAGTTTTAAAGAACAAATTGGAAATCTAGGCATGGTTATTTATGCTGTGATCTCAGCCCATGGGAGTCGGAGGCAGGAGGATTGTCGTGAATTCATGACCAGCCTGGTCTACACAGTAGGTAAGTGTCAGGGCATCGAGGGCTACAGTCTCAATGAAGTAGAACCAAATCAACAGAACTGAAGGTTGGACATGGTGATTTTTCACTACCTATGTTTTCTTGGGGAGACTCCTAAGCTGTCTCCCAGGAGAGCTTAGTCAACACTTAAAATATGTCCTTTCCCTCCAAGAATTGTGCCCACAAATGAACACCGTATCTGTGTAGCAGCTAACAGTACCTCTCCTTTGGTCTGTAGGACATAGGTTCTCCAGAGTAGTCACATGACCAATGACTGTCGCCTGATGGGGACGGAACTTGATGCATTTGCCTCTTTTGCAGGTGTAGTTTTTGTGTAATGCTTCCAAGGCCTTCTCTCTCATCCTGGCTCCGTGGACCTGTAGCTCCCATGTAGGACCTGGCTGCTCACCTCGCCTGCCCTATGAAGGTGGCCTCTCTCCCACCTCGACTGCCATGGGAAGGCGGAAAGCCCAGCCTCTGACTAAGCTCATTTTATGAGGGCTGTTCTTGTTGGGCCAGGTATGGGCTGATAGTAAAACCAGGTGCAACTGACTGAAAGCCTTAGGAGGAGTCGACTCTGAAAGTATTTCAGAGGAGGGGCTATCTCTCTCATACTGCTGTCACCTTCTCCACTCCTTGTTGTTTCAGAAGGTGGTGTGGTGGAGCTCCTAGTAAGGGGAGGTACCAGATCTCAAAGACACAGCTTTGAGCCCCAGTATAGTGTTCCCAAAGCCTGCAGACAGCTCCATGCCACCAGATACCCTGGTTAGACTTGGAGCTGTTCCTATGCATTCATTTACCTCCCAGGTTTCTTTCTGCTTTGTGGATTGTGACACAGAGGACAGTCACACAAGCATATGACAGGGGAGGTTCTCATAGCATCCTCTAAGACAGGTGGAGAGTAGGTGTGGTAGTTTCATTGTAACAGGCTTCCCAAATCTCATAGGGAGGGGCACTATTAGGAGGTTTGGCTTTGTTGGGCTGGTGTGTCACCGCGGGGACAGGCTTTGAGGTTTGCTATGCTCAGGACACTGCCCAGTGTCTTAGTTGACTTCCTGTTGCCTGCATCTCAGCTCCAGCCCCACATCTGCCTGCGTAGTACCACGCTCTCTGTCATGATAACGGACGGAGTCTCTAAACTGTTAATGTAGAGTTGCCATGGTCACGGTGTCTCTTCACAGCAACAGAAACCCTAACTCAGACAGAAGTTGGCACCAGGGACTAGGGTGTTGCTGTGATAGGCCTCACCATGTTTTGTTTGGAATAATATGGACTTTGGGAGTTCGGGTTAGGAAGGCAGCTGAATGCTTTAAGCCCTGCTTAGTGGGCCATAGTGGTAGGAGCATGGAAGTCATTGGTGCTGACAAACTGTAGGGGTCAAACGGTTTCAGAGGAGACAGCGTGTGGCCTAGAGACAGCTCTTGTGATGTTTTGGTGAAGAAGAAGTCTGCCTGAGGCTGAAGTGAAGTTTTGGATTAATTCGTTGGCAGAGGAAATCTCAAAAGAGCCTAGTATAGACTCTGTCCTGTGGTTCCTGGTGTTCATGCTTATAAAGATTTAGAGTGAAAAGGAGCAAGCTGAGCAGGGTAAATTACAAAATGTAAATTTTGAGGAGAAAAAAAGAATACCAGGAAGTGGAATGGAACTAGATCCTGTGTTCAAGGAGACAGCCCGATTAAGAAATGAAATAAAGATGCATACGAAAGGAAAGAAAGGTTAAAAAGTCCTGAGGTAAAACATAGATGAAGAGAAACAGGTTAGTTTAAGTTAGAAAAGCTGGCTAGAAACAGGGCTAAGCTGGGACTGAGCATTCATAAGTAGGAAGAAGTCTCTGTATCTTTATTCGGGAGCTGGGTGGCGGCCCAAAGAGAAAGCCTGCTACAGGGCGGTCAGCTACTCCTGCAGCTGGTCTGCCCGCCCGCCGCCACGTCCCCCACCACGATGACAATGGACTGAACCTCTGACACTGCAAGTGAGCCCCCTAATTAAATGTTTTTTCTTGTAAGAGTTGCCATGGTCATGTTATCGCTTCGCAGCAATAAAAACCCTAAGACAATGGGGATGGAAGATTGCCACACCCGCTAGCTTTTTAGCTGCCAATGACGGCACTTCAGAATACTGATAAGTGTAATGTATAGCTCGCAGTTGGAGGTAAAATAATGAAGGCAAATGTAAGCTGGCTGGAAAGTAACAAAAATCACGTGTCCTGACGAGGAGTCTTCACTTAGTGAAAATTATGTTGCTAGACCACACTGCTTGATTTCCATCATGGTTTGGTCAAATGAGACAGAGCCCTGTAGATCCCCATGGGCTGGAAGTGCATAGCCACTTAGCATGTCCTCGAAGCAAAGCTCAGCCACGCTGAGAATGCCGAGGCATCTCAGGTGTGGCTGGGAAGCATCCTGTCTCATTTCAGAGCTGCTTCCTCAAGAAAACTGAAAAATGTTCTCAGCGAGAATCATATTACCGTCCGTTTTCCACTCTTTCCTAAGGCCAGCCTGTGGTATCCATGAATGTATCTTCACATAATCTAACCCATAAGAAGCTAACTAGAGGGCTGGTGAGAGGGTTCAGGAGATAAAGGTGCTTGCTGTGCAAGCCTGACAGCCTGGATTTGAGCTGGCAGTGTGGTGGGTTAGGGAGTGGCGAACACCTTTAATCCCAGCACCCACGAGGCAGGGCAGGCAGATCTCTGTGAGTTCAAGGCCGGCATGGTCTACAAAGTGAGTTCCAGGACAGTCAAGGCTACCCAGACAAACCCTGTCTGGGAGGTGGGGGGGAGTTTTCCACTAGTGGAAGGTCATAGTCCATCACTTAATAACTATATCATACTGGAAGAGAGCTATGATTTTGGTCAGAGTGAAATTCTGCACATGTAAGTGTGGATTTTCCAGTACTTTCCAATTCCTAAAGGCTCACTCAACAACCTTTTACCAAGAGAAATCTGCTCCTGGGGATTGAACCTAGGTCCTCAAACTAAGTATTCTAGAGTTGAACTATACACTCAGCCTTGGAAACCTACCTTTAACCCCCCCCCCCCCCTTTTTTTTGTACAGGTGACCTTTAAGACTTGAGTATGGTGCGAGTTTGCTTACTGCTCAAGAGGAAGTGCACACTCAGCTTTTAATTCTCTGGAAGAACACACTGGGCTATGGGGTTGGTTCCTACTGATACTTCATACATTCAAAGGTATGTTAATGTGCCATTACTTTTCAGAAACACAGAATTTACACCCAGTCTTGATAAAGAAATCCAAACTATAATAAAACACATGGTTGAGAGATTAAAATTTGGCAAGCTGAACAGGCTTCACACATTTAGAGGAAATAAAAAGCAGTCTATTAACTTTAACTGGGCCCACCATGCTGCCTAGAAGGATGTGTCAGAGCCTGGGCCTGTGCTCTGAGTCCAAGTGCTGGATGTCAGAGGTCCTTGGGGCATCACAGAGGTCCTTGGGGCATTAGTAGTTTTCTCTTCCAGTTCAGCTTCCCTTCAGGCACACGCTGCAGAGCTCTTCAATGAGTTCAGCAAAACAGGAACCAGAGGTTAGGAGAGCCTGAGATCTAACCCCTGTGCCCTCTGGTTCAGCCTCAGCACCGGAAACAGCACTAGCAATGCTTACTAGTGGCAGCCTTCATGCTCAGGGCAAGGAAGCTGCCTATTTAATTTTAGAGAACTGTTTTAGTCAGGGCCTTCTGAGAAACAGCTCTGTTTTGTGGCTGAGTCTTCCTCTGTCATTGGTTTCTTACCTATTCTGACTCTGATACCTCAGGAACTCCCCTCTCTGCTGGGCCAATTTTAGTGCATTTCTTTTTCATCTACTCCGATACCTTTAAGCTCTGTATTTTCTCTTACACCTTGTGGCAAATCACCGTTGAGAGTCAGCAATCAATGCGAGTGACAGAGACACATTATACAAAGAGCTTATTCCAGTTAGGCCCTTCTGCTGGAAAACCTTCCCCTGAAGGTCAGTAGATTAGTCGAAGTTCTCTAGAGGAACACAACTTACCTTTCTATATTTACAAAGAGGATTTATTACAATGATTTACAGGTTGTAAATCTAATTCCAGCTAATCTAACAATGACTGCCTGTGAATGGGAGATCCAAGCATCCAGTAATTGTTCGGTCCACGAGGCTGGATGTCTCAGCTGGTCTTCAGTATGGCTGGCATTCTGCAGAAGTGGGCTCTAATGCCAGCGAAGAAATGGGCTTGCTGTCAGAGTGAGAGCAGGCAGGCAAAGACAGAGCGCTTTCTTCTTCCTGTCCTTTATGTAGGCTGCCTGCAGGTGTGGCCCAGATTAAAGGTGATCTTTCCACCCCAAAGATCCAGATAAGGTGGGTCTTCCCACTTCAAATGATTTCATTAAGAATGAATCCCTCACAGGTGTGTCCAGCCATCTAGGTTTTAGTTAATCCCAGACGTATGGAAGTTGACAACCAAGAATTGCCACTAGAGTTGGCTTCTCCCTGTAGCTCTTTTCCCAGCATTGTCTTGTCCAGGCGGGGCTGGCTGGAGCTGCACATGTCAGAGAAGCTATTACTCGAAAGAGCAAAGCTTCTGTTTTCTTTCTTTAGAAAAGATTTATTTATTTTTATGTGCATCGGTGTTATGCCTGTATGTAGTATGTCTGTGTGAGGATGCCAGGTTCGTTGGAACTGTGGGTTCTGGGATTTGACCCTGGATCCTCTGGAAGAGCAGCCAGTGCTATCAACCCCTGAGCTACCTCTCCAGCCCCGCCCCCCCAGCAAAGCTTCTTAAGGGAGTATTTTAGCACACATATATACATATGTATTTGGTGTATTTGGTAATCTTATGTCAAGTTGACACAATCACTCATGCTAGAAGAGGGAATGTCAATTGAGAAAGCTCCCTCCTGTAGGCAAGGCTGGAGGGCATTTTCTTATTTAGTGGTTGATGTGGGAGGGCCCAGTCCATTGTGGGTGGTACTACCTTGGGCTGGTGGTCCTGAGTTCTGTAAGGAAGCAGGCTGAGCAAGCCAGTGAGCAGCAGGCTGAGCAAGCCAGGGAGCAGCACCCCTCCATGGCCTCTGCATCAGCTCCTGCCTCCAGGTTCCTGCCCTGTGTTGAGTTCCTGCCTTCCATCCCCTTAATGGACTATGACTTGAGATTTGTAAGTCAAAGAAACTCTTTACAAGTTGCTTTTGGTTATAGTGTTTCATCCCAGCAATACTAACCTTAACTATGACACTTGGTAGAATTGTTTCCTAAGATATTACACTTGCTACATTTGATTTCAAATAAGAATCTGTACTTCCAGCTAAAACATTTATCCCTCAACAAATACAAAGACATCTTCCCAGTGTAAGTCACTAACGGTGTGGAGTGATCTGTGAATCCACAGACACCCTGCTACACATGCTCACCGGAAAAGACAACTGTTAGGCTGAGAGTGTAAGGATCTGTAAGTCCAGGCAGGTTTTAACATATATTTTTTTTATTAAATATGTAAAAAGATCAATGCAAGTCAAGTTATTCACATATTCAGAGACAAAAAGCTATCCTACCATGCGACAATAGGTGGGTAATGTAAAATGAATGTGATGCATTTGAATAAGACCTCTTCATCTATTATGTCATTACTTATCGATATTTATAATTAACAATACATATGTTTACATTCCTTTCAGTTTACATTAATATATAACAAAAGCTTTATGGTGTACTATTTAGTAAAAGTAATCTGAATGCATATTAAACCTTAACGGAATAATGGAGACACTCACCAGGGCAGGGAGGGAATCGTGGTTCCCTTCTGGAGTTTCCTTCTCTCAGTTCGACAGTCCTGCTTTCCTACTTAGAATGAACACGAGCTCTCTCTCTTTGTCCCCTGCTTCGATCACTTCCAATCTAACAGTGGCGATGGGAGTGCTATAAGCAGACATCAGTGTGTGTGGGATCAAAAAATGAAAAAAAGAAAAATCAACTTCCTGAGAGGGAGGAGCAGGGCACCATGCTGGGATACTTCTGAACTCAGTATGATGTCATGTGACTGGGGTGGGGCTTAGAAGAATGTGTGCCCTAGATGCCAAGAGGACAAATGTGTCCCACCATCCATCAGCGGTGGGTGCCCAGAGGCGGGGTTCCAGCCTAGGAGCAACTTGGAAACAGCTGAGAAGGATCATCTGGGACACGACACTTCAGAAGATACTTAAGATGGGCACAGGAAGAGGAGGTACAGCTTTTCTCTAAATGGACCAGTGACGAGTACCAGCTGGGGAACACTTTTCAGGCTAAGCTGTCCAGGGAGGTGGAGAGCAACAGAGTGCTTCTAGCGAGAGGCCTTGGGGGAGCTTTATACAAGTTTAACAGCCTCAGGAGGCCCGGGAGAAGACAAGATCCTGACTCCCTGGTACCCATGCACAGAAGTGTGGCCGTGAATCACCCAGCCCTAGGTATTACTGATATCTCCTGGGCAGGTAAAGCAACTGTCAGGTATCCATGAGAAGCTGTTTATTGTACCTCCTTATAATGGCTATATAAAAGACAAACAAACAAAAACAGAGTGAGTGAATGAAACAGGCTGAGCAGAGCAACAGACCAGCGAGCCTGATGCTGTGTATAGCACAGCCACTTCCACAGGCAGGCGAGGGAGGATGTCACTGCAAGGAGCAAGGCTTTCCAGCCTCGGAGAGTGAGCTACTGCTGCAGGGCTGCGTGAGCAGGAGAGAGAGGAAAGGGGGGTCAAACACCACGGGACATCTGTCCACTTATGCACAGCGTGATGGGATCATCTCAAGAAAGCAAGCCGTCTTCCCATAAAGACCTCCGTGCATACAGCTGCTGTAAAGGGTTATTTCGGAAAGCCTTCTCTTGGTGCAAGGCTTCAGTGCTAGAATTTAAAGTTAGGATCTCATCAATCAATAAAGAAATGTCAAAGCTTTATGATACATAATTCAGAAATTTATTTTGAGATTTTTTTTAAGTGAAAGGACGGGGGTGGGGGGGCACATTTGTTTTTCTGCACTTGCTGGCCAAACGGCCGGTGACAGTAAACCTAAAGTTAGGAAAACCAAATGAAAGAAGGGAGCTAGGAGGGGCACCATCTGTCAAAGGGGGAAGACAGGAAACGGCCAGGAAAGACACTAGGAAAATGTGCAAATATTAGTTAAAAACAAGGAATGCTTTCAATTCATTAATGTTTGCTAAGTATGAATTGCCATGGTTTAGCAAATGTCAGTGACAAGGAGGGCCCCTGTGTTGCAGAGGTGGAGAGAGTCCTTACTCCAGGGGGTCATGGGAGTCACTGGTGTTTCTGTGTAGAGCTACACTTCTCCCTTGAAGTCATGCTGCCAATCAAGCCTCCGCTTCCAACCTTGCAGCCTGGCCGGCCTGATGCAGCAGGCTGCATGTGGGGTGCACCTTCAAGTTACCCTTTAACGTAGATCCCCTAGTGTGGATTGCAGGGCTTGGGCGGAAGCCCTTATGAGGAGGGAGAGGGCTGAGGCGGGAAGCCCCGTGCCTTCTGAGACCCTCCCAGCCTCTGCAGCTGCAGATTGCCAATGACAACATCCTGTGGGGAATGGACCCCCACCAAAGAGGACCCTGAGAAAAGAAAATAACACGAGAGCCTGGGAAGTGGGGGGAGGGCGGGGCACACGGAGCTGAGGGGAAGCCGAGATGGTGTTGTCCGTGAGAGAATGTCTGAAACTAACAACTGCGGCTGTCTGCTATGCTGCTCTGTCAACACTGCTGGGCCCTGAAGTCCTAGTTTTGAATCCATTTTTTTTCCCCTTTAGTGTTGTGAGTAGAGGGAGAAACTGCATTTTCCCCATGACACAAGCTACTGTCGTATGGCTTTCATATCAAGTATCTGTTTCCCTTTGTTCCAATTACTTTTCTGACCAAATTTATGACAGGAGGTTATTAGACTCGGCAAACATCAAAGCACCACAAATGTGTGTGACATCTAGTGACACCGGGTTGAGAGATGCCAATATAAATACCATATACCAAATGACCATTGTTTCACACCAGGATAAAGGGGGTTGGTGGTGGCGGTGGCGGCGGTGGTGGTGATGGTGGTGGTGGTGGGGTGGGGAGGAGTTGTTCTGGAAAGAAACGAGGAAGAGTAGAACCGATTTCAAGCAGCCAAGTGGTGAAGTTGAAGGTGTGTGACCCTATGGCCTCGCAGGCAGGCGCCCAGAGTGGCCATCTGCTAATGCATCTTGGCAAAGGAAACGGGAACCGAGCTCAATGGCTGGCGGATGCGATTTCGCTGTGGATGGTAACGGCAGGTTGGGAACAGCTGGTTTCTACCGCGCTCCGGGCCACACACGTTCCAATTCTCCAGAAGAAAAGTCCCCACACACGATGGCAGCGTCGAGAGCTGCTGAGGCGCTTCAGTACTCTTCTTGCTGCTGGGGCTGTTGGTCGTGGGCCTGCTCTTCTGCTTCTGGCTCTTCTGTCTGGCCCTCCTGTGGGGGAGGGGAGAAGTTTCAGCCAAACTGGTTGACTTTCGGGTCCTGTGAGGTGTCAGGCCTGGTCACCGTGAGTCACCGCATCATCAGGCTCTGGAGCGCACCAGGCTCAGGCACAGCTCAACACACAAATGTTCCTAACTTCCAGGTGTCAACGCTAGATACAGGGCCACCTTCGCGTCCCCGTGCCACCCAAGGAAAGCCATTCTGGAAAGCACAACTGTCGGGTGTTAGGGACCCATCTTCTCTTACCCGCTTAGTAGGAGATCCTCACAGATGTGCACTTTCCTACCCTCAGCAAGAATTGATATGTCAGACACAGTGACTCAATGGCCTCAGAACTGCAAAGAAGCCTAAAACAAGACCCCAGGCCTCTGCAGGGCCCATGATGCACTACTCCTGACCTACTTCCTGTTCCCTCTGATGCCGCCATTCTTCATGCCTGGAGCAGATCCTTCCTGTCATCTAATGCCAATATGAGGTGGACTTTAGACACCAGAGAAGCTACCTGATAGTCCCAGAGGGGAAGGAGAAGGGTGACAGCTCATCTCAGCTCTTTGCTCAGGGACCTTGGCTCCAGGATCCTGTCACATGTCTTTGGGGTGTGTGAGGCCCTATCTGCTTACCTTCCGCTCACTGACTGGGGGTCGGATAGGGCCAGCTTTTCCTCGTCTCCACGCATCCTATTTCCTCAGTGAAGCAGCCACAGGCACCAGCTCAGCCTCAGCCGCAAATCCTTCCTTCCTTTCTCTTTTTGATGTCACAGAGAATAATCAGTTCTTTGTCACCCAGGCGGAAAGAGTGAGGCAAACTGGTAGCAGCCAGCTGCCCCTTAGGAATGGCACAGGACTTCAGGTGCAGTGTGGGCAGGTTGCGGGCACACTCACACACCACACACTGACTCCTGGCCTGCCAAGCTCACCGTCTTCCTGCCTGGCCCTATCTCCTAGGGCCCGGGGCACACCTGTCAAGATCCAATTCAGACGGCTTCACCACCTCCCCGAGTCATACCTGCACCTTCCCTCTGTAAACCTCACTGGGGATGGGGGGGCTGCGGGGGCATTGTACATGCATGGCATTCACAAGCTTTGACTCCCAGGATTGCACAACAACAAAAATCAGCCGTCTGCCTCAACTCCCCCAAAAGAAACCCACTTGGAATCTTGCTCATCCGGAGTCTTTTCTGTTGGAGCCCGAGGTCCTGGGGATGGGTAGCCTTGCTCAACTGAATCACACCTCATTTGCTACAGCATTCAACACATGCCGCGTCACGAGGAAGAAATCGGATTCCAGAATGGATGACCAAGGCAGATGACCAGCCAAGGCTGTACGGTGTTTTCTCAGAGACCATATAATGTTAGTTACGTGCACCGACTGCGGAGCTCTCTGCCCAGCGCTGCGACCTGTGACGGCTCTGGGCTCTCACAGTGCCACTGCTGAACTCAGTGACTTTAGGAAATGGGGCAGTGCAAATACTCTCGTAGTAGAGTTTATACTGCGTTTCACTGACCAATTCAGCAACGCCCTCGCTGCATCCACAGAGAAGCCAGGGTGTTAAAACTGGTAACATGCACAGCTGGATGTTTTCCATAGTCAATATCTAAGGGTCAGCTGTGACTATAATTTCTTAGTGGGAGGACACTTTGGAATATTCTTCAGAAGTGCACACAATAGAAAGTTACCTTTTTTTTTTTTTTTACAGAAGCCAAAAGCGCAAAGTGACACCAAATTGAAGACCCGAGACTGACTCCAGCACTTGTCCTTCATTGTCTCTGGGTCAATATGGCCACACAGTTTGGTAAACGTCAGCTCTGACTGTGCCCGTGACCACACTGCTGTCGCCTCCTAGGACCGTTCCATCTTCAGAAGGCGAAGACTACGCTGCTCTCTCTTCTCCTTTGCTGACTCTCACTCATACTCCAGGCCCTGTGCCGGCCACTCTGTCCACTGCTTGACATGTGTGGTGGTTGCCCTCTCCGCTGAAGGAATCAGGGCTTCGGCTGACAGTGGCACTGTCAGGACCAACTGGCCATGTTAACAGACATGGGTCAGGCAGCAGGTGCTGGTCTTGGTCAGAGCAGGCTCTCTGCTCTGGGGGGACGCGTGGGAGGGTACAGGGTCCGTTCCCCACATGAAGACATACTTCTAGAAGCTTCTCTCCCTACTCTTACTCCCATCATAATGGCTCTTCTGGTTAAGCTTCCATTTCTCATTCTCTCTTCTCTGTGTATCCTACTGGGAAACTGCCCAGCTCCCTCTGCCGCCAGGCTCTAGCCCCTACCACACTGGGGACATTGGCCCCTGCCACACTGGGGACGTTGGCTGACTCATCATCGTAAGTACCCAGTCTGCTGTGCTGTAGTTAACACTAGCCCTCAGCAGCACACTTTTCTGACAAGGTTGTTTCTGTGTGCGGTCTCAGACGTGAGGTGTGCTTTGCATCTTATACACAATCTTGTCGGCATTGGGGGTTAACTGTGGGGTAACAGGACTGAAAGCAGCAGGCCTGGGCTCCCGTTCGCACAGAGCCGGGGACAAGCTGCAGGTCCCGGTTCCTGGCCACGAGTCTAGGCCCCTCTCCTCGGATCCGGGCCAAGCAAGAAGGCGGCTCTGCGGCCTGCAGCTGGAGAAGGCAGCTCTCCACACGCACCAGGCAGAAGTGCCCGCCACGGGAAACTGCTGGTGGTGCCGCACATCCACGGGGACTGCCCATCTCCAGGACACGCTGACTGGGCAATGCGGGCGTCAACAGCCAACGTGTCCATTTAGCAATGCCTGGGCACAAGCTCAGGACCCTCACAGTGCTGCCACGGGCTCCCTATAGGAGGCAAAGCCTATGCTGAACACGGGACTGATACCCTGGTGATTCTCTAGATGGGTACCAGCATTTCCATGGCAACCCATTGCACTTCTCCACATGCTTAGCTGTGAGTGATGTTACTACTGTCTACTTTTACTAGAACTATCAGAGAGAGAGGCAGGTAGGGAGGCAGTTTGGTCGATGGAAAATGAGGTCAAAGGTCACCAGAAGCTGAAGCTCCTGCTCCCTAAATGGGAGGCACTTAGCCTTCCCCCCACTGTGTGCTGGCTGCTTGTCCCTCTCCCCTCTTGGCTCTGCAACTGCTGATGTTCCTAGTCACAGGTCAACCTCCAACACAAATACCATCTTCGTAGTGACGTCTTCTGGGTTCTCTAGGCTGTGTGTGCTCCACGCGAGCTATTTATGTCTCTGCTATCACATTTGTCACAACCTGCCACACTTTCCAGCCGGCCTTGTCCCTGGCTGCCGCCCTCCTGAGGTCTGGGAGTTCTGAGGCAGTGGCTGTGCATATCTGTGGATAGCACTTCAGGTCCAGTGGGGGGCACAAGTTCCCCAGGGACAGAAACACAGACTGTTTCTAAACAGTGCTGAGGAGAAAGAAGGTCTTTAGTTCATTTAAACAGTGGCTTCCATGACAGTCAGTGCCTCAGGAAATGAGCAACGGCTTTATCCGCTGGTATACCAGATCTATAGGCAGCAGGCAGCCAGTGATTAAGCTAAGACACCTGTGGCCCGAGTTACATAGGAAAGGAAATAGTTACACGGTAATGACAATCATAAAGAGGCACTGTATACCTGGCTGGCAATCTGTTCTGGAACCTTCTGCCAGGCTGCCACACTGCAAAATGGAATAACCTCCTGACTCTATGCTAGTTTTACATTTCCTAAGCATCATGTTCTGGGACTGCTTGATTTTTCAGAGTCAGAGACCAGTCACTGGCAAAAAATAAGACTTGAGATCACTCATAGGAAGAGATCACCAGTGAGGTGACTTGAGAGAACATGGCCTGCAAAGGGAGGCAGGGTTAGGAGGTGTGGCCTTGTTGGAGGAAGTGTGTCCCTGTGGGGTGGACTCTGAGGTCTCTTTTGCTCAAGCTTCCCTCAGTGTGACAGGCAGTCAACTTCCTGTTGCCTGCAAGACATAGAACTCTCAGCTCCAGTACCATGCCTGCCTGGACCCCACCACAGTCCCCTTCATGATCGTAATGGACTGAACCTCTGTAAGTGAGCCAAACAAAATTAAATGTCTTCTTTATAGGAGCTGCCATGGTCATGGTGTCTCTTCACAACAATTAAAAACCCTAAGGCACCCAGCAAATCCTCACTCTGGGAAGTCAAGCTATGCTCACACTGTTTAGTCAAGAGCACTCCCAACAATGCAGCCTGATTCTTCAGTCCACTTCCATCTACCTCCAGGAAAGCCAGACACCTCTGCTACCTCGGGTGGTTATATACTCATGCTGAGAGACTCAACCAAAGTAACAAGCGTTTCTTCCTGGATTCCCTGCGCATTGGACCCACACAGGATCCTGGGTGTGGGAATGGCCTGGAGACAGGACACAGCATCAGGGCAAGCATCGTGGGACAAAAGGAAGATCTGGGGGTTGTGGGTGGTACTGTACGAAGACACGGGGGCCACTAGGCATGCATTTCCAAAGTGAGGCTCCTCAAGGGTAGGCGGCCACTTTCTTAGAGCCTCTAGTGCTGCCTGTGCTTCAGGAGGCTGCCACAGAAGCCTGAGGAGACCCGTGCTCCTCAGAGAGGAGGGCGGATGCTTCAAGTCTCTGAGGGATGGCTCCTTGAGCCTCCAAAACAAGGAAGCAGAACACAGCCTCTGCAGAGTGCTCTCTCTCTCTCCCTCTGTATACTTGTGCATAGCATGGTATATACCCACCCGGCATGGTGTTTGTACATAATCTTTCCTTTTCTTACTTGGTTTCTGGTCTGGTCACACTCTAAGCAAGGAACCCTGGCATACTGTGGACCAAATGCCTTATTCCCTGTGGGAATCTCACTGTAGCCTGATGCCTCTTGGGAATTCTCCAGACAGAGTTGCAATGCGATGTACCCTGAACTGGAAACACTAAGCCAGGGACTGCACGCAAGGACGGTGCCGCCACACACAGGGATGAAGCCCGCTTCCCTTCTGGGTGATGTCTGCCTCCTCTAACAGTCTTCCTGGCTGTGCGGTAGTTCAGTGGGTATGCTCATGTCCTGGCCTCTCTTCCTTAGCGCATTTCTCTCCACGTGATGACAATCCGGGGCTAAGGCGCTACTCAGTGGTAGAGCATGTGCCTGGCACACACAAGACTGAGTTTAATACCCAGTACCAGACACCCTGCGAGAAAAGCAAACCCTCAACCACTCAGACAGGGATGGGAGAGCATGGGCTCAGGATTTGGATTCTAGTTGCTTACAAAGTATTGAAGCTGTTTGCTGCCTTCGTCTGTAAAACAGGACAACATGGACTCGGTAAGACTCGAGAGAACTAAGACCCTGAGTACTGCCCTCAAGTGCAGAGACCCCCGCCCCAGGTGTCTGCAGAAGGGCCTAATGCGCCCGTTCACCCTGACCCGGTGAAGGAGCTTTGGGCACGAGTGCTCTGTAACCACAGCCACAGTACGAGAACTGTTCTGTGGTTCCTAGGTGGCAAGGTACACCAGCGTGTCGGGGGACTGGAGTGGCGGGATGGAACTGAGTGTGGACATCCAGGCAGGACCTCCTCAGATCACGCCTGGAGCTCTGGCCTCAGGCTCGCCTGCCTGTCCTCAGCCAGGAACTCAGTGGTAGGATTCAATTCACCAGGCCACATTCCAGGGCCGGGTCTCCCTCCTGGGACCAGTTCTGGCTTTGAATCCAGGGCACAAGATCCAAGCCTGCATGCTGGCCTTGCTCCCGCTAGTACCCACAGCCACAGACGGCAGCCCCATGCACTCCCCAGCCTCCCAGGATTCGCAGCGCTCATCTGAAGTCATCTCCTGCAAGCTTCAGAGGCTGCCCCTGTAACTGACGTGTGCCCGCCAGACTGCATGACCTACATCCTCAATGGTCACAGGTACCCTTCAAACCAGCCTCCATGCTGAGAGCCACATTCTGTGACATCATCATGGCCTTGGTGACTTAACTAGGTGGAGTCCCAAGGCTTCAAGAATCCACACTTTCAGCTATTGGTCACCGAGAAAAGAGTTACAAAATAAAAAAAATTGAGAGAAATGAAAGCCATGCTGGGGAGTTCCCAGACCTGGCACAGTTCCCTGTAGCCGGTGGAAGTCCCAGTGCTAGGATTTTACGCCATATGTGGAGGAAACATCTGCTTTTGGCTGGAACAAGACAACACGAGCTTTCTGGTGGCTAACATGTGACGGCACCCCCACCCCAGTTCCCTCAGAGTACCCACAGGCCTCCAGGTCAGACAGTCAAACACTCCAGCAGCTTTGGCCTAGGGTAAGGAGATGCTCGAAGCCGTGCCCTGGCCTCTTCCTCCCACAGCAGGGGCCGCTCCAATCGGCCTGACTTCTCCTCGGGGCCGGGCTTTGCTCTCTTGGCAGACGCAGGCTGTGCTGACTCACCAAGGTTTCTGTTGTTTATCCCTCCTGGTCCGGAATGTCCTTCCCTAAGCCCAGCATCTACTCCCCTCTCCTCAATTCCTTTCTCCTTCCCCCCTTTCCCTCTTCCTTTCCCTTCTCTTTTATTTTATTTTATTTTTTTGAGATAGGGTCTCACTGTGTAACCCTGGCTGGCCTGGAACTTGTTATATTGACAAGGTTGGTGTCAAACTCGAAGAGATCCACTGGCCTCAGCCTCCTGAGTGCTGGGATTAAAGGTGAGCACCACAATGACTGGCTTCCACTTTAAAAAACAAACCAAAACCCAAAAAAAACCAGGGTCTCATGTAGCCCAGGATAGCCCCGGATTCACTTTCAGACACTAGGATGACAAGTGTGCTCCACGCGCCCAGCACATCTTTTCATGGCCGTCACAAAGTCACATCCCTGGTCTTTCCCTGGCACGCGTGCTCAGTGGCAGGTCCTCCCTACCAAGGAAGTATTTTCAACAAGGTCTGTCCCGGCAATGGGTAACAAAGAAAGCCAGCGACGTAATCCAAATGGACAGCGGCGGGGCTCAACGGGATGGGGAAAGATGTTTTCTCACTTAACAGTTTCCAGAAAGCAGACCTTCACACAACCCTCTCCCACCCATTTGCTCAGAGCTGAGAACCTCCTGGGGTCTGGCTGCGAGTTTCAGGGCCCCACCTCTGCCCCGGCTCCTCCCACGTTAACTTATGGGTGCACGTCTCACAGGCATGGGGGAACAGAGATCTTGGTGGCAAGCATACTTATTTCTCTTGGACCATCAAGGCCACCCAGCTGGGCTGTATCCTCTTTTAGGCCCCGGGAAAGCGTGTGAGATGCATGGGTGTGCTGCCCTTTGAGCGGGCCTTGTTTTACTCTCGGGGCTGGCGGCCTGGCTCACCCACCTGCTCGTCTGAGGCATAGAGCACTTCCATTAGTCGCTGCACGAGGTCATCACTTTCCTGCCCATGCTCTTGGCACAGCAGTTCGATCTCTCTCAACTTCCCGAAGTAGAAATCCCTCTCCTTCTCCACACCTTCCAGGGCAAGCTTCAACGAATGTACCTGCGGAAGAGTGGGGTGGGGGAGAAAACCCCAAGATGGAGTAAGAAGCGTGACCTCCTATGTCTGTGCACAACCATGGGGGACACACGCAGTGAGACCCAGAAACGAACGGAAACGCACGTGTAAGGGGGAGGAAACGGCCTGGAGTCAGACCCCAGGGCCATGCTGGCCGCTTCTCGACACTATTTATCAGCCGGTCAGGGTGTCCCGGTCACCAGCACAGCCGCACCTGAGCTTACACAGCCTTTCTTTTCTCGGGAACGTGGGCCCAACCACACCTTGTTGCTATGATCCGGGATGTCTGTGTCTCCCCCCAATTCTTATGCTGGAATCCTACACTGTGACGGTGCCAGGAAGCAGGGCCTTTCAGAGGGGACGAGACTTGAGTGTGAAAGGGGCCTAAGGGATCCTTCTACCTGCTCACCGCCACAAGACTACCAGGAATGAGTCCTGGCCAGACAACTGATCTGCTGATGTCTTGATATCAGACCTCACAGGCTCCAGAACGGTAACAAATAAAATTCTGTTGTTCACAAGCCACCCAGCTTTTGTTACAACATCCCAAACAGACTAAAGTACTTGCTCACAGTCTACTGGGAAGGGAGGTAAGAGGTGTGTGTTGGGGTGTGTGTGTGTGTGTGTGTGTGCGCGCGTGCGCGTGTGCATGCGTGCGCGTGTGTTTATGACCCCGTCTTCAGATCACTGGTATGGAAAGCCACTCCTCAGACGTCAGGTCAGAGCAGACACACGCTGTCCTTTGAGAGGCAGACCTCGGTGCACACAGAACCTGTGGCAGCGGTGGGAGGCGGGCTGCGGCCATCTGGCTCCGTTTGTCCAGTTCTGGCTTGTGGGTGTCGCTGGAAGGGCAGGGTGGCAGACGAGCTGCAGACAAACATGGTTCGCCATCTTCCCCCCTCCCCCAGGTGGGTTTAGGAACCTTCTAGAATTGTGAAGTTTCTAACTTCTAGGTCACTGCAAGTCATGGGCTAGAGCTAACAACCAAGACAGGCCCATCATAACTCTGACATTCTGGGTGTTGTCAGTTCTGAAAAGGAGGTCTGTGGACTTTTAGTTCTTAGGATGCAACTCTCTGACATGTATAACAGGCGCACACAGGTCCAAACTATTCCCTGTTCCTGGTCCCGGAGAGCCTCCTCTTTTGCAATACTTTATTTATTTACATTTATGTAGAGCAAAGGTCCTGGCCGGTGGAGCATGGCCCTGCACTGGGTTGTGCAACTGAATGTAAGGGGGACAGGAGAAGCTGGTGGTGTTCGACAATTAGAGATTAGTTAGAAATCAAATGCTCAATGGACTCGAGGCGCTCTTGGCACAGCTCCCCGGTCATGGCGGGACTTCACTGCAGCTTTGGTTAGGGACACCCGACACTCTGCACCGTGCAGGCTGTCACAACACACACCTCCAGTACGCCGCCTGAGGCGTCTCAACCCAGAGCGTTTTGAGTCCTGAACTGCAGTGCTTTCACTGCACACATTGTTCTTAAAGACACAGGATGGTCTAATTACAGAAAACAAACAGCAACACTTTCCACTAGCACTCCTTAGCAAACAAGCAGCAAATTCGTTTGCTTGTATGGTGCTGCTAGACAAAGAAATGCCACTTCATTAGTGGGCACATTTGTCCTCTCTTTCACCGAGACCCACCTGCCTGCCTCTGCCTTCTGGTGAGCCCTGAGATTAAAGGTGTGCGCCACCATGCTGGCTCAAAAAAAAAAAAACAACTATTTTTAAATAAAATTTCCTTATGACTTATAGCCAGTTCATGTGTTTTGTTTTCCCTTTTATAGTCCTACAAACCTGGTAGCACAGCAAACTTCTGGAGTGAGAAGGGGGTGTAGGTGCAGAAGGCTGAAGAAACCCTGGCCCAGCAAACATTGGGGAATGAACGAAGTCTTGGTTTCTTTAGGCGAGGTTTACTTTTAGGTATGTTAAACGAAACAAAACAGTCCATTATTTTAGTATTGCTTTTGAAGTGCAAAAACTCCTCTTTTTTAAAAATAAGTTGGGCCTTTGGTACATGACTCCTGGGATTACTGACATTCAAACGCACACTGGTCCACCAGCTCTTCCTTTACCCCACATCTGACAATCAGATCTATGCTGGGGCGGAGCCTTTGGTGTCCATCTCACAGATGTTCTCATGGAAGCGCTGGCAAATGCGTGTGGGTTCAGTTAGGTAACCCTGAACTTTCATTCCTGTTAAGACAACACATCTGCAAAAACACAAGGTGACCAGCTTGCACTTCAGAGGGAGGGAAACTTCCCGACTCTAGATCCCATCTCTGAACTCAGCCATGGACTCCCCTCCCAACCCTGCCGCAGGCAGGAGGATTACAACCCGCGGCTCCCCCAAACCAAGCGGGGGCGTTACTTTAGCTCCTTCCCACAGACGCAACTTGAGGGTGGGTCTCTTGTGACCCACAGCTTGGGGGGTCAGAGGGCACCATGGCATGGATGGTACAGCAGAGGGCATGGTTTGTGGCACCAGGAGACAGTGGCAGCTGCTTGTTACATGGTGCTGGTCAGGAAGCATTGATCCAGGTGAGAAGCGGGATTACGCTCACCCTTTAAGGCCCGCCACATTCGGCACCCCAATTTTTCCCACTGGGCTGAGACTTCTAGTTTCCACAACCTCTCCTAACAGCACTGCTGCTGGGAACCAAGTGTTATAGCACAGGACTGGGGGGTTGGGATGGCGCTCACATCCAAATCACAGCAGACACAGTTAACATACAGAATCCGGGATGAGCCTTTTGTGGAAATACTCAGAATGATCTGGGCCAGTCTGGCATTCCTGACACGTTAGTGAAGGGGAATGGACCTGTCAACACCTGCCTCCCCCGAAAAGCTGACAGGAGCTGGGCATGGTGGTGACACTCAAGAGACCGAGGCAGGAGAGTCACTGTGAGCTCAAAACCAGTTTGGACTAGAAAGGAAGAAAGAAAGAAAGAAAGGAAGGAAGGAAGGAAGGAAGGAAGGAAGGAAGGAAGGAAGGAAGGAAGGAAGGAAGGAAAGAAGGAAGAAAGAAAGAAAGAAAAAAAGAAAGAAAGAAAGAAAGAAAGAAAGAAAGAAAGAAAGAAAGAAGAAAAAAAAGTGGCTGGAGAGAGGGCTCAGAGGTTAAGAGCACTGACTGCTCTTCCTGAGGTCCTGAGTTCAATTCCCAGCACCCACATGGTGGCTCACAACCATCTAGAATTCAATCTGGTGCCCTCTTCTGGCATGTAGGCAGGACACTGTATATGTAATAAATAAATAAATCTTAACAAAAAAGACACTGCAAAAAAAGAGAAAGGGAGAAAGAAAATCCTGGCAGTGGCCACTTTAAATGATCAGAGATCAGCTGGCAAACGCAATTCCATTGAATGCTGCCCCTGAGACAGACGGCCAGCTCCAGCTCAGTCCTCACAGATCACAGCGGACGCCTGAGTGATTGAGACAGACGGCCAGCTCCAGCCTCATTCCTCACAGATCACAGCGGACGCCTGAGTGACCAAGGCTGAGAAAGTCAAGTCCAAAGGCCCCAGGGGGAAGTTTGTTGTCATAACTTCCCAGCAGTGTCCACAGCCTGTGGGTCCTCCCAGAGGGTCTGTGACAGCAGAGCCTCCATTTCCTGCTGGCTAACCCACTGTCCGGAAAGAGTCTCTAACCATTTCATTTACACCTCTTCCTCCCTTTGCTTCTGACTCATTGCTACCGCTGGGATTGTGCAGCGCGGTGTACTTCTGTGGTTTATCACCGGAGACTGCCTGAATAAAGAACAGGGCCAAGAAAATGAACAGTTTTTACGTTTATGGCAGCTGTCATCTTCTCTATGACAGCCACAGCTCAGGCTCCGGCCTCTGCATTTCCCCTTGGCTTCTTCTTGTCCCTGTGCTCTTAATTCCAACACTGGGACACCTGCATGGTCACCCCTTAGCCTTGGGTCTTGCTCCTGAAGGCTTCAAGGGCAGGTACTTGAACTCAGGTTGCCAGGGAAACGAACCTGAGTGAGAGCTTGGAAAACATCTGTCCAGCTCAGGTTGTGTCTCCCCTGTCCTCTGAAGGACAGAGTGTAAGAGGTTTGCTCCTCCCAAGCGAGGCCTCCCTCTGACGTAGACTATTCCCTATCCTGCCCCTTCTGTCCTGTCTTGAGTGGCATTAGGGATCATCTAAGCATTTTGAGAGACAACGGAAACCTAGAGCCAGCAGCAAGGACAGGAGGCCAGAAAGGACTGGGAACAACTCAGGAACTGGAGTTTTCCATGTGGTCAGAATTTGGAAACTATGTTGGGGTGGCGGGGTATGTTGGGGGCATTGGCAATGATAAAGAAAAATTGTGAGCTGCTTTGGGGGAGGGGCATAAATCCAGAGTATGATGAGCCCAGGTCCGATTGCCACCAGACCCACGCAGGCTTGTGTGACACCGTAAGCTTGTGGCTTAGGCTCATTACTGCTTTTTTTTTTTTTTAAATCTGCGCAGAAGTCATTACTGAAAACCTTCTGGCTTCCAGTGGAAGATCAGCAGGTAACTAGAACATTCCATGGTAACACAATTAGAGTCCTGAGAGGGCTTAAGAGTTTACCTGCTAGTGTGGCCAACTCAAAGCCCCTCGTTAAGCCTGACTGACTCTGTACTGGATTCCTGAGTGGGGGAAAAAAAAAAAACAACCCAAACCGCTGCTTTCAGACTCTTGCCTTATCAAGAAGCAGAATAAGGACTAGGACAGGCTCAGCCAGTGGCTGGCTGTCTAAGGATCTCCCGTCCTAGACTCCTTCACGATGGCGGGGCCCTGGTGCGGGAAGCAGGTAGCTTCTGCAGTGAGCACCACACTCTCCAGCGTCTTACTAATCTTAAGCTGCATTACTGTAGGCAAAATTAGGTATTAACGTGTTAGAAATCATTTTTCCAGGGTCTCCTGAATGCTAGACTGGAGTTCTCCCCAGAGTAGCACCCCACGCCCAATACTTAAGGCTTCACGTCAGAATGTTAGTTGATGCAGCTAGGCTTACCATAGCTGAGAGAGGGCTGTTAAGACAGGAAAGCATTCCCACTTAAAACACACTGGTGGTCTCTCAGGGCTCCCAGGTACTCTGCTCCTGCCACTGTAGGGAGGGCTGGTTTCTTGTCTTGTTTTGTTGTTTGGTCTGTCTGTCTGTCTGTCTAATTTCAGTACTAATTTCTGATGTCAGTAGGCTTTGAGGGAGGGGACAATGTCATCCATCTTGTTACCACTACACCCCCAGAACTAAGCACAGCGTCTGTCACATAAGGCAGGCTCAGCCACCAGCTGCTGAAAAAAAAAGGAAGGGACGGCAGGGAGCGAGCTGAGCTGTGATTCAGCTGTAACACTTTTCAGACCAGCCAGGAGTGGGCAGACAAGGCCTGGGGTCCAGGACGGGCACCGGGAACCAGGGAGCAGGGAGGGTGGCCTGCACCCTGTACCATCTGACTGACACATCTCGTGCTTGGCGTCAAGCTCTGTGACTAACAGTGCTCGTCATCAGCCGCTGAGTATCCCTTATTGGGCAGGGCCCTCCTAGTTTCTCACTGGCTCTGTCTTGCCTCCTCTCCCTTGCCCCAGGCCTGCGGGTGTGACCTCCTCACCCCTCACTCGAGTTGCCGTTCCCAGAGCCAAGGGACAGGGGTGGGGACAGTGTGCTACCTGCTCGTTGAGCTGAATGACCTGCGTTTCCAGATCTTTGTCGGATCTGGACGCGGAGCCACTGGACGAAGCCCTCTTGGCAGACGAGGGACGAGAGGGTGTGGACCCCGGTTTCGCTGCTGGGCTTGATTTGGCCGCACCTAGAAGCAAGCAGAGCGCTCTGTGAGTGCAGCACACATTGACAAAGGTTTTCAGGTGTGCGGCAGACGCGTGACGTAAAATGAGCTCCTAAAAGCTGCAAGCAATGTGCCAACCCCTCCTCGGTACAGTCAGAACAAGCCTGAGGCACACCACCGAGCCCCCGTCCTGCACTGAACCCCTAAAGAGGAGGCCAACCCCTCCCCCCACGCCACGCCTAAAATCACAGCTACCCGGAACCTGAGTAAGAGGGAAGACTTTGGGAGCTGGGAGAAGGCTCAGTGAGTCAGTGCTTACTGCACACGCCCGAGGAGTCCAGATCCTTAGAAGCCCTGTGAAGCCAGATACACCAGCCCAGGGATCCCACAGCGAGATGGGAGGCGGAGACAGGAGGGTTTCTGGAGGCTCACTCAGTGGCAAGCATCGAGGGCACTCTCTTAGACGAGAGTGAACGTGAGGCCCCAAACAAGTTGTACTCTGTCCTCCGTCACATGCTTGCATGGGTATCCACACACATGAACATGCGTGCACACATCACGTAAATGACTAAAAATGAATGGTAGGAAACGTTCTCCGGTCATCACACGTTATTACTGTACATGTGCCTCTCAGAGCAAGGACCCCAGGACAGGTTCAGACTTGAGAAGAAACACTGGGACAAGGTACGTGCCTTCTTTTTTTAGTACACTCCGTAGAAGAACAGGAGCAGCGAGCACCCTGATGTCCCATCTTGGTTTCTAAATGTCACTGTTCAACAAAAGCGCTTCTCGAGAAGCTGCTGGTGACAGGGGTGGTGCAGAACCGGAACGGGTAAGCTCAGGACAGTTTGGGGCGAGAAGCAAAGACACACTCAAGGCAAGGGCACACGGACTGGCTTGGAGGGGGCGGTCTGCCTAGCACTAGGAGCAATGGCTGTAGCTTAGGAGATGCCTGGGGGGACAAAGTCTATCAGTCCATGACGAGGGGAGGGAGGAGAGGGGTGTAAAGGGTATATAAACTGAGCATCGGGGGACGCCGAGGAAAATGCTCGAAGAAACACGGATCTGTAGTGCCCCTGATGAGGAGGCAACCCGCAAACTGCTCCTTAATGGGTGCGGAGGCATTAGATGGGAGATTTGACACGTGAAGCCTTCGTGGTGGGGAGTTCTGGGGTCAGCGTAGCAGCCACGGGATTACAGAGTTTCTAATCACAGCACACTGGTATTTCAGCTGAGTCCACTTGGCACTCAACCCACAGTGGACTTACAGTCTAGGACACAGCACAGGCACGGCAATGGCTCCTGGAGCCAAAGCAGGAGAACAAGGTCTACAGAGAGGCTCAGTGGTTCTGAGCCAGAACCGAGCCACTCCTGGGACCCACCCCTTGCTTTTGTTTAGGACACAGAGTCAGACAGGCAACAGCTCTGGTTTCCTGTCTGCACGTGTCTCCCGTGTGTTTCCTCCGCCCAATTAAAATTTCCACTGCAATCTTTCACCCTCCCCCCTTCTAGAAGGTTCTTAGAGGGCAGGGAACAGTCTTATTCATGTCAGCAACCCCAGTGCCTTGTAAAATGTTAGGCTAAACATGTCTGGTAAAGGAACAACTTTAGATAAACAGATAAACAGGCAATTAAAGCTGGGTTATGTGGTTTCCAACTTCAGTTTCCAGTTTGTCTGACAGAGGCAAGGGATTATAAAGATAGACATGTAACAGCAGCTGCAGGTCTCAACCAATACCCTAATTACAGTGTAGCCAACAGGAAGGTTGTAAAATTTATATGGTGTGTCTTCAGGTGCCTGGAGACATTGGTAACAGATGGGAGTCTTACACACCTCTGAGAAGTCTTGACAGTGTGCTGGCCTTTAAAATGCCCCTTTGTTACAGCAGGGGGGAAAGAATCTTCTTTAAGGGCCCAGGGAAAGGGCAGAGAGACTTGAAACGGTTAGACTGCGGATGACTTAGTCCGTGTGGATAGGTCAATCGGTGGGGTGCAGAAACCCCGCCTATGGGAGCCAGGGGTGCTAGGGAGCCGTGGTTTGCTTGGGACCGGCAAACTGCTGTAAGAGCATTCCTCTCTGTTGACGCCCGCACTGCTTTCTTCTGGAACCTGACTTCTCAGTCCTAATGCACAGCTCCTTTGGCTGTAAGCAGACTATGAGGGACCAGGCAGGGAGCACAGTGACTTTCTTCAGACAGAAACCAGCCTAGGAGCAGGGAAGACCACTTTTGCAACTATCACGCCCTTCCAGCTTTTTTGTTTGTTTTGTTTTAAATAAGGCTGACATTTTAATAGACAGGAAGTCTAACGGGAAGAGTGCGAGGAGCAGAGCTTCCTATCTAGAAACCCACATTAAGTGTCTCTCCCCGACTGACAGTTACCTAAGGCTGCCCAGACACGGTGCCCTCTTGGTCTTCTTGGGCCAGAGCTCTGGGACGCCATGCCAGGCAGGAGTGTTTCCACCGTACGCAGCGTTCTCCCTCCCTCCGGCCATCCCTGCTCCTTCAGTGACCAGGACTTGCATCCTTCAGGTCTGGGCTTGTGCCGTCACATCCCCTGGAGGCCACAGTGGCCGGAGCATCTCCTCGGAGGCTGTGGCAGCCACACTGGCGTGGTAACGCCCGGTGCCTCTTCTTGCCCTGGACGTAACTGCGGCGTGCTGGGGCTGCATCTATCTCGTCTGTCACTGATGAGTGCAGCCAGGGCAGCACGCAGAGCGAGTGCAGCACCTGACCTGGACGAATTCTGTGCACTGTCAGACGTCGCTGAGCAGCCAGCAGGGGCGGGAAGTCGGCGACGACACCCAGGGAGGTTTGAGGCACTGATGCCAATGTCAAAGCCACCTTCATGTTGGGTGTCAGCCTCCCAGCCTCCTGTGTTCCCTTTCCGGGTCCCCTTTGTAAGTTATGATGTGGGAATCTGGCCAATGCATTGATGAAGAGAGTACAGTCAGCTCATGTCTGAATGCACTAAGACCCAGGTGGGTGGTGCTGGGCTGGGCACATTTCTGCCACTGGCCTCTTCGTGCAGAAAGAGGACCACAGGCACGCCTTCCTAGAGATCGCATATATACTCCCTCCGCCAGGCAGCTCTTCCTAGTAGGTCACCAAAAGTAAAGGAAGAGGACCTCTTAGCACCTTCTCACAGGTCAGACACCACACTGAAAGCCCCTCCTCAGGGGGGTGTGGAGACAGCGCATTATGTGCAGCTGCAGCCTCTGGCTGTCACACTCGCTGGCTGCCATTCTTTCTTTTCAGAGTACACACAGTGTCTCTGCAAGCCTCACACATCCCTTGTCAGCTCAGAACCGTTTCTGTTTCTTCACTAGACAAGTCTTTTTTTCTTTCTTCTTTTATTCTTTCTCGAAACAACTCTACTCTAAAGTGTATCTAGCTTCTGGCATCAGATATTTTTTTTCTCATTTACTGGGACCAACCATCTTAAAGACGTTATCAAGAAAACACAGTTATCAATATCTGAAGTTAGTGTTGGTATAATACTATAATTGTGGCCCAGGGCATGTCCTGTGTCCAGTCCTGGCTTGAGAGACAACAGTCCTCAGTGCTCGCCTTCTTAGCAGCCCCAACGCTCAACTCCACCAGTGACTCTGTTCTGTCTTCCCAGGTCTCTGCTTCAAGGATGAACACGGAAAACATCATGGCTTTTAAAGGCAATGCAGGCACTCTGGCTACAATTCAGACACAGAGTCTTTTTCCTACAGCTATCAAACACTTCAGTTCCTTTCAAGCTGCATTTGATGATGTCCTGAGACCGTAATTAGCGGTAGCCCTGTTTTCTACACAATTGTTCTGCCCTTAAGCTTTTCTCCTCCCCCTTAATTTTCCCTTTCAAAATAAAAAAGGGGTTTCAGAAGAAGAGGAAAATGGACGTAAACTCTGCCTAAGTCCCTGTAATTCTCAGAAATGTCCCCACTGGAGATGGACATGATTCACAATGGTCGTCTTTGAGCAGTCCCGTCTTAATTAATGCTTTTAGGGTCTGGGACATAACTATGGCTCTAAGATATTTTAACTGTGGTTGTAAAAAAGGAGTGAGTGATCTCAATCAGTGACTTGCTGAAGTCAGGGCATCACCGTGTCTAATGCCTGTAATTAGCAGGCTTGTTCGACATGTATGGAAAACGCGGCATTTTGGAGAGTGGAGGCTGAACAGATTCAGAAGGGAGAAGCAAAGGAAAGCAGGGTCTCTGCCCATCCCAGTCAGGACTCTAGTAGACTCCAGAAACTTCTCATAATTTACTGAACTCCTTTCGCCCAAATCACAAACACAGGGCAGCTAACTACGCAACATCAGTACTCTTGACAAGGACCACGTGTGTGTTAACACAAGCGTCTGATAACCCTCTCCCCCACACACACACAAAGCTTCCTCGCTTTGAGAGACTCTCCTCTCCTGCCCCATCCCCACAACCTGCATTCATTAAAACCCCCGCAGGACAACTGAGCACAGCCGGCAGACAACACACCACGAATGCGTTGATTAGTCATCCCTGGATGACGCTGACATCACTTCTCATCTCTCCACTTAGGCAAACACAACGTGTCTTCTAATGGAGACAATGAACTTGGTTTAAAACCAAAGGAAAGGCCACGGCTGGCGGAAAGCGGCTGGGTTGGACTGATGGGCGCAGGAGCTTCCTCTGTGACTGACACCAGAGCCACCAGCTGCAAGGAGACAGGGTGCTGCTGTGCCATGCTGGTCTGTACAAATCCAAGCACTAAGGACTGTCTTCCTTCAAAAGTGGCTCCATCCCTTCACTCTGTAGGCGGCCATTAATTTTACTCCGAGAAGGGGGGAAGCACCATTTCAGTGGTGACCAGGGTTCAGTCTCAAGGGGACTTTAACAGGGTTACAGGGACCCTGGCTCACAAGCCCATTGTCAGGCTGGCTCTTTATTTTGCAAGCAGCAACTTAGAGCCATCCTGGCTCTGTCCTCTCCAACGCCTTGTGGTAAAGCCTGGCTGCTGCTGCTCCTTACAGCTCAGTCTATAATGGGGCAGTTC